AGGTAGTCGACAGGTAACCGGACGTTATTTATGGCCAGGTTTTTTATAGCTCAATCAAAGCTGGAGCATCAGCTTGTTGTTTACACACAACTTTTAGAGCGCGTCGGCAACAAGTGATGTGCATTTAAATGAGATAAGAAGAACACTCTCTCGCCCCGGCTTCCTTTTTATTATTTGTACCTGAGATGATTTATAATCAATTACCAACCAAACATTATGTTATGTAATAACATGCATAGTCATTGTGGTTTATCTGCGTATTGTTTCTGGCATATAATCCTGAATTAATGCAAAACTAGAGATATAACAGACAAAGAGTAGGTGCACAACAAGAGCGCACATTACTGCACCAGAATTAATCATTAACAGGCTATTATTTTAGCTGTAGTTCTTGGGTATGTAAGATTAATAGTGAGAATGCAGGAAGCTGTGCTGCATTACATATAGATAAATGCATAAATAAAATTATAAATGAGTGCAGTACGCTATTTTTATTTTTATGCTTTGATTTGCGCTCATTTATCTTTAACGTCACTTTAATTAGAAGGTGAGATCTCTGCAGTCAGATGTTCACAGTGAGCGTTTGGCTGCATTTACTTTGCATTTCTGCATTCCCGGTGTTATGAACTAAATAGTCTTTTGTGTGTCATTTAATCTCTTTTTCATTCCCTTTTATGTTAATTTATTTACTGGTACTGCATCAGTAATAGAGCTTGCCGAGCCTGAGCTTGCAGGGTGGCCAAACCTCCAAAATATGTGAAACAAGTGAAACACTGCTTTGGGAATGCGAGTGGTTGGCAGCACCATTAATCAAACTAAATAAAACAGGCGGTGTAAAAACAAAAGTCGGTGTTGTGAGTCAGCACAAGAGGGCAACTCGAGTGTCATAAAAATATATTTTTCATCTTTCCTCTCTTTAACGAGCTGATTTATCGCTCCTCTTGGTTCTTTCTCCAGCCTTTGTCCAAACTATCTTGGCTCTTTTTGGGTATTTTTACCAGCTGTTTCTATAATCCAAATTAAGTGTTCTCTTCATATTTTCATGGCTCTGATCAAACAAGCCACTCGCGGTGTGTTTCTATTTGGGCGCCAAATAGTTTGGTTGGTGATCTCGCCCCAAGTACCCACAGTATTTGAATTTCCTGCCACAGTTCGAGAATGTGTTCTTTGATACAAACCTTTTAGCTTCTCAAATGTAAAGCCACCTGGTCTTGCACAGGAAACTCGCGCAGATGAACTGGGAGGAGGTTTAAGAAGTTTGTGCCCAGCGTTAGTCCGTCCTTTGTGCCTCAGATGGTTTAACCAACCCATCTGGTTTGGTCGTCCCCTGGCATGATCTTGTCTTTGTACCAGGCTCTTATGGCAAATCTCTAATTATCTGACTCTGTCGGTACTTTTATGGCTCTAACCGAACTTGTCTACGTCTATGTAAAAAGTCTTTTTAAGACACTAACCAGGATGCCTTCACAGAAGTTAAAGCAATAGTTTGATAGTTTTTCAGGGGGAAATAAGCTTTTTATATCAGAATAGTGATACCAGTAGTATCTTTACAGTAAATATGAAGCTACTGCCATCAGCAGATTAGCTTAGCTTAGCATAAAGACTGGAAACAGAGGGAAACATCTAGCTTGGTTCTGTCCAAGGGTAACAAAATCCAGTAACCAGCACCACCAATGCTAAAGTTATATCTCATTTGTTTAGCCAGATACCTTCAGACAGAGCCAGGCTAGCTGTTTCCACTTGTGTCTTGTCTTTATGCTAAGCTAAGCCAACCGGCTTCTGGAATATGAGAGTGATAGTGATCTTCCTATCTTGGAAAGAAAAGAGAACAAGCGAATTTCCAGAAATGTCAAACAATTCCTTAAAATTTGAACCTCTTCAGTGGAGGAGGAACTTTTTAACAATTTGTGATCTGACATCAGTTTATCAATAGACTCAACAATAAGTGGCAACTATTTTGTTAATAAATGAATCATTTAAATCCATTTTTCAGGAAAAAAAAAAGTCAAATATTAAGTGGTTCCAGCTTCTTAAATGTGAGCATTTGCTGCTTTTCATCGTCATATGTTATTGTAAACTGAAAGTTTGGGGGCTTTAGGCTGAGTTATGGATAAAACCATCAGCATGCCCCTAGTACTGCCACGGCTCTTTAGTCATTTTGCGGAGCTCTGAGTTCACATCAGGTTGAGAGGGTGTGCTTGATTTGGTGTTACTGCAATCATAAAAGGCAGGGTTTGTTTGGTAATCAGAACTTAACAAAAAATCTCATTTCATTGCGTTAGTAAGTAGAAAAACATTTGAGTCCCAAGACGCCGCTGGCGATCACGTCAGATTAGAATCGAGTCTTTAAGGCTTTCAGAGTCATTATGGTTTCAAAATAATGGGTTCCTTACTCAAACATCATACTTTAAATATAAGTCTCGTCTCCCCTCCTCTCTCAACACTTCCCCTCAACTGTTTTCACGTCAGCAGTCATTTTGTCAAAGACATGAAGGATTAGAAATTTAAAAAGCTCCCCAGCTGACCACTTTCACTGTAGAAATGTCTGAACTAGTCAACTGAAAAACCCTAAATATTATAATATACTCTGGCCAATTCTTTTTTGCAGACATTATATGCCTTTTTTTTCTGTCTTTTAATCTGTCCTTACCCCACAAGCACGGTATCTTTGTGTTCAGCACAAACGCAGCTGTAAGTCCGACTGATCATTTTGTCTTTTTAACAAAGTTTAAAACTTCCAGGAACCCAAAATACAAGAAATATGACACGGAATCCGCAAATCTTTAGTGAAAATCACTCGAAATACTTCTCAGAACAGTTCAAAGCATATACAGTTTCACTATCGATGCACACAAATACAGCGGAACATGTAAGTAATACGACTTGACTTGACTTGACAGTTTATTTAAATCACTGTAATTATTATTAATTGGAATATAGTTTAGAAAGTAGTTTATCGTCTGCAGGTAAAAGTCCCTCATCAGCTTTTTTCCTACATGACATAAAAATAAAGTAATGTTACTCTAAAATATAACATATGAAGAGGGTTGAATTAAACACATCCATTTTATGAAACAAACCTCTCTTTAAGTTCATTTTAAGTTAAATTATAAAGGTTTCTGTGCGTATTTAGTCACCTAAAGACATAAAGGACGAATTTTCCATGAACAGTTTCCACAGTTTTGTGCTGTCAGACATTTTTAAAGATCTAATTTCAGAGCAAAACTTGAGCTTGTCACATATAATCACTGCAAAGAAACAGGAACATTTCTAAAAAGAAATGCTCTATATAACTTTTTCGGGGAGTTATAACTTATAATCAGAGGGTTATTATCCAGTATCTCTAAATTACACATGAAATGCTTTTCATGTTGGCTCTGTTGGACAAGACGCTGCATGTTGTGGCCATCTCATTTAGGAACAAAAACTCCTCTGCGTACAAAAGCGCTATTAGAAAAAAAACAGCTCGGCCCAGATTGATTCCCCGTCAGCGTCTGAAGCCGTCGCCGATCACTTCACATGATTCTTGTCTTCCAAAACGGCCGCCTCCCCGCTGCGTTCGGTCAGCAGGGAAAACTCGGAGGCCAGTGGGTATAATTTGTGGCTCTGCCTGTTATCCTCGTTTGGCCTGGAGTATTATTTTTGTTTTTTTAACAGGGACAGGGCTGAGCCAGCCTCCATGCACTGTGTGTGTCAGACCCAGGCATTGAATTTCAAACCCGGTGCTTGGATTGGTATAAAAACCGTCCAGATCTAAAAAGTCGCACGTTTCTTCGATCATACTGTCAAACTAGGCAGCGCTGATCAAGTAGAACAGTAGAAGTAGGTTGTGTTACCGCATTGCTTCACATTTTAGTGTGCTGTTAAGGTGTTTTTTAAAAAGTTTGGGAACTAGCCTTCATTATTTTCCAGCTCTACGTCGCACGTTTCGTTGCTCTGATTGGTTGTAGGTCTATCCAATTACGGTCAGAGGCATTTAGGTCTGTGTTAGTTGATAACATTACTGGACAGACATGAATGTAAACTGTCACTTGACATGAATGTAAACTGTCACTTGACTGGTCGATGGTAATTCCAGTTTAGAAATCTCTCTAACTTACTTTACTTATTCTTTTTATGCTCCCTTTGGGGCATAAGGCATCAATACTGTTCCTCCACCTATCGCGGTCTGTAGCAGCTAGTCGTGCCTCGCCACATGAGGCTTTAAAATATGTTTTATGGTCTAAGTTTGGTCAGTAAATCAAGAGGACGATGTTATATACAACAAAAAGAAGCATCTGCAGGGCCTTGTTGCGGGTTTTATGCCACTAATTTCGCTTCATGAATCTTTTCCTCCTCCGTCAGCTCATCCATCATCATTTTGTAACTGGTTTCCTCTCAGAATCCACCTGCTTCCTCTCTGAGAGGATACTTTTAGGTTGTTTTTCTGCTGCTCTCTGTTTGATAAAAGCTGCTCGATAAGTGCGAGAAGAGGAAGAGGAGGAAGAGTTGAGCGACGATGTTGTAAGACGACAGGAAACATCAGGCAGCTCCACCCAGATTGGAAAGAGATGAGATGTTCCTCTTTCTGTTTTTCTCACTTTATGCTGCTCATTTTAGCGGATAGTTTTGAGAAAGAGTTGCGTGTTTTCGTAAACACAATCAGCTGTTTGTAGCTGAGCTGTGACATCCGAAATGGCCGCCACAGTTGGCGTTGCATCAGCACAGAACGGGTTTTGTTTTTTATTTGTTTCTAGAAATGTTGTACAACTCTGTGCAGAGATTTGTACACAGGGTGGAGAAAGTTGTTTCTTAAATTAGTTTCAGTTCCTCTCTGTGGTTTCTTCTTCTGTGTTCTTCTCAGAAATGTGTGTGTTGAAATGGAATAACAACAAAACAAAACAAAACAAATGAAATATCAGTTTGGGGTTAAAAATGCAGTTTCAGGAAGTTTCGCTCTTTACTCATTTGAACTTTTTCTGCGTATTAAAAACTTAATTAAAAATCTTCTTCACCTCCAGCCACCATGAAGAAAGGCCTGAACGGCTCCAGCTGGAGCAGCGAGCGGAGCCTGATGTTTGGGGGAAACATCCAGAACACGCTGACTCCGTCCTCCACAACCCCCACCTCCTCAGCCGCCGCCGCCGCCACCTCCCAGGTGACCTCCATCGACGGAGTCAGCTTCTCTGAGGGAGACCTGCTGCTTCAGGTAACTGAAGAAGTGTTATTAGATGTATTATTACTAAAATATTACTGGGTATGATGGAGGTTTTTCTTTGGTCTCCAGGCGCTGAACGGCTTTGTGTTGGTGGTGACGGCTGAAGGCTACATCTTCTACACGTCCCCCACCATCCAGGACTTCCTTGGCTTCCACCAGGTGAAACATGAGGGACTGATGATTAATAATAGTTGAAACATAATGAAGTTCCCTGTCAAAACAAGGCATTAGGAAGTCATTAACGCCATCAAAGATACAAAAAAAATTGTTATTATTAACTGCCTGTTGACAGTTTGTTGATTTTGTAAAAGGAGTAAAAGAGCAGCCATGTGGATTAAACGAGTTAGCAAACTCCAGCTGGTGGAAAAGTAAAAGTTAGGACAGCTCAACAGTTCTCCTAAAGTTAGGAGAGTTTGTTTAAGATTTTACAAAGTTAGGAAGCTTCTGTAAAACACTTTTCCTATCTAAAGTTAGGAAAGTGACTGAGGAACTGTTAATCTGTGATGGCCTTTTTCCTAAATCAGTCAGTAAATCTAACCCTTATTACCACGGTTACCAAGCAGTTAGGATAGTTTCTGTAATACGGCCCCTGTGAAATAAAGACAATATAAAATACATTTATACATATTTATACATATTTACTCAGTCACAACATAAAGTTCTGAGACTTAAAATGTGAACATATTGAGAGGCCTAATTGATAAAAATACATTTTAAGAAGCAGTTTAAAAGAAGGTTTGTTCAGTCTGAGCTCCTCAGGAACGTTAATCAGTTTACTCACATACACAGTTTCAATTTATTGATTTCTTCTAGGAAACTTTGTTTCATTGTTGCTGGAGCAAAAGTGACGATATTTATCAGGGAGGGCGTCACGTATTTCAACATCTCAGAGGGAAAAATTGCGCTTTGTTCTGCATTACAATTATCATACTGCTTCAGTTATGAGTTACTTTACAATCTAAGATATATGCACACCATTATTCAGATTAATCTGCAACTATTTTAATAATCGTGTAAGTAACTTATAACAAACACCAGCTTCTCAAATGTGAAGATTTGCTGCTTTTGCTTTTAACAATTTGAATATAATGTTAATAACGTTGAGTTCTGGACTGTTGGCTGGACGCCGCAAGCGTTGTGAAGGAGTCACTTTGGTTCTAGTATAACAGTCACAGGGGACACGGGGAGCACTTTTACTTTAATAGTCTTAATACATTTTAAATCCAGAATTTTTACAGTGGTGTATTAGTGCTCTTGCTTATGGACCTTGTTGTTGATACATGGCGTGAAACGGAAAGATTTTCTTTAGGGACAACTCTGGGTGAAGAACAATAAAGTATATAAATGTAGAGCTGGGTGTTTTTTCTTCTTCAGAGAAGCAATGATCTGCCCCAGAAATGATAAAATGAGCCGCTGTGAGGAGGAGCCTATGTACGGAAATAAGACTTTACTGCAAGACAACCTGTTTTCAATTCACTGACCTCCTGAACTCTGATGTTCCTCTTTAAACAGCCTTTAAAAGAACATTTTGGTGTACGCTTTGCACCCATTTCCTACCTTTGACGAAGCAGCTGGTTTCAGTTCATGTATGACCCAAGTGTTTCTTCTCTTTTTTTTTCATTCATTCAAACCTCTATTTAACCGGGATAAAAAACTCTTTGAGATTAAAAATCTCCTTTACAAGAGTGTCCTGGCAAGTGGCAGCAGCGCGGTTACAAATAGATACAGAGACACTTACAAGTAAATACATAGACACACTTTCACTCATCACGTCTGAAAGCGGCTCAAACGGGTCACCCGGAAGAAAAACAATAAACAAACCTAGCAAAGGGTTATGTAAATATTCCTATTCCTAAGATGGATAAAAAGAGGAAAAACTTGACATTACCAGCGAAAAGGTTTAGAGCATTTTTCTAGTTTGTATGTAAATATAAGTAGTTAAAAATCCACTGAAAAACCTTGGTACAAGGTAAGAAGCAAAAAACAATGTTAATGTCATAAAAACAGACATTTTAAGATATAAAATGAAAGGAGTTTTATTATTTCACCTTAGGATCAACCGATAGGCTGTTCCAACGTGTTTACACATTAAAAATTGTTTTTGCATCATCTTTCAAGGCTTCATTTTCTCCTATTGTTGCAGAATAAACAAAGGAGGTAAAGACAAAGTTTAGGTCAGCAAACCTGAGAAACAACGTACATTTCAGAGACATAAAATTATCAGGGATCAAAAAAGGAGTTTACAACTTCAAGGTATTCTGCAGAAGTGGAAGTAAATGAAGCGGAAGTTGATTCAAAAAGACATTTCTACAATAAACACCTTGGACCAGCATGTCTTAATTAGCTTTAGTATTTGTAAATAACATCAGTTAAGCAAAAGCTTTCAAAGCTTTAAAAGAAGCAACTGAGCTCGGGTTCCACTGAAAGGCAGGGATGATGGCGGGACATTTAAACAGACATGTATGGAGAGAGAAGCTGTAAAGTTTACAGAATTTGTAGATAAACATGTAACGGTCCTTTAAAATAGACTTAAAGTAATTCAGTTGAACAGCTGGCTAATTAATGGTGAGGCACGTGTGTGTGTGTGTGAGTTAATGTGTGTGTGCATGAGAACTGAATTGCCTTGTCGGCTCTGAACTCTTGACTTGTAAACAAGATGTCTGCAGTCGGGGGGTGGTGGGGTAACATATACATCACTGCTTTTCCACGACACAGTCTGAAGTCAGGATGCTAATCAGGGCAGGAAACGTTTTGTTCTGTAGGCCACGGTGGCTGGTAAAGCCCAAAATTCACCAGCCGCTTTGACTATTGCTTTTGTTATAAACTTTATTTATAGAGACGTGCAGCTATAGAGTCGATAAAAGAGGAAACTCACACATTCTGGATAAAACTGCTTATAAAGAGAAGAGATTTCAATGATACAGATTTGACTTATTTTCTTTATTTAATATTTTAAGGAGCGGAAATGTGCAGCTGACTTTTATTTGGTGCTCACAGATCCTGACTTCAGGGTTGCTTTGAACTCAACAAAGCCCGCTGAGCAGTTTGAAGTCGTTTTTCAGCACTGCTGACAAAGGACCGTTTTGTGTGGGGTTTGTTTGTCGACGGTTGAGTAACAGAAAGAAGCCCAGAGGTGTGGTTCTCTCAGCACCTCCAGCTCTTTCTGCACAGTCTCTGTGTTTCCAGCGTGAAGTCAGAGGCGTTCATCCACGCCACGGTCTGAGAGCATTGTTCACACCGTGCGTGTGTTTAAACTTGCATCATCGGTGCTGAACGCAGCTTGCCAGTACAAACACTCGAGGAGCCAACAAAACGCCCAAACCACGACTGAGGGCCCGTCACACAAACCCGAGCCCGGACCCAGATACTTAGAACAACTGTTGGGATCAGACCAGGATTGCAGCAGCTCATGCTACTACTACTTATTAGTATTTTTTTACTATCAATAAAACTATTACTACTTGTACTAGTACTCCTGCAACATTAGCAATAGTAGCAATTATCGTACTACTACTTCTGCTGCAGCTACAACTCTTTTTACTATCATTAGCACTATTTAAACCTGTACTACTACTGCTACAGCAATAGTAGTAATACTTGCACTAATGCTGCTGCCGCTACAAGTTCTTTGACAAACCATTTTACACGCTGTTGTTCTAAATATAAAGCTCTTTTTTGCAGGCTCATGTGTACATTTCCATACAATGTTCCAGAGTGAAAGTAATCTGCCAAGACGTGCTGAAAAGTGCTCTGTAAACACCAGTGCAATGTTGAAACAGCAAATATTTATTTGGCTAAACGTTACAGGTGTAGCAGTAGCGCAGTGTCGTATACAGCAGCATACAAGAAAAGGAAACCAGAAACATGTATAAACCAAAAGTATCATTTTTTCTTTTATTGCTAAAAATACTGTAATGCTTATTTTACAACACCGTACTGCTGAAATAACCATTAGATTCTTGCAAGCTGTTCTAATTTCTGAAGGTTCAAATTATGGATGCCAATGTAAAGCGACTCAAATTTGGCTTCTCTCACTGTGATCATTGATCACATGATCAATAAGTGTGGCCCTGAACTCGTCCTCCTCCTCTTCCAACTCTTCATCCTCGAACTTGTCCTCGACGCCTCCCTCCTCCTCCCCTTGCTCTCTGTCCACTGTTGGCATCTATTGTTCAAAACAGGTAATCTGACCTTTGACCTATTTACAGGTCTACTGCAAAGGAAAGCAGCTCACTTCCTGTTAGGGTTAGGTAGAGAATTGTGTGTAGTGTTAAAAAAAGTGTTTTATGCAATTGAAAACTGAGATATAGCTCTTGGTGTTGCAGATTTGAGATGAGGTTTTGGTCTTTGAGTGAGAAATTTAAAAGATTTTGCGTGTAAGCAGTTGTTAAAAACTGTAATACTTGTACTGCTTCTGCACAACTTGTGTTACGATCACTACTACCATTAATATTTATACAGCAGCTACTCCAACTCTTTTTACTTTCATTAATACCTATACTGCTACTAAAACATGTAGTACTACTGCTGCTGCTCAACTATGATTATGATTACTAGTACTGTTAGTACTTCCAGTGCTGCAGGCTACTACTCAGGCTACTACAAGTGCTACTGCATCCTGTCGTACGTATGTCCCGTCCTACATCAGCAACTTAAACTGAATCAAAGGTCAGCTGGAGGGACGTCCACGATGACTCCGCAATGAATATGAACGTGTGTTTATTTTTATTTTTTTTTGAAGCGTAGAGTAAATCTCTGCTGTGGGAAGTCCTACATGACCCTGAGCATCAACATTTATGTTTCTGCTGCCAAGACGTGCGCTGGAGCCAAATCCTCCACGCTAATATACCCATGCTGGCCTGGAGATCAGCCAAACGGCTTATGGGACAGGATGAATCAGCGGCCTGGAAACCTCTCTTTAAATAGAGATGCTTGGAGAGGACATTCATAAATATTAATAAACTGTTCCAGTGTATTTCTATCCTCTCACATTCTGAGACAGACAGTATTTATTATTGTTTGCTGAGAAGTTTAGATTAGCATAGATCAAGTCAAGTTATTACTTAAGTTTATTTATACAGCACTTTTCATACGATTAGACTTATAAGACAACAACATGTTAGAAAAGAATGTATTACGTACATAAAAACACATAAGATAAGAAGGAATTATTATCATTAGTATTTTATAAATTGACTTAAAACTCACTTAAAACCTCAGAAAAAGCTTGTGAAATGATGTAGATGAAGAAAAGGTTAAGGCTGTACATGATTTGATGATTAAAGACAGTTAATAAGCCTGAAATCTTCTGGTGTTCCAATGAGCAAAAAACATTTGATAACTTTGCTTTAAAGGCCTGGAAAAAAGACAAGAAGGATTATTTAATTAGTATTTATTCAGAGCTATATATTAAATATTTTTGTCAGTGATTTATGAATTTTAATTTTATACAATTATGGTCTAAAGTTTGGACTTTGAGAGATGGAAATATAGTCGACAGTCTGGGTTTTTTACCCTGTAAATTATATTTTGTTACGAATAATTAATAACTAATAATTATCCTGCCAGTTTGCAGTAAATTGCAACTTCATTCATACAACAAAGGGAAATTTGTTTCTGTGTTTTCAGTCGGACGTTGTCCATCAGAGTGTGTTTGAGTTGATCCACACAGACGACCGAGCTCTGTTCAGACGGCAGCTTCACTTCGCTCTCAACCCAAATACCATCCACCAAGATGGCAGCGCAGAGAGTCCCAGTAAGTCATTATATACACACACACACACACACACACACAATGCATTACACCTGAGCGAGTAAACCTGCAAACACAGAGCCAGTGACCTGCAGAGAAACACTGAAGCAGCAACTTATCCTTTAAAATACAGTGTGAATAACTCTGTAGCTAAATGCTAGTGCAGTTATTTGTTTTTATCGTTTCAAGCAGAACATAAAGATACATAGAAGTACATCGTTTAAATGTTTATTAAAGACACACAAACCACAAAATAAACCCTTTCTCCTCCCAGATGTACCTGTTGTATACTTTCCCAAGGAAAAAATAAAAAAGCATAATAAAAAGTGTGCGGGGTTCTACATTTAGATGTAGATAGATATTTTTATTGTCACAGTAAAAGTATAGGGAGATGCCAATATAGAATAAAAAATGTTGACACTATAAGTATGAGAAATATTAAACACTATGAACGAGAAATAAAACAAGTTGACGCAGACAGGAAGAAGAACATCATATCAAAGGACCGAGTCTAAATATAAACTAACAATAAAGATAAATACATTCAAACACAAGTAGATTTGTAGAGGAAGAGTGACAGCAGCACAAATAATCAACATTAGATGGAATAATATGGTAAATATTTCATTTAATCGCTGCAGGTGAGCAGAGCTCTGCAGAGATCAGCAGCAACGTGGTGACCTACGACCCCCAGGCCATCCCTCCAGAGAACTCCTCCTTCCTGGAGAGAAACTTCTGCTGCCGTTTCCGCTGCCTGCTCGACAACTCCTCTGGCTTCCTGGTAAAACACACACAAATACAAAAACACAGCAGCTCTGATTGTCTGGGTTTTGAAAGATGAATTACTCAACAGTAAAAAAAGAAGTTCCAGGGTTTCGAAAATCCTCCTCCTTCTTAAGCTGAGGAAACTATTTACCCCACCTTTGATCAGCTGATCGGCACAAAGCTGAAAACAGGCTTTTTCTCACTGGACAGCAGCGCTACAAGCAGATGATGCTCTTTTAGACCACGATGCATTGCTGCAGATTAAAATACCCGACAGGATATAGAAGAGTCAAAATGAGCTCAGCTTTAAAAATCTACAGCAGGAAAATGCAACATCCACATTAATGCAGCAGTGAAATGAAAAGAGTACTTTCACTTTGATACTTAGTACTTTTTACTGTTTGTACTTTAACTTAGGTATTTTTAAACCTGTCGTCAGTTTTTCAAACTGGTCCAGTATTGAGCGAACGCGCTGCAGTCGGCAGCAGCGAAACAGGGATGCAACAAAATCCTTGCAATTGCTGGCAATTGTGCCCCGTCAAAGTTTGTCCACTAAAGTGCTTGTTTTTCATAGGCTCACATTCTTCTTACAAGTGTCTGAAAACATTATGAAAAGGATCCCTGCAGAGAGAGCGAGAGAGAGACGTTTATTCAAAGAGTAAGATGTTTAACCTGAAACAGTTGCTACATCTCTCTCTTAAAATCCACCAGACTCCATTAACAATACACGTAATTTTACTTCTCTGGTCTACTGCTGCCTCAATTCGTTAGTTTGTGTTATTGTGTGACGTGTAATAACACAAAGAAACTAACAGACTGAGGCTGCGGTGGACCAGCTACTCCCGTGTTCTGCCAGGTAAAATTATGATTTTTATCAATGGAGTCTGGTGGCGATATAGCAACTGTTTCTGGTTAAACAAAAAGGATCTTACTCTTTGATGAAAAGGCCTATCTCTGCAGGGATCCTTTCTATAACGTTGTCAGACACTTAAAATAACATCTAACAACAATCTGAGCCTGTCAGCAGCAAATACAAGCACTTTTGTGGATGTACTTTGACAAGACAATTTCAAAAACGTTGTCTTGATCAGTCACAAAAACAAAAGGGAAAATACCAAAGTTAGCGTCTTGAATGCAGGACTTTTAGTTATTATTGTTTTCACAGTGTGGTTGCGATGAGGCATGATGACATTTGATCTTTATTGTCAAGTGTTTCCAAATCCTTAAATGTTTAAAGGTCCTTTAATACTGTCCTATATGTACTGAGGACTTTAAAACATGTTTCACAGTGTGTGAATTTAACTTTTAAAACTGGACTTATTTCCACTTACAGCCTAAAAATGTGAGATTCAGGCAACTTTCACAAGTTTAACATTTTCCCCGGATTCCCCTCTTTCACGCAGCGTTGAAAACAAGACATCGAGAGCAGATTCTAGTCCGCTAAATATATCACAGAGAAACAGAGTGAAACTCCTTGATTAGACGTCTTCAGAGGATGTGAGGTTTGAAACACGGGTCACGTCTCAATCAGCCTGATCAGCTGCCATTTACAATCCATCTTATATTGATACAACAAAAGCATCTTTTATTTGTTCTAATAGGTTCATCTTCTGGACTAAAATAAAAGGAAAATACTTTTAAATCCTTTTATTCTGCTTATGCTCATGAAGATAGACTACAGCAATATATCAGACTAACTTTTTGGGACCTGAAATGCTCACAGAGTGACGTCAAAGATTGTTTGTCTCCAGGCTCTGAACTTCCACGGCCGCCTGAAGTTCGTCCACGGCCAGAACCGGCTGTCTGAAGACGGGACGTTGGTTCCGCCGCAGCCCGCTCTGTTCTCCATCGCCACGCCGATGCAGCCGCCATCCATCCTGGAGATCCGCACCAAGACGCTCATCTTCCAGACCAAACACAAACTGGACTTCACTCCCATGGGCATCGACACCAGGTACACGCACACAAAGGCAGTTTGTATCCTCTGCTAATGTAATGAAACAAACCTTGTCGACTGTAAACAAGCTGGTTTTGGCATCAATGGTGGACGAGCTGTAAACAGACTTCAAATCAAAAGTATTTTCTCTACATTTCTGGAACTATCTGGCTTCTCTAGAGAGAAAAAAATACAAATTAAACACTCACAAATTTTATTTAAGTCTCATTAAGATCTATTTTTCAGACCTGAGACAGATGAACCAGCATACAAAAACAACGCATACAAAGCAAGACGAGAAACGGGCAAATAAGAGTTATTGAAAGTACAAATCATAAAGTAATGCTTTAAAATCTTGCTAAACATTTAGATAATTTCTTTTTCAAAAACAAAAATGAACCTAAATCTTACAAATATCTACAAGAGTACAGCGGAAGACATCTGGGAACAGGTCGTCACCAAGTGGCGTCTTGAACATTCGTTGAGATGTTTAATCTGTTTTTCTTAACTTTTTTCCCTCCTCTACAGGGGGAAGGTGGTTCTGGGTTACAACGAAATCGAGCTCTGCATGAAAGGTTCGGGCTACAACTTCATCCACGCTGCAGACATGATGTACTGCGCCGACAACCACATCAGAAGTAAGTCAGACGGCCCTTTTCAGCCACGGAATAAAAAGCATCAAGCTGTTCAAGTGATGGATTACTTGTTATTTAGACATGGGTGACTTCATTTAGACATTTTCAATAATTCTGACATCAGTAGTTCCCGACTGATAAGTCAGCGAGCCAATATTATCAGCCGATATGAGCTAATTGCAGATAAAATAAAAAAATCCTTCATCAATATATTATTGTATTATTGCTGCATAGTTTGTCCACCAGAGGTGTTAGAGAGTGAATTCTGCATTCAGCACATGGAGAGAAACTGATGGTCATGTTATTATGAAAAAGAAGGCGTTTTCTAACCTCTTTATTTTAATTTTAAGTAATTTATGTAGTGAACAGCCCAAATACTTGCACATTAATGTAACAATTTGATACTTGTCTCTGTTTCGTATTAAAAATTTAATCTTTAGGGTGCAAACGAGCAGTTTAAAGACGTCCTATTGGCCATCTGTCATAATGTTTGACATCTTTGACCTAAATAAGAGGTCGATCTAGCTCCGGTCACACTTTAAAAAGAAATTATTCAACTGATTTTATTTTCTCTGTGCATAAGAGATGAAGATTGAGATACACAGGTTATATAAAATAAAACTATTTCAGTGAAGGCGGAACACATTTCTTCCTCTCTCTCTCTCTCTTGTTGAACCTGCTGCTGTCTTCACATGAAGCTTAAAACATAAATGGATAATACATAAATATTTATGCCTCTGTTTGTGTCTCCAGTGATAAAAACAGGAGAAAGTGGTTTCACCGTCTTCAGGCTGCTGACCAAAACCGGGACGTGGGTCTGGGTCCAGGCCAACGCCCGGCTGGTCTTTAAAGGAGGGAGACCGGACTTCATCATTGCGCGGCAGAGAGCTCTGACGTAAGTTAACAGCGTGGGTTTAATAGCAAAACATGTGCCACCAACTATTAGTCAATAAAATAATCTATTATTTTTATTTCTTGTAAATATCCGGATTATTATTATTTTTTCATCATTCACTTTTATGTAAAGTGCTATGGAATAAAGAAATTAGTCGCTTTGTTGGTCGGTGATTAAATAATCAATTATTTGTTTTGATTGATTATTATTATTATTTTGATTTATCCAAAAATAATAAATTATGGTCAGGTTATTATTATTATTATTTTAATTGAAATAGTAACATTCAACTCCCTAATTTGCATTTAAAAACACGATTTAGACATTTTTAAAAGGTTGGAAGCAGATGTTAAGATACTTTTAAGGGTTAATAATGCACAGTATTTGTCAACAAGTATAACTTCTATTATTATTATCAATATCTGTTTATTTAGAAGCCTCCACTTGGCTGAGTTACAGAAACATAGATTAATAAACACTTATATCTGCTTTATAACTTTATTTGTTTCTTTTCTTACAGAAATGAAGAAGGGGAAGAACAACTGCGCCTCCGTCGGCTGCAGTTGCCTTTCAACTTTGCCACCGGAGAGGCGTTGCTGTACGATGTAGCTCCGACCATCGACGTTCCCGACCCGTGCTCCGCCCCCAAGCAGAGAAAGATGGACAGCTGCTCCGTCAGCCCCAACTCCATACTGGGCATCATGATGAACCAGGACCAGTCTGTCTACTGCGAACACAACAACAACCTCAGCACCCTCAACGACGTCGCCTTCAAGGACAGCCACGCTACAGTCAGCGTTCCTGGAGATGTCTGGCTGGACCCCACACCCAAACCCGTTGTGGGAGGCCTGGTAAAGTCCGAGGCCACAGTTCAGGACATGATGGACACCCTGCAGCAGATCCTCGGGGACGACAACCTCGCCGACGCCCTGGACGTGGAGCCCGACGAGCTCAAGAGCTGGGAGAGTACCCTGCTGAAGATGAGCACCAACAGCTGCGAGATGAGCGAAGACCTGAACGACATTCTCAACAATGACATCCTGTCTTACGTAGAGGATCAGCTCCGGAGGGAGGGCGGGCTCAAGTTGCCGGATCAGCTGGATGACATACCACCCTGTCTCTCTACGTTGGACCTCCACAACCCGAATCCTGACCAGTGTGAGGAGCAGAACTTCGGCTGGCCTCTGGAGCCCCATAACCAGTTGATACCAAACATAGGGCAGATGATAGCCGGACACCCGGCTCCGGGCCCGGGGATCATGAAACTAACCCACATGGATCTTCCCCAGTTAAGTCCTTCTGGTTTAAACGGTCCAGCCCTTCACCAGACGTCCGTTGGTCTTCAACTGAGCACCACAGGCAACATTGGTGCTCCAGCTACCTTCAACCCCGCCTTGGTGGACTCCTGCGCTCAAACACAGAACCAGCTGAGAACCTTACAAGTCTCTGCCAAGGACAACAATCTCGGAGCATTCTCCTGCAGGCAAACTTCAACCAATCAGATTCACTCTAACCAAATGGCTCAACCGATGCAGAACCACCTGCAGATGAACACGCCCAACCTACCGGTCTGCCTCCAGGACCAAACAGCAAATCCCGTATTCAACCATCAGGGCAACCAGTGGAACGCCTCGGGCCCCAACTCAAGCCAAGTTAAGAACTTTATGGAAACATACACCCAAAATATTTCAAACGAGCCGGGGTTCACCGCAGATCCTTCCTCGTCCAGCTGCCTGCAGGGCCACTTCACACTTCAAACACAAAACAGCGAGAATCAGAGGCAGTCCTGGCCGCTGGAGCAGCAGCAACAGCCGATGGGCGCCTGCCTCACACAAATGCCAGGGTTTCAAAGGAATCCTGTTCCGGCCCAGAACATCAGGCCAGTGGTCAGGACTCCAGAGACTTTAAATGTACAATTCCCTGTTCAGCAGAACATGGAGCTGCCTCCGACCAGTTGCATGTTCAGAAATACCCCCCCTTCGGTCGCTGTAAATGGAGTGCACCCCGCCTGCCAGAGACCGAACCCCGTCAGCAACCAGATTCCCACGAAGACGTCCTGTTTCTATCAGGGTCTTCCCAGAGCTGGATCTGTGCCGGGAATGACGGCGATCCCGAATCCCGGTGAAGCAGCGCTGTCCTGCCAAATGGCCGCTGGTCTCGACCCAGACGGTTTGATGGTGCAACAGCAGCAGTACCTAAACTTCGGTGAACAGGCGCAGGTAACAAACAACACCTTCTTTACCTACTGGTTTCAGTTTATTTCTCTATGGTTAGTAAAAGTGGTTAGTGAAATACATATAATGTGTAGCTTTCCGGAAATAGTCAAAAATATAGTAGAAAACAAGACAAGTTTGTTTTTTTATAAAAATATATCTGTATTTTCCGCTGTTGGTCACGATTTCTTTAACAAGTTATTTTAGCATATGCTTATCAAATGTTTGTGTTAGTGTTAAGTTTGAAGATGAAAATTGGCTGGTACGTGTTTTAAATTCAACAAATATCTAGAAAGGTTATTTAAAATTTGAAAGCGACCAACTGGTTGATTTGGTGGAAGCTCATCCAAAAAAAACCTCAGTGTTGTTTTTTTTTAGTTGATTGAACTTTTTAGAACTTGTTTCAACTTGTTTTACTTTATAAATGCAAGAAAAACTTACCTTAACTAGTTTAACCCGCTTACATGTCCGCATTATTCTAGCTCACAGTTTCAAGTTCAAAAAGGGCTTTGCAATTAATTGAATTTTAATTTCACTTGGGCTTCAAACGATTATAAAAACAAGTTAATCGAGTTAAAACGATAATTGTGCCGCAATGACACTCGTCTTGTCTTGTGTTATAAATCCAGCACACCCTTTCCTTTACAGCAAACTCCCCCTCAGCCAGGCTGCACGCCAAGATTTGACTTGCTAGTCACCATTATTAGCTCAAGCCTATGTCAATTTACACCACAGGAATTTGCTAACGGCTTTTCCTCTTCGCATTGATTCACAAATGATATATTGTTTATCCTTGTACTAAATCAATTAAAAGTTCAATAAATGCATGATGTTTCTGAGTAATCGTGTAAATATTTTTGATCTCAATAATATAAATATATATATATATATGTACCCCCTCCACCGGTGGCACTAGTCGTTTCTAGTTGTAATTTGCATACATGACTAATCTGCAGTGTATGATTAGTTCATTATGTCCATGTTTCAGCTTTGCCATGGTTTAAAGAAGACAGTTTCTCTCAAACAAAACACGCAGCAACTATTTTATTTCTCTTGCTCCCAACCCCGCACACTCGCCTTTTTTTTCAACTGAAAAGTTCCAATCAACACATACATATCTGATAAAAGCCTCAAATTGTCAACACAATGAATTGATGCAAGTTTAACTTTCGAAAAAACTCTTGAGTTCAAAATCCAAAGCTTATCAGTTAGGGCTGGGGATTAAAATTTTGCGATACCATTACCAAAACCTGTACCCTTAAAGTGATACCAATAGAGTACTTTATTCGATACCTTTCATAAAATGTCACCTGTTGAAGCCACAGCAGTTGATTGTTTTTATGGACAAGCTATTATTTTGTTTACTTTGATCAGTAAACTGAATTGAAAGATCTCCTCGAGTGATTTTTCCTCTGAAAAGACGACAGTCACAAGTATAAAACGCGAAAGCAGTCTGTTATAACAAGTCACTAAACTCCAGAGGAAAGAGAGGCTGCACGTCCAACCGATCAAACCAACTGCACCCGAAGCAGCCGCAGCTGCAGCCCGGAGGCTCCATCAGTAAAATCAGCTGATCGCTGCTGCTGCGCCAGCAAAGTGTTTAATTCGATCAGTGACAAGTGATGTGAACAGCAAATAAAAATGTACAGAGAAGTGTTAAATGTGGTGATAAACTTGGCACAGTGACGAACATGCAGCCAAAGGTGAGGGGCTGTTAAAATCACGCATGTTGCTTGCGTGTTTCGCTGCAAGCAAAACTGTACAAATAGACATTTTTTGCCGCGATCCGGTTACAAAAAGTATCGATTGAAGCACAGGTTTGACTGGAGACGTTCCGGTTCTACTCGATAGCGATACCCATCCCTATTATCAGTGATCTTTGAGTTAAAAAGAAGATGTGGAAATAACTAATTGGGGCTGTAATGATTTACAGCGTAGAGCACAAGTTATCGCCCTCACATTTCATCTTTTAGTTCGATTTTTTCACACATTTTCCTGGTTTCCTCTCAAATTCAAGTCGATTGGAGAAGCTAAATTGCTCTCGGGTCTTTGTGACTTTATGTGCATGACGGGTAAAAGAAATAAACCTTTGTAAAGTTAGACCTAAACTGTCACCGGCCTTTTCTCGTTCACAGATCAACAGCCGTCCAGTCCTCGGGAACGGAGGTTTCCACTTCTCCTCGCTGACCAATGGGAACGCTTACTACTCAGAGAACAAATAGAAATCTGCTGCTTTGACTTCTGGACGGCAGAGGATCCCAACTCAGACAGACAGGAGGAGACTGAAACAGAAATGTGCTCGAGAAGAACGAGGAGACAAAACTAATTTTCTAATTCGGATGAAAGCTTTGAGTGTTTTGTACTGGATGGCTTGCTCTTTGTTCGAGGAAGAGAAGGAGTTTGGTTTGAATCCCTCTTTGGAGCTGGTTGGATTTTACCAAAACAACAAAAGGATAACAGATGACCAAAATCAAGTTTGAGAAAACACAAACAAGCCAACGTACTGCCCTCCTCTATAGCATCACACATTAGCGTGAGCAGAAGGTCTCCAGAATGTCCGAATTATTTGTCATCTGTTTATAGGTGGGAATGTTTAGATGTATGGGACTCAAAGCGATCTCATCCACTACGTGAGAGGCGGTCCCCGATGCTCCCTGCGGTAAGGTTCAGTTTAGCGGCTGTGTGCTGCTGTTTATCGGAGGTTTGGTAGTTAACCGACTCCCTTAGTCCTCATCCTTTAAATCTTTTCTCTAGTAAAAACAACTCATTCTGTATGAAAACACTTCCAACAAAGTAACTCAGATATTTTTCAACCTGGACCTTATTATCCTTTGGTTTTGTGTCTGTGTGATGAAGTGGGACATCATTTTTGGAAATTGGTCCAGTGTCAAGCAAGATAAGTAAGATACAGCATAGTATCGCGATATTTTGCAAGGCAATATCGTACCGTAACACGGACGTCAACTATCGATCGTTTATTATATAAATTGTACATGAGAAGTTTGTTTTTCGGCTCTAATAAAATAGCGTTTTCAGTCCACTAGAAAAAGAATTTTCCCTTTGTGGACACAATTTGAAGTTGGGAAAAAGCAATTGCAATAAATTGTAATATGTTTAAAATGGCAATAATAGCGTATTGCGACATAAGTATCGTGATAATATTGAAACGTGGGGCCTCTGGTGATTCCCACCCCTATTAAAAAGTGGCTGCAACGTAATCCTTACAGGCCCACGTCAAAGTACAGGTTCAGTCAGAGTAGGATCCTTTTTGTCGCTATATTGCTCTCGTCAAAGCCACCAGACTCCATTGATAAATATTTTAGCTCACTGAACACAGGAGTGGCTGGTCTGCCGCTGCTTCGTTCGTTACTTTGTTTGTTCGTTTATGTTTTTTATCAGTGGAGTCTGGTTGCTTTGATGAGAGCGGCATAACAGCTGTTTTACTCTTTAAAAAAAGGTCCGTCTCTGGAGGGACACTTACCAAAATGTTATGAGACACTTGCAATAACAATGTCAGCCTGTCAGTGGCAAAAAACAAGCAATTCCCCGCAAGGATTACTTTACAGCCCTGTTTCACTGCCGCCGACTGCAGTGCGCTCGCTTAATACTGGGCCAGCTTAAAAACATGTGTCCCAATTAGTCACATAGACACAAAAACATGAGAAAATAGGGTCCAGGTTGGAAAATACTGAAGTTACTTCTTCTTCTTCTTCTTCAGCCACTGCAATTACACTTGCAGGACCGCTTTCTCGTTAGAGAAAGAGAGAGAGAGTGAAATAGATTTCAGGGAGAAGAGGGGTTGTGGATTTTTAACAGCACAGAACAGAAAAGTGTTCACAGTGTTTTTTAGATAACGTCGCAAGTGAACGATCATATTTTTAACATCCAGCTTACGCACATTACAGTGTTATACGTTAGCTGGCTGCTTGTTTTTTTACCATTCTTCTTGCAACCAGGATTTGTGTATAGGATAAGATTTTAAACAGGTTGTTTTAGAAGAGAAAACACTTGAAGGGATGAGGACGGAGTGGGTGGTTTGGTAAACGCACGCCTGGTTAACCTCCTCACCTCTAATAAAAGCCGCTTCAGCTTTCAGCGTCCACAGCTGTGTCGTACACGGCGGACGAGACCGTCCCGGACCTGAACGAAAGGTAAAAGAAAGAACACTTGAGACAACATCCTGTTAATCCTCTGCCGCCTTTGACGCACAAACACGCCACCCTCCTCCCTTAAAGTCTGGGATTTTAAATCTTCTATTTTAAGCGCTGAGAAGGATAAAATATATCTACTTTTGTTTTTTCTTTTTGCTGTTCTTGTCTTTTGACAAATGCAAGTTCATTTCAACTCTTTACTGTCCCAGAGAGGGAGATTTGCTTTGCAGACAGGGTATATATATATATATATAAATATATATATTAAAAAAACGCACAGCGTCACAGCATCATCCTAACAGATGATTCAAACACAAGATCATTCAGTGGAAACAGCTGCTTTGTTAGTGCTTTTTTTATATATTTTAAAAGCATTCAGACAGATATTTTTTTGTCATTGAGCCAGTTTTTTTCTTCTTTAAGTTTTCTTTTCTTTAATATTTCTATGTTGTTGTTTTCCTGTTGTAGTGGAGAGAAAATACAGACGGTGCCTTAAACTGACAGAGCTGTTTTGAAAACTTTAAAGGGACAGTCTGTTGACATTTTAAAAACATTTCCACCGAGAATATTAGCAAAAAAAAGTTGATGACCGAAACCAAAGTTAAACATGCCTTAACTTCACCAAGCCAACTATTCAGATTATTTGCACTATTCCTTTAAAGTGTTGGGACTTGCCAAAGCATAGCGAAGAGAAAATGAATAACAAATCCTTCATCTGACAGGACAGTAACAGCTTTATTAGTGTGTTTCATTACAATATTTGCACACATTTAGATGACTTTAGTACTTTTAACAGACCGGATGCTCCAGATTTTTTTAGATATCGGATCATAAACTCATTATTATGGCTTAAATTAGCAATATTTTTTCATGACTGAGAGCAAAAGCAAAGCAGATTACTCACTGCCTTAAGATTTTCTTTTAAACCAGGACTGGATGAAACTATATCTGAACATTTAAGACCAGGATGCTGATCAGTTTCTCCGTAAGACACTAATTGTTAGAGTGGGACCCCTTTATTCATATGTTCCACAACAAAATGTCCGTCCTCTTCCTCTTTCCTGTTTCTGTCTTTGTGGTTAATTTATCGACGTTCTCGCTCGGACTGGGATCGTCCGGCAGCGAAACACAGAAGTAAAACGGTTAAAGGCAGCTATTGTATATTTTAAATGAGGGAGGAAAAAAAATTCAAGTGCCTTTTAATTGACCTCTTTGAGATTGTCTGTTAAAAACAACAACATTCAGCACTTAGATTGAAAATAAACACCTCAAATTATAAGAAATGTGCGTCGCTTCATCCAGTACTGAGCCAGGAAATCTGTCCGAGGAAGTCTTACGTCACTCGTTATCAGCACTTATGTACTTTTTAATAAAAATTCTCCTAGAGTAAGTAGTTTTCAGCTTATTTTAGAAGCTGCAAAAGACACGACTAGTGACAACAAACTTGAATATTTGGATTAAATACCAAAAAAAAAGAAAAAAAAAAAAAAGAAGAAACCAACTGTGACGCTTTGTTCTTGAGGATACCAAAGGGACAAGACAGAATACAGATTTACTGCTGGAAAAAGGGTTTCCCGTCACAAATGGAGACACAGAAAATTATTTCTGCACCTAAAACAGCAGGAAACTGACCAGAATGATTGTAGTTGTGGTTTCAGGAAGTGTGAAAATATTTTGTTATTCACAAACTAGAATTATGCTGCGTTCATGTCATATGGGAGTTGCCGTAACTGACAGTTTCCAACTTGTAAATAGCGCTCCAACATCGCACTTAGTCGCACAAAGTACGACCGGGAAACATTGATTCTTTTACTGATAACTTTTAAATGTCCAGCTTGGCGTTTCAAAGACAAACAAACACGGCCGCCTTTCATCAGTCAATTAACTCTCACCTGACACATTTTACATTCATACAACCCTTTTTTAATCAGCATCTATTTGGATAATTAATCATTTTAATTCATTTTTAAGCCAAAATAGTGACACAATGCCAAAACTTTGATGTTTTTCTTTGTCAGGTCGTTGTTAATTGAATATTTGATAATATTTAAAGACATTTTAATGGGTCATAGGCATTTTTTCACTATTAATTGAAAAGAACAGTAGCAGTACCATGTTTACCATCCATCTCATGTACTGTGAATGCAACATTATGTGTGTGTACATATATACCGTACACAAATATATACTGTATATACACACTGTATTTGTGCACTGTGTGTGTGTGTGTGTGTGTATATATATATATATATACCGTGTATATATACTGTGTATATATACCAATATACAGTATATAATGTCTTAATTATGACTTGGAGGTTGACATGAACACTACAACTCAGAAACAAGTCAGAGTACAGTACACTGTTATAGCAGTTAGTACTGTATACATACTTATACCAACAGGAAGTGACATCAGACGTCCATCAAACTGCAAGATAAACTTCACAAATACACTTATTATTAATATTTTTGGTTGTTGTTGTCCGTAGCTTTTTCACCACCAGCCACAATTTATTTTGAAACCCCTTCCGTTTCCTACGTGCATTGCATTGTGGGAAAATTGTGCATTCTTTTTAGTTTGAGTGTACTTAATTTTGTCATGTTTGTTTGTATGTAGTAATAGATTTTGGACAAGCCATATGACGTGAACGCTGCATTAGCAACAAGCACTTGCCCCCTTCTCTTAGAGTTGTTGAAATGCATTCTGGGTAATGTAGTAAACCACTAACTGCAGTAGAATTAAAGGAGGCAGCTTGAGTTACGATTGCTTTGGCTCCATTTTCACAACAGTTTCAACCTACAAAACTCTCAAAGAAATGTTGCATGTTAAACGAAGCAAGTAGTAGAAATATTTAGGCAAGAATTATCTTTAAAAGCTTATAGTTTATTTACCAAATGTACTATATTACTGTACCTTCAATATTAAAGTAAATTTACATTCATTCAAGACCAGATGAGATTTGTTATGGGAGTTTTTCTGTTCTGTATTGACCAAACATTATATTTTTATAATAGTTAACAAAGGGAAAGGAGTGTTTATTGTAGTGAAGTAAGCATGTGACTGTGAAAATTGAGCCAAAGTATATATAAAAAAATAATGAATTATAATAAAGCATCCCCAAATTGTGAACTGTAAGTTTCAACACATCTGCAAAAAGCTTGTAGGACGTTTTTGATCATTTGTTGGCGACCTAATAAAATGTGTCCTCACAGAAGATTCACCAAAAAATCGTAAATTAAACCAAAAATCACCCCAGACGCATCAACACAGGCTGAATTTATAAGACTCAGTACAACAATGAAGCGCTTTTATTGCAGGTATGTGATTTATTTGAGACGCACCTTCTCTCCAAAATCTGAAGCGCTTTCATAGAAATATAATATAGGAATATAAATATATCTCGTTGTTTGCTTCTAGATTAAAAACAAAAAAAGCATCTGTACTTATTATACTTTTATTTTTAAAAACCCCAGGAAGCCAAGGTTTCCAAATTGCAGTATCTTTGTGTACCTGTATATAAATATATATTTGTCTTTTTTTTTTTCAAAATATGTATTGTCATATATTGTGTATTTTAATTGCCTTAACCTGACTCACGCCTATAATTTTTTGTACATTTTCTGCACAGCATAAACATATGTAACCTACTGTTATGTTTTTTGTAACTTTTCAACTTATTATATTTGTGGATTTGCCTTCAATATTTTGCCTTAATCAGCGCAAGAGTGTTTGAGTCAATCTTTTCATGCAGACCATATTAAAGGTGATCTGATCACACAGATAGAAGTCTTTTCTATTGTGATATTTTAACAATAACATGTTGGAACATTTAAAAATTACAGGAACTTTATATGTTTAGTTAGTTAGTGTTCATGTCTTTGTAGGTATTTTCTTACTCTAGTAGTTAAAGTAAAAAATAGTGGTTTGATGAGCTTGAGTCTATTGTAATTGCAGATAATAATTATGTTATAAAGCCATGTTTTATTTGAGTTATAAATTTAAAATGACTTTTCAAAAATTGGGAAAACTAGCATTACGTTTTACTTGCATTTATTCAAAATTTTTAATGTAGTTGGTTCTGTATGTGATGGCCTCAAATGTCCACTAGATGAGGCTGTAACAAAGTAATAATATCTCCTCTGATATGAAGCATTCACAACCTTTAGTAAAAGTATAAAACCACAATGTAAAGATATTTTGCTAGATATTTACTTTTGTTAAATATCTAGCTGTTTGTTATTTGTTATTGTTATCCCAATTCTAACTACTTTATATAGTATGGGTTATTCTCATCTAAATAAATTAAACATACTGTATTTTATAAGCTGACTTTATGTTTTGCTTGAAAAATATATTTACAAGAAGCTGTTGATGAAATGTAGTAGTGTAGAAAGTGTATTACATATATTTACACCACATATAGGAGTTTGTAAAATAATAAAACGGCACTATTGATGTATTACAAGTAATTTATTAAAAAAATTATTAATTATTAATTTAAATTTAACGTCACAACTTCGTTGCGCGCTCCCGACGTCAAATCAGTGCCCGGGAAGCGCGCGCTGCCGCTGGTTGTCGGAGAGACCGAGGAGAGGAGCAGCAGAGAGATCCGGGAGGAGAGAGGAGAGGAGAGGACGGGAGCACCGGGGGTTTTTAACGGCTACCGGTTTTCATTTTAATGTGTTTTGTCTCTACTCAGGATGTGAGTTTAAACGTGAGTTTTTATTTTATTTTTTATTGACGCCATGGACGGCAGAACCGGAGCGACAGACCCAAACTGCCACAGTGACGTTAACTCCCGTGAAAACGTTCTTCGTAAAACGTTAAATACTTCAGCGGGGAGCTTAAGTGAGTCTGTTCCTAATGAGTGAATATAGTGACATTATCTTTCTTTCTTAACTGTTTTATCTCCTTTAAGCTTTTTAAATTAACGTTACAAGAACTACAAGTCTCAACCAGACCTTAGCTGACGTTAACGGTCGAGTGGCGGTTAAGATATGTCACGTTTAACGGTAACGTTAGCCACCTGCCTGTCCGTTAATGGAAGCAGACGAAACACACGCTTCTGATACCTGAGAGGAGTGCTGTGGACTGTTTCTACTGGACTCTACTGTCTGCCTGTTAAAGTCTATGGATTTCCTCCAGCTTCACTGTGAATAAATCTACAATAACAACATGTATGCTGCACGGAAAAGAAGAAAACCGGCTCAGAAGGGGTAAGTTATGGAAGATTGTGGATTAATATTTTTTATTAACTACTAATTAAGTGTTTTTCAGTAATTATTGACACTGATTCTGGTCATTCAAGACTTCTTTCACTGTGGATAATCAGTTATACAAAGTTTGACCTCCCAACAGTCATGCAAGTCTGTAACATTTAAGCTTAATAATATTAACACTACAGCCTGACTGACAATAATGTAAATATTACAAGATAAATGTTACATAAAAGGTCACAGATAATTCAATTTAGTGGGAAGAATATAACTCCCAGGTCATCATTTGTGGAATAAATGTGCAATATACTGTATGTACAGACACATTTAATTGTATTTGTGCAAAATAGTTTAAAATTCATTATGATTATTCAAAGCAAGCTGATAAATACTATTTCCAGTCAGGGTTATTCATTCTAGGCTGCAAGGATTAATCGATAAGTCAACCAACTGCAAGCTAATCAACTATTTTGATAAGAGATTAAAGAGACTTTCTGAACAAGCTGCTTACAGCTTGTTATATATGTGAGAATTTGGATATGTGTCAATAAGTCTTACAAATCGCGCTACTTCTCTAACATACCAGAGTCAAACCGACTGTCCCAACTGAAGGTGCCAAGTCCAACCCATCCAAACGCCACCGTGACCGTCTGAACTCGGAGCTGGACCGGCTCGCCAGCCTGCTGCCCTTCCCTGAAGACGTCGTCTCCAGCCTGGACAAACTGTCCATCCTAAGGCTCAGCGTCAGCTTCCTGCGTACCAAGAGCTTCTTCTCCGGTAGGAAACGCAATATTAAAATGAAATAAATACTACACAGAGCTGCCTACACCTGCAGAAGATGTAAACTCGTGGTGGTTGACATGTGAAAAATGTAACAACATGTTTATGGAAGCAGCATGTTCGCCCTTTTCCTTCCCCGTCTGCTGAAATGCTAAAATAGCTTTTCACACCTCACAACAGTACCTGCGGACACAAAGGCAGAAAAACATGCAGGGGTCGTACAGGGTTTCAAGTAAAAAGAAAGAAGGTCAGAGAGAGTTTCTGGACATTTACATCCACCACAGCAGAGTGCAGGAAGCGAAAGGAATCAGGTGTGAAACCACCAACTCAAGATGAAGGTAAAGAGGAATGTAAAACCTTCCTGTTAAATATGGAATCAGTGGGTCGATTACCTCTTATTTTCATCAAATGTACAGTTTTGTTGCCCGCTTTGGGTCTATTATCACAAGTATGTGGTTAGTACAAAACTACAAACTCATCACACAGACGCCAAGTCTTTCATTCAAAACTTGCAGTTGTGCATTTATTTGGATTGTAAACATCTCTCACCACACGACCATTGATTCAAAGTACAAGTTTCTCCTGAAATATCATGAGTTGGTTATGACACAGCATAATGATATCTTTTCAGTTTAGCTGTTTTAACTACCAATGAAGCCAAAAACAAACATGGAAGATACGTGTTTAAAATCTCCTTACAAGTGCTGAAAGTAGTGTGCAATGTAAAATACAGGCTATTCTTAATATTTACAGAATCTGTCATTTCCATAATATCTATCCTATATGTAATCATGCTGTGATCAATGAAGACATCTTCTACAATCATTGAAAAACTCTTGCTCTATTTTACAGTATTGCAACATGTCTAATCAAATGTAACAAATACGTTAACAGTTATTATGGATGTGTTTATGTAGTGTATTTTACAGTGTTGTATTGTACAAACTGTAATCAGTGCAGTGGTTCATCTGATTGTTAGGGCACTAAGATACCAACAGTAAGGTTGTGGGTTTGAATCACACTGAAGTCACATAAAAATCTCACGCCTCAGACTAAAGTTTTAAATCTGATCATATCAGGAAAATTAAACAACAATACATGTTTATTAAGCAAATGTTACAGCGACGATCAGCTAGGAACAATGAGCACAGTGTTAGTAGAAGGTATTCTAACTATAGAGAAAATCTTATTCAAAGTTATGCAGCTCCTCTGGTCTTTCTACATGTTTTTGTTGAACTACACAGTTGTGAAAAAGGTCTTTTTGCTGATCTGTTGAGTTTTTTTTACTAAAGGCGATGACTACATACTTGGTACCAAAGCAACAGAACAAAACAACTCTACAAATAGCTGAAAATATATCACAAAACTTTGAGTTAAATGTACAATTTGTTAGGGGGTAAATTAAACCCTGTATTGTATGAACTTTTAACTCATCACATAACTATTTATTCTCCACACGAAATATTTATTCTTTGTTCGTATATCCAACCACGACATTTCCAGCCATTGAACTGAAACACATTTTTCCCCTCAGTGATTCATCTTACATCCATATTTTGTTGATGTTATATATGGACCACACAGCCTCTTAGAGTTGAGTACAGTTTGTGTTGCTGTTAATAATTCAGCCAACGTGCAATGTGATGGGGGTGGGTGGTGGTTTGGGTGAGGGTGGGGGGTCCAGAGGTCGTGGCCTTTGTGTCTGGGCTGTTCAGGAAGTGGTAAAATGCAGAGGATTGGCTTTGTCGAGGAGTAAGCAGGCTTACTGGCACAGCAGATGTTTAAAAGGCAGATTATAAGTCTGTCGAAAAACAGCCTCCAGAAATCTTCTTAAAACTGATCGTGTGGAATATCTGAATCCTGCATTGCCACTTTAATCTACTGTAAAATTAGCGTTTTGAGGCATTGATCAGCAGCACAAACTGCTTCCAGTGCAACTTCCAGCACCAATCATAGTTTAAAACAGCTTTAACTTTATGCTCGATGTTTTTTCTTACAATGTGTGCAATAAAATGCTGTGCTACAATATTTAGCAATACAAAAATGTGAATATAAGCATCTTAAAGCTGAAAATGATTGTGATATCAGCTAAATCCGATCAATTACATCTCCCAAAGGGTTTTCATTGTACAGCATAGCTATCTGCTCTGCAAGTCGCCTGTCCAAAGGGAGACATTTATATTTTATATTGTTTGGTTTAATGATGGGCGCCACATACTCTGAACAACAACCCACAGTAGCTCTGCTGCTGAAGTCTCCTCCTTATCTTACACATCTCGTCCCACAGCTCAGCTTGTTGAACGAGCCACCAAACAAAAAAGTGCTGACGTCCGTTCACAGGCTAGATCTAGATAGCTAATTAGCTGCTCAGCGGCTGCACCTAAAACAGCATGTACCTGCAAATGTCACTGTCGGCCAGTTACATGACGGTGTGGTTCATCAATATCACAAACAACTCTCTCTCTCTCTCTCTCTCTCTCTCTCTTTATATATATATATATATATTTAAAATATTTCATATGCAACACAAAGTCAGATTGACAATATGTAGTGTAAGATGAAAGTACCTGATGTGTATATCCAGCTGATTGGACAGAAAAACGTTGGTGGACTCATCCACCTCAAGGCTGACAGCCAGGACCTCTGACATCTCATCCTGGACCTTAACTGACCTGCTTGTCAATCTCATAAAGTAACATTAAAACAATCTTTGATCAGCACTTGATATCAACACCTTAAAAGAAATGTACATTTTAAAAATGCTTGGGCAGATACAGTAAAGCGCCATAATTTGTGTGGTGTCCACCTCCGGGTTTCAGAAGTCCATAAAGGCGTTTAAAATGACCTGTTGTTCTCATGTTCATTATTCATCACCGGTTCAAATGCATCAGAGGTCACAGCCCTAGAATATGAAAACAAAGCAAGCTCATTGTTTATAAGTTCACATTTGATTTTTCATATTCATCAATGATTTATATTTAGAACAAGGTTGAAAAAGCGTGACATTACTTACTGGTGCACCATAAGGAGTCCATGTGAACATCTTGCCGGCACGCTGTACTGGGCACTGCGATAAGATCCCTTAGAATTTTCCATTTATTGTATTTGTTTCCAAACGAGCTATAACTGTAGTTTAAAAACATCCTAAATATAGTTTAATATACTATAATAATTTCCCCGATGCCTAGGCACAACGAGAGGGTCAACCTATGCCTGTTGAAGGACTGTCAGTCTTACAGTACGCTGATGGAAACTCTGCTCTGACAGAACGTGTAGCTATAGCAGGAGATTGTTTGCTTTGTCTCTTGTTCTGGCAACAGTTTCTCCTTTTTAATAATAAAAAACTACTAACAATGCATTTTTTTATCTGAAGATCTTTAAATTGTGTTTTGCTGCCAGCGTTTATCCGTTAATGAGGGAGTTTTATTGTTCAATAGGATCTGCTGATCTCCCGTTTTCTGTTTCTTTTGAATTTCCCTTAGTGTTTGTGATATTTTGAATGCGTGAAGCTGCCCATGTATTTGGACTTTTGGGAACTACAAGTGTGCACTGCATTTCCCAAGCGTACTTTCATGAAAAAGCAGATGTGTGCTCTATTGAATTGTCTACTGAGAGAAACCTTGGCTTTATTATTACACCTTCTATTTCTCTGCTTGTAAAAACTTGATTTATTGTTTGATTTATTATAAATTTAGCATTTGATGAAAAAATATTGTTAATGATCAGAACCATCAACCTCGTATCATATGCTGGACCAAAACCTAAGCTAACTGTGTACTCACAAATTTATTAGGGTTAATTTGGCTTCTTATCTTAGTGGCATATTACTCCCACTGAACATCTTGAGGTCACAGTAATTAACAGCCATTTTCGTCCTTTAAACATCTGAACAGCAGCCTGTCAAAACAGGCTCTCTGGTCAAAAACACATCAGACCTTGGTGTCACATGCTGACCCTGCAGAAACAGGCCAGCAGACCCACTTCTCCATCCAAGTGCATGAACCATAGATGACCCCCCTCCCATCATAACGTCTTCGTACAGCCTCAACGTATTGTAGGTCAGCTCCTCTCGCTCGTGGCCACGAGACGACCCTTGTCCCAAAGTGTCAGCCACACAGTAATGTAGGTCTGAAGAGACGGCAGCAGAGAGGAGGTGGGAGGAGGAGATGAAAGCCTCGGGGGAATAAAAACACAGCAGGATAATCCACTCACGGACCCCTTACAGACGGTTTGAAGGGGGGGAGACAGATGCCCACTGTTCAACTTTTGACTCCTGCAACCTGTTTTTAATTTCTTTTTGTTACAGCTGAAGTCCATCATGTATTTAACCTGTGTCTTTTCTATGCAGGGAGCCGAGGTTGACATGGTTTTAGTCAGTCCCCATGTTGGTTAGTATATCGAAGAACTAGGTTACACACACAGACAGACAAACACCTCCACTCCTTCTGCTGCTGTTTCTTAATATCAGTCTGACATCTAGCTACCTTAGCATTAGCTTCCCAGTTACATGGCAGGGACACACTGTGATTACTTGTGCAGGAGAAGAAAACGTGTTGATGCTGCATTCAGGACGCTTGGTAAAACTGAGTAACCCTATGGTTCAATTGTTACTCTATTGTCAAGAGGAAACAGTTTCACTCCCACTTAACCTGAAACATACATTTTATTAATAGAGAAAATCATTGTGTGATCACATGTGTCCACTGCAAAGACAATGTGAGTACTTCCTTTAGTCAGAAACTAATAAATGCCTGTTGTTTGGTGAAGTCTGATGGACAGGAATTAAGCAGGTTAACTAAGGGGTGCCTTTTTCCTAGCTTTGTCTGAGGGAAGGCTCAGTAAACCCCTGTTTTAGATCAGATTACCTAAAAACATTTAAATTTAAACTACACAAATAGAGATACTTTTCCCAAAGATAAATGAAATAATAAAATAAAGTGTTCAAGGTCCTTAATGAAAATTTAAAACAAACCCAGTACACAGAAACACACAGATCATTAGATAGTTAGATTAGATAGTCCTCCCTGTTGTTATCATTAGTCAACACGGCCCCTCCTCTGGCTTGACCCTTTGAAAAATGTATTCTGGTCACAAACCTTGTGAACTCTGAGATGGTGCCAGGGGAAGAGATGCTGGATTAGATGGGTCACTGTTCGTGTCATCGTCCCGCCGCACCGCAGAAGACACTTTAATGTGTTGACTTACGAGTTGTTGCGGTTAGTTGAGACTTTGGCAACTGTTGAGATGTGTTTTAGACTTTATGAGTGTCAGATGTAGCTAGAATATTATTGTTAATCCATATAGTTTATGAGATGAGAAGATGTTTTTACACTGTGGAGGGCTGGGCAATAATTCAGTATTATCGTGTTTCTTCTTTCACCAGCAGCGTATCTAGTCCTGAAATGATTAGTTGATTGACAGTAAAATTTGTTTTTTCAAACAAATAGTTACTGGATCAAGCTTATTAAATGTGAAATTGTGCTGCTGGTCTCTGTTTGATTGTTGATGTTTCATACATTTGCACATGATAAAGAGCATTTGTTATTAAAATCATGACCATTTCAACCACCTTGCCGAGCTGTAATACCCTCCAAATACATTCCTCGCTCGATCTAGCCCTCCAAATGTGGACTCACTCAGTCTGACGTGTGGAGACTCCTTCATGTTAATGTAACTGCCTTTTTTAAAGCAAGTCAGAGATCTGAAGAGCGTTTGTTGTGATGTTTTTATTGGCTGTTGTGTCCTCGTCTTCCTTCGTTGTGCCAACAGATGTCCCCTCCCCTCCTCCTCCCGGTCGCCTCAGGGTGTTTTTTCTTGCTGGCGGCTCCTGTTGGTGACGTCAGGGTTCAAAATACCCCCTCCACCCCTTCTAGCTCTTAATTATTCATAGTTGGCATGCTTTTCCTGCTCTCTCTCTCGCCCTTGTGAGCTTCCACTTCAAGGAGCTCTGTCACCAACAGACTCAGTTTTTTGAGGATTTATTTATATATGAGTTAGTCACTAACTACAACTACTAAACAATACCAGTTTTAGTGCATTATTTACATTACATCTGACCATTTCCCAATACTGTAAGACTTTTCTCACTTTTAGGAAGCCATTAGTTTATTTTTATTTTTATGCTCTTTGAACATCAGACTTGCAGAGACTTAAGGGTCGCTTGAAACTCCAGCGATTGATACCAAATAGCCAAACTTTTCAAGTAAGAAATCACTTCAGTCAAATCATTAATCAAAAAGTAACATTTGCAATCTGCACCTTTGTCAGGTCATTACTACCATACCCATACAAGCTGTGTGGTTAATTATTAAACCCTCTCAGGTTGGTAAAATAAATGCTGCAGTAGCACATCCATCCTAAAACATACTAATAAGCAGGCAGTATACATGAAATATACAGTTGTAGGCTATATCTAAATTTGAATATCATAGAAGAAAAGGTATTGAAGTATGCTTAGGGATGTCAAAAAAAACAAAAATAAAACTATAAATCCCATGTACTTCAAAAGCAGGTTTTAATGACCACAAACATTCTTATTATTGTATTTAAGTGTGTTTTGCACCTGCCTTGAAATTCTCTCCTCCCCACACTCTGACACACTCACACACACCTACACCTCAGGTAAACACCCCGGCTCGCCCCGCCTCTCTCTGTCTCTCCCCCCGTCATCTTGACGTGATTTTGAGGTGATCAAAACGGTGAAACGTCTGCCTAAATGAAGACGAGAAATCCAGGCTATGACACAGAGCTGTTGACGACGAATGTTAAACTAACTTCACCCCTGTTTAAAAGTGTTTTATTCATTATAATTAATCGTTCTTGTTGAAAAATCTTAACTATAGTCTGACTTGGAGCTGGATCCATGTCAAGCTTTGTGGTTGGTTTCTGCCCCATACCATTACCTCCGAGGCTTGTCGACACAAAGACTCCATTAATAATAATAAAGAGACACGAGATATTGATCCTGGTGTGGAATTTGGGTTGCGATCAGAAGAATCCGTCTCGAACCTTTGGCCTCTGTATTGTCTGCGGCGCTCAGAGATGTCCTCTTCCATTAACGTCCCCTCTGCTGCTTCAGAAAAGCTCTTTGTTTCCTTCAGACTCAACCCACTCAAACAGTCTTTATCCCCAAGGTCAAAGGCATGCTGCTGACCTCCATGTTTTTGTCTTAGGGGTCAAAGGTCATAGAGGAGTGTGGGACATACAGAAAATGTTTTAGTCACAATAACTGTGAATTTTGATCACATTGAAAAGCCGTCTTCTTGCTTAAAGTCTCTTATGTCTTATCTCAAAATGCCAGATATCAGCCCAATTAATTGGCTAACCGATTAATCAGTCTATTGCTATTCTGTAGTAGAATAATCTGTTATTTACCAACCAACATGCGTGTCGTCTCTGTTTCTCTTTGTGCAGTGGCGTTGAAGAACCCGCTGTCCAATGGCATGAAGAAGAGCAGCGATCACTGTCATGACAGCAAGACGTCAGGATCTGTGGATGGTCACATACCTGAGGGGGAGCTGCTGCTGCAGGTTGGTGAGCAACAGGCCGTATGTTGCTGTCAAACTCTGTTCGTTTTCTGTCGTGACTTCAATCATGCCTGGTGCTGTGGAAGTTTTTATGCTGTTATTATGATATCTTGTAGAGGAAATAGCACAAGCCTATGGACGTGGGGAAAGTTGAGAGTTAATGAATGAGGCAGATGTATGTAGACTTTATTAACATCTGGAAATTGTTTGTGTTGAGTGGTTTGTTCACTATCCTTCCTCCGTACGTCTCGGACATGTTTGATGAAGGTACAGGCAGGTAGCTGTCACCTAATGTCTGACTGTGTCTGACTGAGTCTGCACACAACAACCATAACAACAGGCTGCTGTAGGTCAGTTGAAACCTTGTGATGGAGGAGAGGCTGCTCTGCACAGCAGGACGAGAGGAGAAATGGCTAGTTTTCTTGGATTTACAGCAGAGAAATGTCTGGTTTTGGAGAGCAAGACGAGTTGGAGTTTACCACTGTGATCAGTTGTTTTTCTAGTTCTTGTTCTTTCTTACATGGTTAAAACCTGCAGCACTTCTATCTATCTTCATAAGTATGTTTATCAAGTTCCATACGTCGTTAATAACTAAAGCTTATTTCCACATGTTCATATATATACAGTAATGCATCACACTACATTTGTGACTAAAGTAACACATTACCCTGAGAACTTTACATAGAAAAAAATGACAAAACTGCCACTAGACTTGCAAAATGATCTTTTCAATTCAGGACAGAATCCAGATGGATGGGATCAAATAATTAGTCGTCTTTTGTTGGATGGACTTAGGCTGTCAATATGAAAGGGGTGGCTCGCAGTGATGAACTTACAGAGAATCATCGGCATCTCTGCTTTATGGAGCTTTATAGGGAGTTTCAGCTCTTATCTGTTTAGCTGCAACTGTGCTGTAATAGTTCACTCAGTGCTCTCACTGCATCGATTTTGGATCTAAAACACCACCGTACACTACCTGCTCAGCAGCAAACAGCAGACAGAGACAGTTAGCAGCTAAAGAGCCAGGCATTTCCCTCTGTGGCTGGTGGAGACCAAAAAATGAGGTAAAATAGAGAGAATATTAGACCTAAATTCACCAGGAGGACACAAAGACAACTCTACATGAACGATAATGTTGCTCCATAACTGCAGGATGTGTCATGCGGGTGAGTTAGGCAGCAGGAGGAGGACCCTAATTCAATGATTTAATGTTACATTGCAATACATTTATATTTACTCATTTGGCAGATGTTTTTATCCAAAGCGACTTGCATTTGAGGAACAACATACATGACTGGTTAAAGATACAAATGAGCTTACAGGCAGACACAGGTGGGTTGAAAGAAAAGAAACATGGCAACAAATAAACTACGACGATCTGGGCTGGTATATGTGCTGCTGGGCTGATGAGGAAATGAGGGTCAGGGCGGGAGATGGGAACAAGGTGATTGCAGGGCAGATGGAGACATCTGGTGGACAGGTTAAGAATTATAGAAATGTATTATTGATCCCAGAGGAGTAAATGGGTCACTGCTAGAATCAAGGACGTGTGGATGTGGAGGACGGCAGCTTCCTGTCTTCAGCTGCTCTGCTCCAGTACAGACGCCGGCCTATGAATTATACAGAGCTGGTGAACACATCTATTATTGAAGGTCCGCTTATAGATCAGTGAGTTGTTGCTGTTTGTGTGCAGGAGCTTGAATAACGAGGAGAGTCAAGCAACATTTATTTTTCTTGCTCTGCAAAACAACAGGAAACACACGAGCATCCGAGTCACAATTTTTGGTAATTGTTTCTTCTATGGTATGAACTGAGACAGGAACAGAGAGACTTGTCCCTTAGTGTTTCCTGGCAGTGTTTGCTGTCATTGGGTCGTCACGGGAACACACTGACAGAGACAACAAAACAACACATCCTCTGACTCGGGAGAGTGAGAGGCTGACCGCACATGAGAGAGAGAGAGAGAGACAAAGATGTGTTTTCTGCAGATAGACGACGCTACAGTAAATATTTATACACTTGTATGCACTCCACTTTGTGTAGTGCATGTGTGTGTGTGTGTGTGTGTGTGTGTGTGTGTGTGTGTGTGTGTGTGCTGGGCGTGGTTGCATGTATGTTGGATTGCTTGGCTTTAAAGCTTAAATCTTGGACCTAAATTAGATTTAATATTTCCATGCCCGGATAGTAATTAATTTATTCATGACTGTCGATTCAGTATGCAGTGACCAAATATATAGTATTTAATAAAATAGACTCGACACTTGATAGTGCTAAGAAAGTAAAGCATTATATGTTGTTTAGATCACTCACTGTCATTTTCTACTGGTTGAGCACCAGTGTACTAAAATAACGGCTTGTGAGAATTGTTTGAATTGAACTTGTTTTGATTATTTGTTTGCATATAGAATTGATAAACATCAGCACCAAAGCCCACTATGAAAATCTGCTACGGCTGTCATGTCAATGAGACAAAAACTAACTAATAAACTAACTAACTAAGAAACCAAGGCTGCAAATATTAAATGCAAATAAAAAAATAATCAACAGATTAATCGACAAAGAAAATAATTGTTATTTGCAGCCCTATGATAGGGCAGCATCAACCCTGGCCATAGTACAAATGTTAATAGCACACCACAGAACATAAATTAAGGTTTTATTAAAAGAAAACTTTGGCCTCGTTGTAGTCTGGCGTTGCTGCTATCGAGCCTCCTCCCCCAAAATGTCAATTATTCAACAGCTAAGAGACCCGGATGGTAATTTTTGACATCATGTTATAGATTTTGAAAGCGCTTTCAAAAGGTGAGTTTTACCAGATGAGTAAAATGATAAATTTGTTATTAAATTATGTGTCTGTTCAGATGAAGACTGCATTCCTACGAAGGTCATCATCATCCTCGTCAGTGAGGTGTAGGCGGATGCTGGCTGGATGCCGTCGTGACTCTTTGCGGTGCCGGGACGCAGTGTCATCACCTCCTCCCCGAGCCCTGAGGCTTGAGGAGGGAGAGGAGGAGTGATGATGGAGGTGTTAGTCATCCAGTCCTCCTCCTCTCCATAACTTATCTTTGAACTGACGTCCACTCGGCTCTTGCCTCTCCTCACCGTCTCTCCCTCCTTCTGCCCGGGGGAGAAGTCTTCTGTCTTCTATCCTCTCTTATTGTATTTTTAGTCCCATTTCTTCTCCTTCTTCCTTAATTTAAAGCCTTTGCTCTCGCTTGAATCGGACACTAGCTTGGTAATCTAGCCCGATAATTTATTCTGAGCTAATGGGACATGTGGATGAGGATTCAGAGGTTTCACAGACCATCAAAACAGGAGCCGGATGTGGCGTTTGTCTTGTGAAATGTTTTGTTGATAGCTGACATTTTGGGCTTCAGCTGGGAAAACTACCTTTAGTGCATCTGTGGTAAATATGCAATATAATATAATATGTTTGGCTTGTTAACATGCACACACATCATTTTATATCCTGATTATCAGCTTGATTCGTCAGTTAGTCCAACAGCAAACACGCTTGACATCTTCTGGCCAGATTGCCATGATATGTGCTGTGGATGTCTGTGGTTCCCAGAGGATGATTTTTGAAAAACCTCCTGACCATGAGTTTAGCACCACCATCAGGTTAAACACCTCATTTGTAGGAAATGACTGACAACTGTGAAATTTACTGGATAGTGAGCACCTTCCTGTTCTCCAGAGGAGGAACCACTTTGGACTCTTCATGAGCTTTTTTCCCCAGATGTTTCACCCTCGACCAAGATATGGACATAAAATCTTCAGTATGTGTTTCATTTAATCCAACACCAACTTCACAAACTTCTGTTCAACTTCCAACAACTCTTGCTTTCCTGACCATTTTAGCAAAGTGAGGGCTCAGACCCCTCCATTACAAACACAATCATAAAGATTTAACATTTTCTCTCTGCAGGCCCTGAACGGCTTCATCCTGGTGGTCACAGCTGAGGGAATAGTCTTCTTCTGCTCTCACACCATCCAGGATTATCTCGGCTTCCATCAGGTAAAACCTCCTGTAAATTTCAAATACAATTCTCAAGTCTATGTAATGTATATGTAATGTAAAGAGATATATACTGTAGCCTCGCCACCATAGTAGTAAGGCTGAAAATGTAATGAATTATGAAGAATTATCTTTTGCATAGGAGGGACTACTGAGTGGCAGGGAAGTGGAGTGCATAATCCTGAGGACTGAAACAAACGCACATATGGAGCGAGAGGTTTAATCCAATTGGCTTCACAACAAACCGTGTCTGCCTCCAGTCTCATCTCATTTCAGAGAATGTGATAATCAAATTACCCAAAGTCTGCCTGACACTTACATACACATACACGCAGACACACACACACACACACATCTATATACTGTGCACAAACACACATCTTGACCCCCTTTCATACGCATCATGTCCCTGCCTGGTCAGGGTGTAAACATCACCTCTCACCCCTCATTTCCTCGTCCACCTGAGGCGTGTCACCATTCATTTACCAAACAAACCCAAATCTGTGGTGAATCCGCTGTCTGTGCTCGCGTGGAGTGTTTGGAAACAACACCACGCAGACATTGGGTGCCAGCAGCTGTCGTAAAAACCCATAAAATGAGACACAATTGAGGAACAAATAGGAAAAGAAGAGGAAGAAGGTACATTCAAATATGTTAAGGTGTTTTCTGAAAATTAGTTTTTCCTCAGCCTGAATTCTCCACTTCAGTAGCTCTTACAGACACCAAACTTTCCAGTTTAATTCATGACTATAATTTGAAGGTATTTGCAGAGCGGTTTGTTCATGTGTACTTCATAGACTGATTTGTAGAACATTTTATTCCCAAAAACATTCCCAAAATTTTTTTTTTTGCCTGTTGACAGTATTTTCTTTAGTAATAAGTAATAAAAGAAGATTTTTTTTTTTTAATAAATGCAAATTACCGCATATTTCATTAGATACTGCCACATTTGTATATTTAAATATAACCTTTCAGAAAACCTGTAATACAAACAATAGAAATTATTGTCTTAATATAAGTAATCAACTAGGAAAGTTTCATGCCAATAAGACAGAGAGAAGTAATCTGTGTTGAACATGAGAAGTGGTTGTTAGATTGTTGTGCTAAGCTACTGTTAGCCTAGCCACGCTAGTGTAGCACCACCATCGCTTCAAGAGTTAATAGCCAGGCTACATAAACCCCAAATACAGTTAATGAGAAAAATATCGTTCCTTCTCATGTAGCTGTTTGAAAAGTATTTCACGTAACACTTCTGCCTGTCAGAGTTGCTTTTTGGCAACCTTTGGTTCCACTCTGGTCCTGAGCCAGGTCATGCTGGGTCTGAACGACAGAAATCAGGGTCACAGCGGTTCTTTGGCTTTGTTTCAGCTATTTTAATCAAATGTTCAGCGACACTTGATTTCTTTTGGCTCCACTTCAAGGCAAACGGAATCAAACGCACCCCTTAGGGTACCTGCTGACAGTAACTGCTTCAACAAAACATCCACCTCAACTCCCGCAGTCTCATATTCAGCCTAAAAAGGTTAAATTATTTATTCAGTGTAACTTTTGTTCATCTCGATTCATCGTACTAAAACTAAAAATATAAAAAAAGAATGATTCTAAATTAAACCGTGTTTTCCTGTCAGACCGACGTGATGCACCACAGTGTGTTTGAGCTGATCCACACTGAAGACCAGCAGGAGTTCAGGAGCAACCTGCACTGGGCCCTCAACCCTCCTGCTGGTCTCGGACCCCCGACGGATCCCTCAACAGGTCTGTCAACTGAAGATACACACTATGCTACCATTTTTTTTTTTACAAGAGGAAAGCAGAAGAAATAAAACAACATGCAATTTAATATAACATCGGACATGGCCAAACTCATAACTGTCACATGATCAACACCAACATCACACTACAGCAAGTCAGGGCGAGTATGATAAAGACATAATAATCATCCAGAAATGTAATGAAATACCAGATCCAATATACTGTTCTGTGTACAGATTAAAAGCTTGCTGGTCTGTTCTTGGTGCCCTTCTGAATCTAAGCTGAGGTCAGAGCAGAGGCGAGAAGAGGTGACCTTTAACTAAAGCCTCCTGAGATTTGGTCTAAATGTACACACGCAGAAACACAACATGGCAGCTTAAGCACACCTACTGTACATACAGCACACACACACCGGTCATTTTACATTAGGTAGGGGTCAACAGTTCACACGAAACACACAAACAGGTCGAGTTGTCATGTGATGTACAGTTTGTTTTAGTCAGCTGAGATTTCACACCCATAGGTTTTATATAAAGCATAATAAAATAATAATAACATGATATTTAATGTCCTTAGACGGGGAGTCTGTGTCGTCGACCTCCTCCCGCCTGGTGAGCTACAACCCCGACCAGCTTCCACCTGAAAACTCCTCCTTCCTGGAGCGAGGCTTCGTCTGCCGCTTCCGCTGTTTGTTGGACAATTCTTCCGGCTTCCTGGTGAGACTCAAATTTATATTCAATACAACTTTATTTATCCCTGCAGCTCACCACACAGATCAACACACACACACACACACACACACACACACACAATAGATAAACAGAATAATTTCAGATGTACTTTAATCACATTAAACCACAGAAGCTAAGATGAACCTGTTTTTGCAGTATGGAGACATTATTAGTGGACCACTCAAATAAATCGGTAAAATAATCCACATCTGAGGCTCGTAGTGTTTTGAGGCCTGTTGGTGCTGCTGGCTGTGTAGCGTGCCACCTCAAAGTCCCTCAGGGATAAAGAGCCACCATGTACTCCTGTAATCCATCTTAAGAGTGCCTCGGGGCCGTGGGGAAAATGGCCTTAATCCTCCCACCACCGAGAGGAGACGAGAGCAGAAGGGGAAACTTGCTTAGTCAGGGTTGGTAGCTCCAGTCCGGCCACTGCTACTTCCACTAAGACAGTCAGCTGCTGAAGGAGAAAAACACAGTTTTAAACAGTTTTAAAAATAGTTGTTGAGCACCCCCATATCACCAAAATGGCGTGACACTTAACCCCTAGTTACTCCAGAGGCGTGCGACCTCTGACATGTATAGCAATTGTAAGTCGCTTTGGATAAAAACGTCAGCTATAAATGTAAACATGTATTGCAGACATGTTGTTTCAGTTCATCTTGTTCTGATGTGAAAATCAAAGAGTGGAAACTTGAAACTTCACTAAAGTGAAAATGTAGCTTAAAAAGTATTCTTCTATAACATCAGAGGTTAAAATGTATCATGTATTGAGAGTCAAATACTCAAAACATCAGCTAATCTGCTTCAACGGGACTGTATTGGTGTGGATTGATCAGATTTGATTGATCAAACAATCCACAGGCTGTCATCAGTTATTGCTGAATCCTGATTGGTTCACGGTGGTATGTGACATCACATGTTTGTAGCTAGCTAATAGAGAAAATAGGTTTCCAGGGCTTTTGAGATAAAATAATCCTTTACTGAAAACATTTTTTGGATTTTATTCTGTGCTAAATTATTATCGTATATTAATGTGGTTGAGGGCAGGGACCTCTTTGTTAGTAAGTTACTACTATGGCTAAGGTTGCTTATTTTTTGCTGAAGTTCTGGATCTGTTAGGGATTCACCTTTTTTCTTAAGGACACTCCAGCAGGGCTCATGAAAGGGTTCGAACCTTTCATCCCTCCCAGTGCGTTTGCGTGAGCAGTAAGCCAGGTTTCTGCTTCTGTCTACTGCTTGCAATGGCTTTGTTTTTCATAATCCCTCCTGCTATTCAGGGCTAGATTTCTGACATCACGGCTGCAGGCCCTTAAACCCATCAAGGTCAATTAACCAGAGCTAACAGAGGAGACGGGGGTCCTCACACGAGATGCCACAGAGAAGGACAGCAGACAGGAGAAAGTGTTTTCATGTTGGGTTGTAAAACCTCCCTGTTGGCTGCTGTTTGGTTGTTGATCCAAAAACTGACTTTCAGGTCAGTTTCAGTTCACTCTGTCTCTGTAAGTAAATGTTCTCTGTGCAGGTTACCTCACGGTTTCTGTTAAATTCTTAAAAGGATTTCCACTGTTAGACACATTTAGATAAGAAGGGCAGAGTAATGAAACCGAGTGAAAACAAATGATCAGCGTGCAGCTAGCTGCCAGCTCCATACGACCACAGAAAACTTCTAAATTCTCTAAAGGAAAGCAAAGTCAGTACGTTCTCCAAATTGTTTGGGGTTTAAACTGTTTTAAAGGCGATTTGTAATGTTGGTAAACAGTGGAGCTAGATAAATACAAGGTACAAGGAACAAGGTAGTTTATTTGTCATTATAAAGCACAAGGCTGCATATCGAAACAAATTTGTTGTTCCTTCGTGCTGCACACGCAACATATAATTAAGTGTATCTATATTAAAATATGGTAACATATAAAATAAAATTTATATACAGATATACAGAAGTTTAACTTAGACCCCAACATTCCACAGTGCATTTATGAATTTGCATGGGGTGAATGTAAACAGCAGCAACCAGATGATAGTATGTAAGTTTCATCTTCGTCTACTGGACTACTGACTGGGCCGCCGCATTAACATGATACCACCTATCATGCTAATAGGCCGGCTACGGGGGTTTAACCTGAGCAGATACAATCTAAGAGTATCTGCTCTTTGTTTGGGTGAGAGTAGGAGTTAAAGGCAGCTTAACGGTGCGTTAGCTCAGGGCAAGACAATGGTGTCACCTGTCGTGGGGCCGAGTTGACTTATGGCGGCACAGCCTGATCCCCACAGCAGGGCCTAATGATCGGTCAAAAAAAAAAATTTAACATGAATACTGGGCAGCAAAAGGAATGTTCACACAACTTGAGGCAGATATTACTGTAAACAACATTTTTTTAACAGTATGAGACCTGGGATTTGTCTACAAAGAGTCCCGCTTTCTTCTAAACTAACCTGTAAACACAGTCCCTGTCACTTCAGTACTGTTTTTAAATAGTGGACAGTGAGTCGTGTGACAGTCAGTCGGTAAGAGACACCAGTGGAACTAGTGTGTTTACAGTGTACTGAAGTGGTGTTGCTCTCTACACTACTCAGCAGGATAAATAAGACTGATGGTGCTCGACAGGGAGAAAAGAAACAGCACACTCAGAGAGGAACGATGGATGTAATTTATTGATATGAGATCTGCCTGCGTTCTTCTCTCAGGCGTTGAATATCCAGGGTCGACTCAAGTTCCTCCACGGGCAGAGCCGTCATCAGTACGACAGCGAGGGGAGCACGCCGCCTCAGCTCGCCCTGTTCGCCATCGCCACACCCCTCCAGCCTCCAGCCATCCTTGAAATCAGGACGAGGAACATGATTTTCAGGACCAAACACAAGCTTGACTTCACACCCATGGCCTGTGACGCAAAGTACGTACTCACACTATCACACTCATGTTGGGGTTTTATTCAAAATGTATATTTGTTTATTTAACACAGCCTGTGTGTGGTTAAGTTTGAAATCTTATGGATTTGTAGGGGTAAAATTGTTCTGGGCTACACCGAGGCAGAGCTGAGAGTTCGAGGTTCGGGTTACCAGTTCATTCACGCTGCCGACATGCTGCACTGCGCCGAAAATCATGTCCGAAGTAAGTCACAGCTGTTCACGGTCTGTACGGTGTACATCGCAGTTGACTTCATCGTTAGAGAAGCTGGTGCAAATCACCAGAATGTGCTGCCTTAGATGTTTTTTCTTTTCTTGATGTATATATTTTGTAAATATTTTTGTTTATGTGCAGCTGTTTGCTATTTAGGGTGTGTAGAGCATTTTGTTGTGGTAGGCTAGTAATCATATTCCCTTATCAAAACTTTGAAATCCAACTTACACTTTTTGAATTACTGCTGGCCACGTCCAAATCACATGCTCAGATGAAAAAGGTCAACTCACCAAACATCTTAACGTCTATAAGTCTATTTTAGGAAACAGGGAACTGAGAGTGATGTTAATTATATTTATCTGATTTATTGTCTTTCTATCACAAATATAAATTTTAAAAAATGTGATTTTTGCATGAGAGTGAAAGTGTATTGACCCCCGTCCCACGTCTGGCTCAGCATAGCATTTGTAACACATGCAGCAAACAAACAAACAAACAAACACTGTCTGTGTGAAAATCTCAGAGCGAGAGCCAAATGTCCTACTTATCTCATGTACCGGATGACCCAGTTAGTCGTAATCATGGCGCCCTCAACACACTGCTACCAGACGCGCTCTCACACACACAAAGACACACTGTGTATGCATGTAGTCATGCATAAAGAAATGGAAATACATGCATATGCATTTAGAAACACACAACACAGAGATACATGTCGCACACTGTAATGCACGCACAGATGGAAAGACAGGTTTCCACATATATACACAAACTGAATCCACATAATAATGACACATGATGCCATTTTAAATATATTTAATATACATTACATGTAGGGCTGCACTGTTTGGAGAAAAAGTCATATTGCGATAATTGTGGACAATATTGTGATTTGCGATTCAATTAAAATTGAACAAACGGTACTGAGTCTACTTGACTGTTAAGGAAAATGCACAAAATACTGACATTTTGAAATGTGTTTTTCTCAACTCGAACAAAGTTAAACAAAAAACAATATTTATAACAATAACTTTTGTAAAGCAGAACAAGGGGTGCATGTTGCTCTCAGGAGGAGGCAGATAAAAGGAGCAAATATTGGCACACTGACATCCTGGATCTAAATCTACCCCTGGCCACTGCAGAGGCTCTGTCCACAACCTGGAGGAGGAACTAATGTAAATTAGTGTATTAGTTTAACATTATAACATTAAATAAAGAGTACGAAGTTAATATATATTACTATATTATATTTCATATTATAGAATACTGTTTTCCCACCAGTTGAATATTAAATCCAGTTACAGCTATTTCATTTCTGTGGGTTGTTCTTATTTATTTAATCCTTTAATTCTCTTATTAACTTGTCAATAATCATATTGTTCAACATTTAACGATTTGCTATAGCACGTCAAACTGTTTCTAATCCGAAACCAAACCTTCTTTATTTGATCCCTGTTTTCTTCTGTCTTACCGCTTTAGCTGGCGACAAGACGTAACGTTACTGTAACTGTCGTAGCGCGACCAGCCCGCCGGCATGTCTCTCGGTGCTCCAGTGGCGAGTCTGGATATGTTTTGAACGATAGGCGGGGAGGGGGGTTATGGAAGGTTGTTGTCTTTAATGTTACTCGCTCGCTGCCCATAAATTACTTTTTGTGGTTCATGCTTATCTGTTTTAGGGGCACATGCGAGAGCCCGGTTGGGCGAGATAATGAGCAGACTGCAGTGCGAACTGAGAGGAGAGTTTCACACACACAGCACACCTTTTCTGCTTAAATCGCACACTTTTTGCGGTTATGTAATCGCACTTGACAACATCGCGATTGCTATTAGATTAATCGCGCAGCCCTAATTACTTGTGCAGATTCTCTCATATATTCAATAATAAGAATAAAACCTATACAGTATTTAATTCAAGTCAAGCTGGGGTTTATGTGGGGTCAGTAGAGATGATTGGCCCTGTTGGGGGATACAGACATTTAGATTATGAGGAAAGTAAAACTAAATCACAGCACAGATCAGAAAACCCGCTGCTCATCATTTGTCTGTTTTGGTTCTGCTAAAACGTTTTATTGTAGGTCACAGAATCTCCCAGCTACACTGTTTACTTCGCCTTCAGGACAAAAATAAGAGTTTGTCCACAGGCATAAATATTGCAGTTCATTCTAAAGGTCAGCAGCTCGTGGCTTTTACTGCTAAAAATACGCAGCGATGCCCGTGAAATTACAGATCCCAAGACAGTTTCGGGGAGCTACATGGAAAACATGATTCAGATTTATCAGATCTGTGCATCTTTTTCTTACATAACAAACTGCAGGTATTAAGAGTTTTAATCTTTCTTCTTAAAAAGGTAGTACAGCCTCTCAAATAGACCACAGTTTGACATGAAAAAATACTAATTCTACAATAACTAATAACACCAATCATGCTGTGTGATTTCTGGCTGGTCCATTTTGATCTAGATCCAGATTGTGAATCATTGTAGAATTGATCAAATTTTAAAGTCTGTGATAAACCATGTAGCCCATCTTTGGACACTAAAACAGATATCATCAACACATATTAACTTGAGGTAACAAATTGCCAGTATGTTGTTCCCCAACTGTGCAACTCTTTCCATGAAGAAGCACCTGAGACTTGTTTAGAGACTAGACTGCACAGAAACATGACCTGCACCACAATTACACACAGCTACAGACAAACACTGAGCGTAGAAGCATGTCATGGTCTGTGTTTGTGTGTTCGGCTGCATACAGCTTGTTCATGTAACCAAAGTGAACCACTGCATGTAGCCTCCATCACAGCAGCACGCCAGGCTGAGCAAATGCAGCGTGAGTGTGTGCACTCTGCGGGGCGTACAGAGCGTAAACAGCAGTGACACGGAGCCTCCGATGTCTTGTCTGATGTGATTCCAGTGATGAAGACGGGCGAGAGCGGCCTCACCGTCTTCAGGCTGCTCACCAAGGAAAACAGGTGGAAGTGGGTCCAGGCTAACGCCAGGCTCGTCTACAAGAACGGAAAGCCGGACTACATCATCGCCACCCAGAGGCCGTTGGTGTGAGTAGACGACGATTCATGCTTGATTTTTGAGCTCATTTGTTTGTTAATTTCATCTCTGTAACACGTATTTCCACAGGGATGAGGAAGGAGGGGAACACCTGAGGAAGCGATCAATGCACCTTCCCTTCACCTTCGCCACCGGAGAGGCGATGCTCTACCAGACCGGTTATCCGCTGCACGGCTTCCCTGATTCCTTCCAGGGCAAAGCCAAAGGCAGCAAGTCCAAGAAGGGCAAACTGGACAAGAGCTCTTCAGATGACCTGCACCCAAATTCTCTGCTGGGAGCGGTGATGAGCCAGGATGAGTCTGTGTACGTCTGCCAGCCGGACACGGAGCCAAAGATGTCCTACCACAGTGGCCTTTTCAGCGAGCAGCAAGGTGACAGCAGTGGTTTTGGTGGCTTGTTAAATGGCGACAGCTGGCAGATCATATCTAACAGTGAGACGGGGAGATGTAATAGCAGAACATCCAGTTATGACCCACTGCTGTCCACTTTGGATTCTCTGTCGCTGGACGAAGATGAAACCTGCACCAATAGCGAGCTCTTTAGCGCCCTGGAGAACTTGGGCTTGAACGCTGAAGACCTGGAGCTCCTGCTGCTGGATGAGAGGATGATCCAGGTGGAGCTGGACCCCAACCACATCCCAACACTGAGCGACATTCTCACCAACAACGAAATCCTCTCCTACATCCACGACTCGCTGGAAACTGGCACAGAGGGGGAGGAACAAGGAGAGAGAGTTGGACTCGGATCTTCAACTAATCCACCAAACTCAACCCAAAGTGTCGCCCAGCAGTCGCAGGCATGCCTCACACCCGCTGTCCCTCCAGCTCTTCCCATCATCCAGCTGTCGCAACAGATGCAGCAGCACATCAGTGCAGGTGAGCTGGTGAAAGCTCAAACAGGGCAGATTCAGTCCCAGCCTGAAACAGCGGACACCAAGACATTAACTGGGATTCCTAACAGTCATTGGGTGGTTACGACACAGAACCCCCATCACCCCAACAACCACACCCATCACCACCCACATCCTGTGCTCAAAGCCACACAGCAGAACGGTGAACATAAACACCTTAACTCACTTCTTGAATCGAGTCAACAGTGGCAGCTTCAGCAGGACCAGCACACGGTCCAGCTTCATTCCCATGAGCAAATAAACATCCAGAGCGCTTTGCTGCCTGGCTTCCAGAGTCAGCCCGGAGTGACAACGAACGAATCTTACATTCCAAACGGACACGCAGCCTTTCCACCAAACGTGGACGTCAGCCACACAGGTTACAATATCACCAACACGCCTCATGCAGGTGGCACAGTAGTGAATGGCGTGACCACACCGGACGCTTGTCACTACCAGAGGTTGGTGGCCACCACGCAGCCCTACCAGCTGCAGGGTCACCAGAAGAACCAGCAGCAGCAGCAGATGTTGCAGCAGACTCAGGTTCCACCATCTTGTCCCAGCCACAGCTCTACACTGGAATTAGAGCAGTTACTGGGTTTGTCCCAGCAACAGCACAGCCTGCCGTCGATAGAGGCCTATGGCATGTTCAGCACCACCACGCAGGACTCCACTCGCAGCAAGGTAAGAAACCAGGGAGATGGAGGTTACATGATGAAACAGGAATTGATTGTTTACTTAAGCTGATAATCATAATAATCATTACAACTCATGGCTCGACAATAACGGCGGCCCGATGGCCCGGGGCCAGTAAAACGTAACGTCAGGACAGTTGAACTAGCAGCTCACTGGCTCGGTCCAGTGCAAAAATATTAGTATTTAAAAAAAAAAAGAAAATTAAACTCACCATCCTGCGGTTGTTTTGCAGCTCTTGGTGCGCACCGATGTCCCATCCAGAGTTGTAGTTACGTGACGAGAGGTTGTCAAATGTTATTTCTCTAATCTCAATCATGCGGCAAACTCTGGGTCGAAAGTGAAACCATGCAGACGGAACTTAGAGCTGCTTTCTGTCTAACGGCCAGCAGGGGGCGAGTCCCATTAGAAATAATGGTAAAATGTTGCTACTTCTCAGCTGATTTATTACCTCAGTAAACACTTTTAAATGAGTTTATAGTCTCAGTCGCTAGTTTCAAGTCTCCAACACAGCATGATGTTCATTTAGTATATTATGGTCCTATTTAGGGGAAAATAGACGATAATGCAGCGTATGCTTTTGGACGGGACTACCTTGTAATTGACAGGTTGCTACCATGGCAACCTGTTCATCAGGATAGAGGCGACTCGTGTCCGCTGCTCTGTGTACATTTTTCATAAATGGCTGTCAGCAGGAGAGCACGTCATGTTTGAGTCTGTTACTATGTTTTGTTTTAAAAGTAAATTGTTTTGTTAACATTTGTATTTTTTATAATTTTAACAGTGATTACATTTTTGTTTAGTTTTTTTATATCCAGGATGTATTTAATAAACGATTAAACGCTTTTGGAAGGAGGGACAGTAAAAATTGTCTTGGGGCCAGTAAGTTTCAAACCCACTGGACCTGTGGGGCCAGTTGCAAAACAGTTTAACGTTGAGCCCTGCAACTACAAACTCAAGGTGAGGTGATTGGTGAAGAAGAATATGTATTTTAAGTCATTTTAATTCTATCTAGACTGAAGTTTAATTCATAAAGTTATGGAATAAAGAAAGTACAGATGCTTTCCAGGGAGGGTTTTTCAACATCAGTCAGACCAAACACTGTGTGTTAGGACAGTATCTGTGTTCCTATTTGCGTTTAATTGTTATTATTACTAAAAACATTAAAGCACTGAAAACTGAAAGTATTTATTAAGTATTGAATTCCAAAAGTAATTTAAACATCAGGTCTGTGTCGGGGGGGTTTGATCAGGTCAGACAACACAAGCAAAGATAATAACAATTGTTGTAGATTCAAATATTGGCAAATTTGAGTTACACTTAAAAGTACGTGACATGAAACCAGTGAAAAGAGCGCTGAGTACAAAGCTGGTTGAGTAAAATATTCAGGGGCTTTAAGTGACTTACTGAGATTCGGTGCTCATCCTTCTTTCATCAGAGCATGTATTTGTTAAATCTTGATGTCATACAGTTACATCCAGGGCGACAGTGATTTGTGCAGGCTTCATTATCCTGCAGCAGATTTAACTAAACCCTACACAAGGGTTGGACGGTAATTTCCTATTTATATGACATGGCTCATGCTGCATGTCAACAAGAAGCTGAGTGATGATTTCCCTTCCCTCAGCAGTCATCCTGATAGTGAATCCCACAAAGACCTTCTGTCTTGTGTCAGCTCTGTTCTGTCTCTTTTTCCTTCTCAAAACGACCAAAGCTGCCAGCTCTCCTCAAAACTGTTTGGTCTGGGAGCCAGACTCTTGATTCAAGCCCATCGACGAGGCCTGAAGTCTGTGTTGCCCTCAAATATCAGCGAGCATCAACAAACCGAGGGGCTGCAGAATCCACTTCAACCCTGCACTGTTCTCTTTCTCTGTCATAGAAATGGATTTTATTCCGAGTCAGCACACAGCGGCCCAGGGCCAAGCTCAGTGTAAACTGTGATGATGTGACAAGACGTGCCCTGTAAATAAGACAAGGGAGAGATGGGTCAGAGCGGTGCAGTTTGAGAATAGAGTCCACTAGATTATATCACAGCCTATATAAGTAATGTTTGTTTTATTTGTGCTGGATGTTTTTGCAGTGCTTACTGTTAAGGTAAATTACTGTGTGTTTTTACTCTGGGCAGTACAGAATAAAACAGCCATAAAATAACCTTTACTTCTACTTTAAAAACACTTACTTTGTTTAATTTGGACTGTTGTTCAGCCAAACCTTTTTCAACAGGTACCAGAGACAGAACTTCAATACAACAGACATGATAAAGGTTTAATTGAAGATTCAGTTCGTTTAAAATGTCGACAAAACATGAAAAGATTGCATTGTCCTATTTTGATAAGCAATTGATCAGATTTTTTTGTCAAAATTATTTAAATTATTTTGTGGAGAAGAAAATTTATAGACAAATCATTAGTGAAAATTGCTGCCCTACTAAAATGTGATGATACTTTAAAAGGAACATTTTATTAGCATCTGCTATATAAGCCATTGTAAAAAAGTAATTGTGGGAATCTTGATGCACGGTTGGAACTCAGCATAAACTCAGATCCTAATAACATTATTTGGGGTGGTTAATTAGACTGTTTAATGTTAGGGGAAGCAGGAATTCATCTTTTTTATGTCCAGCAAACCTTTTTCCAGTAATGACAGAGCAGCGAGGGCTGGGGAATGTCATCCTAACAACGCTAATCAGAGGACAAAGAGGCACGTAGCTGGAGGTCTAGAGAAATTCCCATCGTAAAACAAAACGAGGTAAGGAGACCTCGCCAATCAACACGGCCAAATTTAAAAGCTTGAACAGGATTTCAACCAGAAACATCTCAGGAGCACCTCTGGTTCACTCTCCTGCCCAAGAAAAACAAGTCTGCATTGTTAGGACCAGTCATCCTGTCGGTTTAACAAGCAAGATAAAAACCCAACACAATAAAGTTAAAAGCAACTTTTTTTTTTGTGCTGATTCTGGCAGAACCTCTGGACGAAAGCGGTAGTGTTTTTTATAGCCTCGCATTGAAAAGATCTTAACCTGCATTTGGTCTGCAAGTGACTGCAAGAAAGACGGCACTTTTTCCTGCTTCCTTTTAACTGTCCAACTACTTACTGCAAAAAATGTATCTAAATCTAAAACCTACATAGAAACAGCCAGTCTTCTCGCTGATGGTCTTGTTATGTAGGTCATATAGAGGCATCAGTATTAAAGTGAGACTATTTCATAACCAGTTTAAACTCATGTAGTTTAAAGTTATACAAGTCTGCTTTAGTTTATATCTCACCTTTGCTTTGTTAGGATTTGTTTCACTATAGTAGCGCCCTAGTCGATTGTGTGATATCTGTTACTGTATCATTATTTAATGAACCGTACTTGTCAGGTGTGGCACTGAAGTTAAAGTACAAAAATTGTTTACATTTGAAAGAAAAATTAATAAGTTGTCAACTAAAAACTATAGGAAGCCATCCATGTAGCATATTTATGACATATGTGACTTTCAAGAAGTCAAGAATATGATTAGTCCAATTAAAGAAATCAGACGGTCCTTATTTTTTCTGCACCTGTCGTCATCATCATCGGACTCGCATCAGTCTATTTTCCAGTGTTATTGTTCAACAGCGTTCTGTTTTGTCAAGCGTGAGGAGTGAAAAACAAATATGAGAGTATGGGCCGGCAAGAGGAAAGAAAGGCAAAGAGGCAGTAGTAAGAAAGAGTACAATAATGAATAGAATAAGGTCGGGATGGGACTTGGCCCCAGAGATGGCCCGACCCCGACGGGCATCCATTCATCACCGCCCCATTCAGCCTCCACTGTTATTCTTCAGGGTCAGTGACTGTCGCTGAAAGAAAAATACTGGCAGGCTGGTCAGTCAAGCATGAGCGGTGCTGACCTACAATTTCACTGTCATCATTACCTAATGCTGTGAAAGCAGGGTGGAGGGGGAGGCAGACGAGGCACCCAGACTATCTTCAGCTCAGATAAAAGCAAGACTGTAATTTAATTTACTGTCCTTATGTGAAAGAAAATATACTGTCATCTGCATAAAAGTGCAGTGCAGCACGAGGGAAGTATGTCCCAAGGCTGATCGTAAAGAGACAATTACATATAATGATGAAAGTGTATTTATTTGAATGAATACTCATCTGTCAGATGTGTTTATCATGAGTAGCAACGTTAATATTCAATCGTTTGTGTCTATAAACTATGTAACTTTTTAAAAAGCTGAACATTTTGTGTCTGTGTTTCATGACCAGGGTACAAAAACAATTCACACACCAAACAAAGTGTTAAAACAGTGTAATTAAATCAGAATCAGAAATAACTTCATTGCTAGTATTTTACACATACAAGGAATTTGCTATAGCGATTAAGTGCTAGACATAAACATACAGTTGACATAAATATATTTAAAAGTATATTAATATGGAATAAAAACAGATGCAAGTTATCAAAGAAATTACAGAATTATGTGTAAAAGAAAAATTATTAATTATAGTTATTTACATTACTCAGGATTTGTGTTGCACAAACATATTACGGGGGAGAGGATTTATATTTACATAAATATAAAAATAATATATAATAGATCTGAGATGTGGTAATGCACAAAAATAAAACCAGATATATTTACATACCAATAAAAAGTTACATAAAAACACACAAAGAAAGTAGATTTTAAACATGCAAACAGACTTCTGTCCAGCTATTATTGTACTGGATTTGGCATGTAGCAGTCAAAGATACTAAAAGCTTCGCTAGCAAGATACAAGACTGAGGCAGAACCCGAGAGGTCTTTGAGTCAGTGACTGTGCAAGAAGAGAAAGACACTGTAAACATGACTAATTACACATAAACACTTTGAATGACTAATGCTATCCAGGGTAAGGTAAGAGCATGCTAGGCTAATCTTAAATATCACCCGCAGACCTTTTGAAACAACATATGTGCATGAGAGACTGCACAGACAGGGGCGCCTGTGACTCAGGAGGTGGAGCGGGTTGATCCCCCGGCCTGTCCTTAAATAAATAAGATCACACCAGTGTAGTCCTTAAAATGTGACTACTTTGCTTTTCAGCTGGAGAACGGATGCCTCTTCAGTGCTACCAACACAGCGTACATCAGGACGTGTCTGATGCCCAATGGGAATGGAGTGGCAGCGGGCGACATCCCTGTCTCCTGCACAGACGGACTTTCCGCCCTGCAAGACCCCCAGAAATCTGGATTTTTCCTCTGAAAGGATGATGGCCGAGTATCAAAGGAGGCTGGGAGAGAAGAGAAGGTACAGAAGGAAAAAAGAAAGATGATAAACTTCTCTATTCAACATGAACACATATTTTTTTTATATTATTATGGGGACTTTCTATCAGGTCAGACATCACGCCTGTGCTACTTAGAGAACCGTGGTTGCACAAGTAACCTAAAGATAAGCATGAAAAGGAAAGACAAATCAAGAAAACAAAAAAAAAAAGTTTTTTTTACCTGTCATACTTCGTATCATAATATATTCCTATGTTGTCGTGCTCTCACTCAAGTTTCATTTTCATGTTTGGATAAGATTTGTCCAAAACTCATCATTTTCTGATCTGTATATACACCGTTAAAGTCCTGAAAAGAAGAGAAGAAGAAGAAGAAGACACTCAGCAAAGGCTGGTGACTTTAGTGAACTGGCACCAAGGTGAGGTCAAAGAGTCTGTTCTTTATCTGTATTGTCCCGCGCTGATACTGAAATAACTGGCGACTAAAAGTTCCTTTTTTGCTGGATCACTACAAAATATTTAACTTATTTTGACTGATTGATTTGATTTTGAACTTTTATTTCTATTTCTAAACCAATGGGTTCCAGAAATATATGGAATAGAGAGCCGAAGTCCCTCCCCAACAAATGTTTTTATCCCGTTTGAATTGTGCCCTGAATTACACACGTGATGTTTGTCAATTTAAGTCAAAACTTTGAAAGTAAAGAAAGTATAAGACATTGAAAAGACCACAAACCCAAAAGCTGCGCGTGTGACATCATAACTGTTTCTCTGAATGGATGAAGCTAACGTCAAAGAGCTTCCATGTGTAGATGATGTCATAAAAGGACAAGCTGGATTAAACACATCAGTTGAAATAGCTAAGTTACAAACATTAGCTTAGCATTACAGCGCTAACATGTTGGTGACGTCTATTGTGTGAGACGAGAGATGTAGTTCATTGATCGGTTTCACACAAAGCTAAATTCTACTTTACTGTGACTTTCTTGACATACACGCTTATCTTTTAAATTGACAAACATCATGTGTGTAATTCAGGGCACAATTCAAATAAAATAAAATTGTTATCTCTTGCCGTTGAGTTCTGTACATATTTTTATGTAATAAGGTCCCGTTGGACGGAAGGGGAGTGACGTAAAATTTCTATACTACCTTAAAAACTGATGCTTTGAAAAATGGTCTACAGTTATAAAATAAAGGAAATTATTTGCTCTATAATCTAAAGTATTTTAACTAAGAACATTCAAAGCCGTGCGTGTGGAAATAACACTCTCGAACTTAAGAGAAATGTGACGTGAGTGTAACAGCAAGCTGCTTTTCATCGCTGTACAAATCACTCAGCCTGACTGTTGGTAATCTGTGAATGGTTTGTCAGGGGGAACGTTTCTTAGAAGACACACCAACAGATTATTTAAAAGTCAGTGTTCGTTTGTCACCTAGATGTAGATGAGCTGTAGGCTCAGTAGATGTCGTTTCGTTCGTTGTGCTTTACATGTCAACAATACAGCATTTAATTCTTATCGTTAACGATGTTGAGAGGAGATTGAAACAATCGGTTAAAGGTTAAACTCAGAAAAGAAGAACAAATGTTTTTATTTATTGCTGCCGTTCATCCTAATGCTGCATCTTAGCCTGTTCAAGGTTTACAAGTGTTGTGCACTTACATGTATATTACAGACACAATCAGGAAGGATCTGATTTGTCCACTGAAATCAAACCCAACAAAGCATTTTTGTTTCCTGGACTGGAGATAGCGTGAAAATCTCCCTTTAATGCCTTGTCTCGGCGGCCTTTGGCCAGTCAGACTCACGCTTGCTTTATCTTGCAATCGTGCTGTGTGGGAAACACTGAGTGCTCTTACTTGCACGCAGTAATCCATTAAGGACCTAATTGTAAATAATAGATTACAACTGAAGGCTGACTAGGAAGTGCACGTTAAGTGTTCTTCAAGTTTTGTTTTCCTGTGATCGCAAAGTGGTGATTCCATGAAATGTAGAGAGCAGAAGATTAATTTCAAAGTTTGTGTGGAAAATAATCTAACGTAGAGAAAGTGTGAACTTCCAAACTGCTCCTTGATCAATAGTATTAGTTGGAGACTCAAACCAAATCATGTTAGCCCAGCCAAGCGAGAGTTAAAATTCATCCTTTCTTAATGGCAACGTTTTCTTCTCAATTACAATGGAGAGGAGGTGCCATACTTTCCTTACAGGGCTTTGCAAATGAAGCATTTCTACTTCTATTAAAGCCAGTACATGTAGAGTTTGAAAGTATCCTACTTGTCCTACACTGTGAGAGACGATACTGTACACACTCAGACTTCAATACGGCTGCTAACCAGACTTCCTCTTAGCTTGTGAAGGCTGAACATTATAACGATACCTGATTTCCTCTTGAATTATAACCTGGACTCAGAAAATGAAAGCTAATGCTGCATTCAGTCATGTCAGATCACCTGTAAATAACAGACGCAGCAGCGTCTTACTGGAAATAATTTTTAAGGATATTGTTAAAAAAACATGTGTGGTGGTTTGTTTTTAATGGTATGACATGCAACAGAGATGAAAACAAAAATCAAGAGCTTTGATTTCAAATGGCTTTTTGACTTAGTGTGTCACAGAAAATCTAATGTTGATGTCTGAAGTGGAAATATAATAAAAATCTAAATTATAGGTTTGCGTTTATAAAAGGTTATATATAATAAGTATATATGTGCTGTAGTTTGTTTTTCCTCATTTTTTCTGATATGACATGAATGCAGAATCACTCTTTTTTACTTTAAAAGACAGACAGACAACAGACTGGACAGCATTTAGCATTTATCACTGACTCAAAAACCAAATGAGGAACACGTGAACACACGTGTGTCTGCAGTCGCTCCATAGTTGAATGTCTTGTGTAAACTGCAAAAGGCATTTAAAAACATGAAGCTTTTCATTCCACTACAAAAAGGTGCTTTAAAGTGAATATCGGTAGCGTTAGTCACAGCGACGAAATGCATTTACAGATTTGCGTCTGATCTTTCTATTATTACTGATTATTTAAACCAGTTGTGAGATCAAATGTTGTATGAAAGAAAAAACATTTACGAAATGACAATCATTTACTAAGGCGCTTAAGAGAAAGAAAGTATATAACTGTGTTTTATTAACGATGTGGTTGCAAGCACGACTTTAAAATCACTACTCTTACAAACTCTTTCTCCAGCACTGAAAGTAGTCTTGTAGAAAAAAAAGCATTTTATGACTCCATGTTGTATGAATATTGTTCCTGAGAGTCGCGTGTTTTATCTTTATGTCATGTTTGAGGATAGTTTGTCACTTTAGCTTAAAACGAAACGGTGCCATAACGGAAACCTAGGCCAGCTCAGTTTTACATACAAATTTAAACTCTCTTCCTGATCTTTTAGCATCTTAAAGGCCACATTGTCCACCAGGTAACACTAAAAGGTTTTATATTTCCAATGTGTTTTATCAGCCATTTCGTCAGAGTTGGAGTCAGCCTCAACTTTGGAACCAAACTCTCTGTAAGCTGATTTTTTGTGGTTTGTTTTTTTTAAAAAGGCACACAGACTTTATTTTGCTACTTTTATCACTGGAGGTTGTAGCTGTACGTAAAACTAAAATTTTTTTTTTTTTAAATGCAGTTTGTCTTTGAGCCATGTGTTGAAATGTGCTCTTGGATCCCGGAAATAAAGGATTTTGTGCAATCACACTGAATCGCCTCCTCTTTTCTTTGAGACTGGTTAACACTGTCTGACTGTACGAACGTCTCCTGTCTTTTCAGAGCCTGATATTCCTCACCTGTCCACTGTAGTTCCCCGCCTCAACCATCACCTGTTCTCCCAGTTTCAGGAAGTGTACAGAGTAGCCAGCCAGACTTCTGGGTTTGAAATCTGAGGTTAGGTAAGAAAATAATAAAAACAATCTTTAGGGGTTATGAAGTGGCAACAATTGATGCAGCTAATATGTGTTTAACTCCATAAAGGAGGAAGAGGTCAACAACAGCTGATAAGTCAATGTGGCTCGTTCCCCTAAAATTGATATCATAGTAATTTGACTAATACACACATAAAATTGTTGTAACCTTGGACCAAATTGACAAAACATATTTTTTGATAAAAGTAATGGATAATTACAGCTCGCCTGACACTGGATTTCAGAGACAGATATTAATATCAATATATATTGAAATATCTAATACAGATATCCGTGGTTTTTTAAAGAATTGTCAATAACAGATGTATAATGTATAAATAATGTCAATAATTATGTGTATTTACATATCACTTCTCAAAGCTAGTGATTAAAAAGAGACAAAATGAGCAAAACAAATATTTAGATCAAGTCACAAATAGAAACATTATTACAGCGATAATCAAACAGCAACAAGAATGAAAAAATAAATAAACATGTCCAGAAGAATAACCAAAAAGGTAAAATCCACCCTGAGCTGCATCAGGGGACCTCAGAGATTTTAAAAACTGAAGTGATGCACGCCACCAGCAACCTGAGGATGCTTTTAGCTGCTGTCACTGAACCGCCACACACAACACAAACACCAGTAATGTCCATTTCCACACCTCCGTTTTTACGCTTTTTGCACCAGCAGATGTGTGAAGTTGCGCCCCGGCCAAAAGCAAACAAACACACACTGATACCAGAGACTAAAACGGCTGTTACTGGCCGTCAGCAGAGATAAAGCATCAGATGTCTCCCATTAAAAAACACATTTCAATCTCAATGCAATAAAAAAACCATCAACGTGTCAAAAATCCCTTGTGCTTGTGGGCTGAGAGAAAAAGAGCATCCATTTAGTTTTTTCCAGTTCTTGATATCTACCTCAAATTCATCCCTTTCAGCTGGGGATCAAAATTCATTCAGAAAATTATAAAACTGTGAAGGTGTTTAAACCACACACTTTATCCTGAGGAAGACCTAAAAACCCACTTTAATATTCAAATTTAATCAAAAGTGAATCTTCTAATTAAAAATAAAGATATTTAAAGAAAAGGCCACAAAGCTGCAGATAAAGGCTTCATCTCCCGAGTGCAGAACGCTGTCTGGTGCTCGGTCTACATCTTTAATGGCCCGCCCCGAATCATTTATGAGAGTTTTTCTTCTCCCGCAGTCTTCAGCCGGTTAACTTTGCCCGCTTGTGACGTGATCAATCATCCAAGCAAGATGTTGTGTGTCCCACTTTAGCTTCCTGCGGGCCGCCGCGCCACACAGCCCACTGCTGCAGGCCCGCCGGGAGAGCTCAAACCTCACGGAGGCCGACAAAGAAGCAGCCAAGAGCAAAGGCGTTGTTGTTGACTTAGTCAATGAGATAATTCACGACCTGATCCAACAAAACCACAAGGAAGACGACTCGAAGTGTCTCCTTTGTATTTATTCATACAGTGAAACTGTACTCAAAGCCAAAACAGACTGAACATTTAGATCTTAAAGGATGTTTGACTAAATCACTTCCACCATGTTCTGCTCTCTTCCTGTTATGTTTGCAGTGTGAAGTGGTTTTAAAGACGAGCTGATGCAGCACACTTCTTGGACTGTACTGACACCTATTGGTTTGTATTCTGCTGTGACAATGTTAATGTAATGTTTTGTCTGCATCCTTTTTATTCTGCCGTCTTGATCAAGTCTCTACTGGGCTTTACCTCCTTTAAGGTAAAGGTTAAATATTAGTAAATTAATCCGGTATTTATTTTAAAATGACAAAAAGATAAGTTACATTTGGTTTCAGTTGGAGTCCGAGATTCAGTGATTGAGCTAAAGTTTTAGTCCCCCTCTCAATACCATTGGCGAGGCATTTTTATTTTTACACTGCAGTACATTTCTTCACACCTACACGCAACGTGTTTTATTGGGAAGTTAAATAGATACAGCAACAGCAGAACAGTAATATTTTAAAGTACAGTCAACATAGAAATGTCAGAATTAAGCAATAACACAACATAATTTTTGGTAAAATCTCCTCAGTGGAAAAAATAATCCAACCAAATATGAATGTTTTTGTCTCAAAATCAGACTAAATCCCCATTTTGTTTGATTTCCTATTTGAATTGCTGAAGAAATATGTTGTTTGTCATTATCTTTCCGTAACTGAAACTACTCGGTTAAGGTTGGAGAAAGTCAGTGTAAAGTAAACACAGGTTATTTAATGTGTTATCCAGACAAGATTTGTTTTCTGTCACTTTCATCGTGGAGGTCGAATGTTTGTCAGCATGTTTTAATTTCAGTTTATACTGTATCATATTTGAATCCACACTATTGACCGAGTTAAAGCGTCCTCTGTGTTCAGTATTTAACACCTCCTTCAGGTCTCCCTGTGCGTCGCTCCTGCTGCGTAGAAAAGATATGAAATATTTAACGACCATCTATAACCACTCAGACCTTATCCCTGATGGAAAACATGGAGCTCCTGACCTGCTTTCAGACTCTCGATATGACACTTAAAACTGGGTTTTTTCTGGGTTTAAATTATGTTTTTTACGCAGCAGATTGAAGCAAGACTTTTTTAAATGTATTATTAAAGTTTAAAATTAAAATTTTAAGTCATAAATCAGATGTTAGGTATAATCCAGCAGGTATTTTGGCGTTTTCTGAAATGCTGACTTTGTCTTATTTGCCTGCATTTCCCAGAATGCTTTTCACCAGCCCAGCAATGGACATAACGTAACAAACAGCTGTACTCAGGTCAAGTTTTTCTTGTAAAATAATTGAATCTGTCTGATTTAAAGGGACATCCTAACAAGAAGAAGATTCTGATATATTTAAATCACAATAATCTGTTCATTTTATATCTGATTTATAGAAGAGCATAACCCCTTTTCTGCCTGGGAACTCACTTTAAACAACTGACGTTCTGATCGATTTCTCACAGATTGATTTTTCTGTCCAGATCTGTTCCTATAAAAAAAAAAAAAAGTCCTTGTATTTGTCCACATGCAGAGCTGCAGTAGGAAACACTCATCTCTCGCTCTCTGTGCACACACCCCGTCTCCACCCGTCGGGCTGTCACTGTGCATTACCTCTACCCCAACAAACAGATACCCCTGCACTTCCTTTGCTCTGCTTCCTGCATAAAAGGTAAAACAAATCCTTCTCAGCGATAGAAAACAACAGCAACAATGATTAATGAACATGGACTTTATTTGTGGTAGCGCTTTACAATCACAAGAACAGTTTTACAGACAATAAAACATGAATAAAGTCGAAACAAGGAAATCAGACAAATTTGAAGTTTAGCAAAGGATAAAAGTAAAAAACTTGTTGTGCTCACGTTCAGCCTATCGCCAGTGAGTGACACAGAAACGTCTAGACGGCCGAGCAGAGCGCAGTGTAAGCTGTCAAAAAGGTTTAAACAGAGAGCTAATGGCCAGTGTTAACAGGCAGGGGGGCTTTTAGGAAGCAGGAAACACCCCCCCACACACAACCTCCACCTCCCATCACTGTAACCCAAATCTGAGCTTTGACTCCCTGCAGGCTGCTCAAACACAGACACAGCTTTGATTTAAGACAAAGTCACACATACATATGTACATTATCTCTGTCTATTTCGTTTTAAGATGTTTGTTGACAAATACATTAATAAACACTTATATCTGCTTACAACTACAATTTAGTGTTACAAACATTTTATAACATCAAAAAATGTATTAATGTTTTATATGAATGTCTCGCTTTCAGGAATCCACCTGATCTCAGTGTAAATCCATATTTGGTTGTAGAAATCTAATAGTTTTCTTGTGATGTTTAGAGCTCTGCAGTCAAGTTAGCAACAATAAATATGCAACATCAAGTTAGACTTTCAAAATAAAAGTTAACTTTGCAAACCATCGCTATTTTGAAATGGCACTATGTTAACGTTGTGAAAAGTCTCAATTTGTTTACTTTTAGGCACCAAAAGTACTTGATTAGGTTTAAGAAAACATCATAGTTTGGGTTAAAACTTACATAACTTAACTTAAGTCAGTTAAGTCATGTTATTTACATAACTTAAGCAACTTACATAACTTAACTTAAGTCAGTTAAGTCATGTTATTTACATAACTTAAGCAACTTACATAACTTAACTTAAGTCAGTTAAGTCATGTTATTTACATAACTTAAGCAACTTACATAACTTAACTTAAGTCAGTTAAGTCATGTTATTTACATAATGTAAGCAACTTACATAACTTAGTAACTTAAATAAAAACATTCAGTGTTGACATGGAAATGAACACCGGCCTCCTGGTTGAAAGTAGGGGTGGGGGAAAAAATCGATACAGCATAGCATCGTGATATTTGCCATGGCAATACTGTATCGATACACAGACGCCAAGTATCGATATTCTATTATATAAATTGCAGATGGGAGTTTTAACTTTTTGGTACTAGAAAAATAAAATCTATTGCTTTTTTAGTCCACTAGAAAACTTAAACATATCACTAAAAAGTGATATGAACAAACAGAGAAATGTATCTTTTTAGATAAACAGATGTTGACAAAGTTTGACTTTAGGGACCTAATTGGAAAAAGGTAATAAATTGCAATATATCTCAATATATTTAAAATCTCAATAAAATCGAATCGCAACATAAATATCGTGATAATATTGTATCGTGGGGCCTCTGGTGATTCCCACCCCTTGTTGAAAGCCCGGTTTCTGGCTCAACCGTCTGCCCCAGCCATCTCTATTTTTTCAGTTTTCTGTTAAATATCTTACGCCTACCTTTACCAGTAAAAAAGTGACGCCAATGAGTCTTGAATTTCAATAATATTTCCAGCTAGTAATATGTAAACCACTATTGCCAGCAGGAGAACCGTTTTAGTGCTTTCTAAAGACTAACCAGGGCAGTTCTTCAATAGATAATCAATCAAACTGCATCACATCCATCAGATCAGACTGAGTCCAGTTGGACAGCAGCACAGTATGACCCCAGTTTTCAGCCTCTTTCTTAAAAACCTTGTTCAGTAATTGCAGGTGGTCGACATCGACGAGCTGAAAGGTCACAAAACCTCCAGAGGACACGTGTGTGCCCATTGAATGTCCTGACCTTTACTGAGTGTCAGTATTCAGCCTGCAGGCTTCAACCTCAGCGTGGCGCTCAGGTCAAGCCGCCACGGAGTTTCTGTGTGGATTGACAGCTCTCTGCAACACCCACCAAACTTAAACAAAAATATCAGGCTTAATTATCAACATCCTAATTAATATGTTCAAAGTAATTAGCTCCAAAACAGCCCATAAATGTTGTAATTCTTAATAATGTAATTATTATTCAGCTTTTTACCAAATTCTCTTGTTGTCCCTGATGCGACATAATCAACTGGATCGTTTTCATAAAAAGAATCATTTAATTTCATGTCAGAAATCAAGTTAATAAAACAGTGTTGCTTTTTGTAATAAACCATCTTTGGTCAAGTCTAAATAATAACAAAAATCCGACACTGGCATCCACACAGAAACACATTAGCCAAGAGTTTCAGATGGATGGATGGATTAGTTTAACCAGCAAAGTGAAGTATTGCATGGCTAAAATGTTTTTTAAATACTAAAAACACAGTAGAACATGTATTTGGTTTCATCAGATATTCAAAAACAAGATCAATGATCAATAATAATATAAAAGATTAAGCAACCAAACTGTAACTGGAATGATTTAAGCTAATGATTACCCCATAAATGTGACAAAAAAACACAAGATATAAAAATAAATATATATCTATTCATGATAACAAAAAGGAGAGCATGTTGTTTGTTTACACTGAATGTAAACAAACAGATTGAAGGGTACTTTCTGTTGTGGAAACTTTCCTCTGTGTTGTCTCTCCGTGTGACGCTTCACTGAGCACCTTCATCCGCACGGTTTGACCTTTAACCCCGCCTCCAAACCGACACTCTACCCACCGGTTTGTGTGTTGTTGGTGACATGGCGGCCGTCACAGCGTCCTCAATGTCAATATGCCAAAACAGGTTGGATCAGCGCGTTTGTTTTGTCGACCCCAGCAGATGAGGCAGATGGAGAGGTCGGCAAATATTGATGCAAGAAGCTGAAACACACAACAGCTCCCCTCTGAAGGAACAGAAAACTTTACTTACATCGTTTTAGTTTCAGCTTATAGTTAAACAACAATATTCAACTTTGGAGTTCAACCATTCAACAGAATGACAACTCATGCACATATTAACCATTGTTTTCTCTCCCACGTTTGTCTCCACTTTCTCAAACTCCAACACTTTTTCTAAGATTAAAAGAACCAAACTGCTTTTAATATTAGGTCTGTTTTGATTTGCGAAAAGTATTGAACTTGTGTCTTAAATTTCAAGATGAGACCGAATATTAAAGTTTCTTTGGACTCAAAGCAAAGTTGAGATGCGACTCCCAACTCGTCACAAATGGAGGCTTGGTCGGGACCTCTTGGTGTTGTTTTTTATAATAATCTTTATTTGTAGAGCACTTTTCAAAAACAAGTTACAAAGTGCTTTAACAAGTGTAAAGACAATAATACCCAAGAGACAATAATACAAAAACAATACAAGATAAAAGCATGAAAACATTGAAAAGACTAAAATACACGTTTAAGATAAAATAAGTCAAATAGAATAAAATAAAAGGGATAAAATAAAGTCAAATAAGATCGGGAAAGGCTCTCCTATAAAAGTATGTTTTAAGAAGGGACTTAAAAGAGTTCACTGACTCAGCCGACCTGATTTCCTCGGGCAGGCTGTTCCAGAGCCTCGGGGCCCTGACAGCAAACGCTCTGTCCCCTTTAGTTTTCAGTCGAGACTCTGGAACAGACAACAGACCTCTGCCCGAGGATCTCAAGGTACGTGCTGGTGCGTATGGGACTAAAAGGTCAGAAATATAACAAGGCGAGAGGCCATGAAGAGCTTTAAAAGTGATTAATAGAATTTTAAAGTCAATTCTAAAACATACTGGGAGCCAGTGTAATGAAGCTAAAATAGGAGTAATGTGGTCATATTTCTTTGTTCTGGTTAAAAGCCTGGCAGCTGAGTTCTGGACAGTCTGGAGTCGATCAATAGATTTTTGGGTTAAACAGGTGAAAAGGCTGTTGCAATAATCCAGGCGTGATGAGATGAAGGCGTGTAAAATGGTCTCGGTGTCCTTAAAAGTTAACATTGATCTAATTTTAGCTCATATTTCTAAGTTGATAAAAACATGATTGAACAAGCTTTGTGGTGTGCTGCTCGAAATTTAAATTACTATCAAACCAAACACCAAGGTTCTTTGCCACAGGCTTAATGTGATTTACTAGGGAACCAGCAGATGGCAGTATTTGATTTGCCATCTGCTGGGACCCGATGACCAGGATTTCTGTTTTGTCTGAGTTCAGCTGGAGGAAATTATTGGACATCCATTTTTTAACTTCACAAAGGCAGTTGTTAAGTGAACTCAGCATTCCAGGGTCTGTGGATCTGACGGGCAAGTATATTTGTGTGTCATCAGCATAAATATGAAAAGAAATGCCATGTTTATGGATAATATGTCCAAGGGGAAGCAGATACAAGGAAAACAAAATGGGTCCTAAGACCGACCCCTGAGGCACACCATATTTAACTGGACAGAACGAGGAGACATAGTTGTTTACAGACACGTAAAACTTCCTATTTGACAGGTAGGATGAAAACCATTCTAGGGCAGTACCAGAGATCCCCACCCAGTGCCTCAGTCTGTCTAACATGATGTTGTGATCAATGGTGTCAAAAGCAGCGCTAAGTTCCAGGAGTACCAGGACTGAGCACATACCTTCATCAGCGACCTTCCTATAGGTTTTAAGACAATCTTGCCAAATTAAACGAGAATTTTCAGATCAGCACTTCCACAAATCATTAGTGTCACCAGGGACGATCTAGAAATCTATACATTTAAATTCTTATACCAAGGTATTCTCAATTCAAAACTCTACGAATCAAAAATATACAATATACAGAATAATAAAAAGCAGTCATTGACATCTTCAGCCCAAAGCTTTATGGCTCCAAATCATGAACGTAGGGAGATTATAAGGAAAACAAAAAGATCTTCACCTTTAGCTAAACCCTTCATAGGAGCTACAGGTGAACACGCTGATGAAACATAATCCTTTAATGCGGTTTGTGTTCATTTGGCAAATTTTTTTTAGCCTTGTTTGTTGTGTTAACTTTGATATGATGATGATTAATAATTCAGAGTAGTTTCAGCGTCCTGCTGCTGTTTTTTGTTTTTTTCCCCCCAGTTTTCCAAGAAGCTGCTGAAGCTCACAGATCTGCCTGACCTAAAAGCTCTGACATCTCAAGGGGCGATCACACACTGAGCTGCCAAAATTACTGTGTGTGTGTGTGTGTGTCTGGGCTAGAGAGCCCCGACCTCGACCTAGATACTGGAAAAACAACCGGTTCAAGGAGACGAAGAGGACGGGATGAGAGACAGAAATATGGGAGGTCGAGGAGAAAACGTCTGAGAGAGGAAAAACTAAATGTGGTGACCAAAGATTGGAGGAGAAGAGACAATACAGAGGAGAGGAGGAGGGTGATGAAGAGGAGGAGAGGACAGCAGAGTAAGATCAGATGAAGTGAATAGAGTAGTGTTGGTTTGGAGGTCACAGCCTCCCTCCTGTTAACCTGATGGATCCACACTGACAACCACAGACCACTGGAGACTGTGTGTGTGTCTGTGCACTTGTTTTACTATATTCACTACGTTCCACTATACTAGTGGGGACCAACATGATGGACTCCACAAGTTTAAGGGGCTGTTTGAGGGGCAAGACTTGGTTTTAGGGTTTAGGTTAGAATTAGGTAAAAGGTTAAGGGTAGGGTAAGGGTTAAGGTTAGACTTGTAGTTGTGATGGTTCAGGTTTATGTAAGATGCTAGAGAATACATTATGTCAGTGACAGGTCCCCACAACGATAGTACCACAAGGCAATGTGTGTTTGTTCTACTTCAACCTCTCTCACACAGTTTTCCCTCTTCTTTGTCCGGGAGGTGTTTTCTTTACCGACTGTGGTCTTGTCTGGTTAACACACACACACACACACACACACACACACACACACACACACAAAGGTCAGAGGTCAAACAGGAAGTATTGTGGAAGCCTGTACAGAAGGCAGTGTTCACATCCACCACAGTGTGCAAGGTCACAGGGCAGCAGTAGTACTGGTAGTAATAGTATTTGTACCTGTGAGTTACAGTAGATTCAAGTTGCCGCCGTAGCAATGTAGCAGCAGTAAAACTTATTGTAGCTGATGTCTTTGCAGTATTTGTATTTGTAGTAACAACTTCATTGGCCGTGGCAGTAGTTGTACAAGAAAATATATGTCCAGTATACATTAATAGTAATAATTGTAGTAGTAGTTGTAGTAGAAGTAGTTGCAGGAGTTTGTAATAGTTGGTGTTCTTGCAGTAGTACTTGAAGTAGTTTTTGTTAATTGCAGCAGTAGTTGTGGTATCAGTAGTATTTATTGCTGTACTGTTTTATTATGTTTTGTGAGGTGACCTTGAGTGTTCAGAGAGGCGCCTATAAATTACATGTATTATTATTTTTATTAGTAGTAGTAGCTGTATTGTAGTAGTACTGGTAGCTGTAGCAGTATTTAAACAATCCGTTGCAGTTAGTAGTGGAAGCCTTTGCAGTAGTAGTAGTATTAGAAGTAGCAACTTTACTGCTTATTCTAGTAGTGGCACTAGAAGTAGAAGTTCCACTATAATTATAATACTTTAGTAGTTGCAGTAGTTGCAGTTTCCAGTAGTAGTAATAGTAGTAATTCAAGATTAATTAATAATTTTATTGCCATCTTAATTGTTAGAGTAATGATACTTTTAGCAGTAGCAGCAGTGCTTCTGCATATATTACTGTAATACTAGCACATTGCTCATGTACTTCTTCTCCTACTCATGTAAATAATGATTTGATTTTTTCAGATATTGTTGTCACTACAGCAACATAAATCTAATTGACATTGATTAAAATAGATATAAAGACAATGTAGACAGTGATGATGGAGACGATGACACTCGGGATGACAGCGCTGGCGCTCACACTGGTGAGGATGATGCTGATTATGATGATGACAGCAGTGATGATGTTTATTCAAAGGAATTAGTTCACACTCGGTCAGGAGTCTTTTGTTCTGGATGTTTCTGCTTGTAAATACACAAACTTTCAGCGCTGGTGCAGCGTTGAGAATATTATTGTAAGATCTCTCTCTCTCCGCATCTGAAGCTTGCAGCTTGCTAGAAGCAGAAACGTGTCTTTACAAACACAGAGACTTCGTGCCAAGACGTGAGAGAGGAAACTCCTGCCAACACACTTTGAAAGGCCTCTGTAGTGTGTTGTGATAGTCCAGTGAACCTGCTCGCACCTGTTTACCTGACAGCACACTGGGGAAAAAAACACAAAATAAACAGGAGGAAGAACTTGTCTGCAGATCAAATGACCTTAAATACCATTAAAACAGTTGTTTTATTTTAGATTTTATCAGGCTAACATTTCATTGTCAAGGTGTTTTGACTGTTTGTGTAATAAAATAAACTGTATTTAAAATCCAGTCAGTGCATCAAAAGGTCAACATTTTATGACAAATTAATGAAAGATCAACATATTTATAATAATATATAATAACTTTAATTTAATTGTCTATTAAGTTTATCACAAATCTACAAAAGGGCTACAGATTTATAAAGTCTAATATATTTACAAATGCATTTTATGAGAAATTTATATTAGTTAGGTCACATTTATAAATAAATTTTAAGGGATTTCAACGTATTGATACATATATAAACCTTAATTTACAATAAAGAATATGAATATTAGTTATATAATGCTTTAAAAGGCATGTTGATAAAAGTCTGTCCTATTTAAAAATGTATAAAAGTTTAACATAATGTATTAGAATACTGTGTATAAAAGTATTTCAAGGCAAATTTTTAAAGAATTCAAAATTTATAACAAATATTATGTCACATACTGAAAATCCAGATCAACTTTTATTTATTAGCTCATTTGTAAATAATTTACAACGTCACTCTTCACATGATCAGAGACAGGTGAGGAAAAAATATCCACATTAATATAAAGATAATATTAATAATAATAATATTTATTTATGTAGCACTTTTTAAAATCCTACCAAGAGTTTCACAAAGGCAGGAAAGTAAAACAATCTGTAAAAGCATCAGGTTTAAAAGATTTACACACATTATACAGTCCAGGATACTACTGGATCAGTACAAATAGTTCAAAAACAATAAACTGTGTGAAAGCATAAATGTCATAATAAGTCACCCAGTAGATTTTTGTTCAGATTTATAAAAGTTAACATAAACATATTTTTCAGCGGCTGAGGTCGAGCTCACGGTCTGGTTGTTAACAGCTGCTGTAATTAAATATCACGTTAACACCATAGACTGTATATGAAAAGGTTAACACCTTCCTGGTCGTCCTGTCTGTCAGATCTGAAGACCTTATGGAGGACTTGACTGCGGCAGGGACAATCTGCTCCAGCCGACCCTCTCCTTGTTTTTGTGACCTCTGCGACCTCTCCGAGGCTCTTCCTGTCACCGAGCCAGAGCTGCCATGTTGGATCTGAGGAGGGGCGCGAACGAGCCGCCGCCCTGCACCGCTACTGTCGCATTCATTAACACCGCCGTCTGTCTCTCACACAGACACACACAGCTGGACGCACACTTTCACACATCCTGTATAAGTTTGTACACACTGACTTCACTGTTCTGCTCTGCAAAGCAGCTTGATGTCAACCCTGATTTTGTCAAAAAGTGGTTCTGTAAATACATTTGAATTTACTTTATTTGTCAGAGGTGTGAGTGACAGAGTGGGATGATTGACAGCTGATGGGCGGGACCTGGATTAGCAGGGCCGTAGCCAGGATTTAATGGGTGCAAACTCCTCCAGAAGAACTCAGTTGACCTACCACAAACCAAACTCTGTGTACAAATTTATGAGTATTTAAAAAAAAAATATCACATAATATTTATAATTTACTTTTTAATTTACTGCCCGTTATAACGCTAAACCTCCCACAATCACAGACAAAGACCTTCGTTTCCACAATTTGTTGTCACAATCTGGTCTCCGCCGTCAGCCTCCTGGCCAGCCGCCATACCTGCTTGGCCTGTTCTCCTGAACTGTCGGTGCCTGTTCTGCCCTCAGGCCCTCTGCCCTGTTTTCTGCCCCTGACCTCTCACTTTGTGCACCCCCCCGGTCTCTCCGCCTGAGAGTCTTGTTCTGTGGGTAGTTGTTTTTCTTTAGGGTTGATTGGACATCTAGGGACGTCCCTACGAGGGGGGCACTATCACGATCCTGGTCTGGTCCTGTCTGTACTTCTCCCGTCTCTCCTGTTTTACTTTTATGGTCCTTCTGCTCTGTCTGTTCTGTGTTTTGGGTCCTGGTTTCTGTCTGTTTCTAGTCTTGTGTTGGGGTTGGGCTTCATCTGCTGTTCATGTCTAGTCTTGCGCCCAGATTTGTGTCCTTTCTTTTCACCCTGTCTGGCCTGATCTGTATTACGTGTTTGTACACCCGCCCTGCTCGTTTGTGTATGAATAGTTGTCATTTCAGTTCTGTCTTTGTCATGTACTAGTAGTCGGTTACCTTTCTCTGCGCACCTGTTGCTACCCTGCCTGATGGTCACGACTGTTGGTTTTCACACCAGCTCATCCTTTGTTTGAAGTTTTTGGACACCTTATTTGTGAGGGCTGCCTTTTGTTTGGACGCTCCCCCTTTTAAGTGATACATCTCTGTCTAGCTCAATAAATATCTGAGAACCGATCTGGCTGTGTCTGCCTGAGATTCACAACCAATCCTAACATGAGTATTACTAAAGTACTGCTACTTTTGCTACTACTTCTACTAGTACTAATGTTAGTGCTAATGGTGTGCTAGTACTCATACTACTGCAAAACTATTACTACTACCACATATGCTTCTATTACATGCACTGCTACTAGCATCTTTTCTATTAATGAATACTTGTGTTGTGGGCATTAAAATAGGGTAAATTTGTAACCACTGAGACAAGAATATCTACTTTCAAGAGACAATGATGAGTTAAAAAGAAATATACAGGATGTACACTGTATTTATATATTTAATACAGGGATTTGCTCACCAAGTATAAAAATTAAACACTGGAAGATACGTACCTAAAAAGCAAGGTGGAAGTAGTGCACTGTACCAGCTACATAAACCACTAACTACATAAAAAATACTGCTGTTTCCACTACTTACTAGTACTAGTACATGCTTTCACTACCACAACTACTGTTCCTTCTGCTCTGTTATAGTCTGTGTCTGTACATGTACTGCCATTACTGTTATTACTACTACTACTATTCCTGTCACTGTTACAACTGCTGCTGCTGAGAGGGATCAATAACATTTTTTCTCCTGCTGTGAAACCTCTTGATTTCAGACAGACCGGTGTCGCCCCCTGCTGGCTGCTGTGAAAACAGCACACAGGTCAGAGCGATGACGTCACAACAAAGTCACCTGCTAAGGTAGGGTGGGGCAAACTCATATATGTGGCATTAATTGATCGTTTATCAAACAGGAAACTGGTTCAATCAAAGAAGAGCTTAACTTGAAAATTTCACACAACACAGGTCAGATTCAGTGGATAAAACATCAAAATGCTGCTTACATGTTAAACAGTCCAATAATAGGATGTATACGAAATAATATAACTCTCTGAAGTTACTTTTACTTGAATACTTTTAAGTGCATTTTGCCATTAATACTTATTAGAGTATATGAGTATTGTTACAGAGTACAGAGTAGTATTTCTGCTTCTATTCAGGGACAGATTTGAGTTCTTCTTCCACTGCTGCTGATCATCACTGTAATCTGTTTTCTGACACTGATTTATTATTTTGTGTCTGTGTGTTATCAGTTTTTAATATTATCATTTGTTTTAACTTAAAAATCAATCAAAAATATGTGTTGTTTAAAACCTGCAATTTCACCTCCATTTCTCCCAAATTATATAAAATAAAATGAATTTATTTATAAAATATAGAAAACTTTGCAGAGGAAAATATTAATTTAGGCCTGTTGTGCATTTTATTGTACTTCTCTGCACTTACTTTGTATAGATGTGTCTGTCTGCCAAATTAATTAATGTAATGTAGTATAATGATGATCTTGTGCTCACTAGATGTGTTTGAAGTAAATACAAATACCAAATGTCCTCATGAAGTAAGATGAAGTTGGACTTCCAGCAGCAGAACATGAAGATAATCCTCGTCCTCAGGGATTAGCGTCTTCACAGAGACTGAAGCAGCTTTCATGTGCTTCACCGTCTCACTGTAATCCTCTGGGGTCATAAAACACCCTCTGCATGATACTGTCAGTATCTGTGTACTGCATATACTGTGTAAACATATGTGCAGTATTTCTATTTCACACCCAGAAACCACAGCTTGGTAGATGAGCACTATTTTTATAGATAATTAGAAGAACAAATGAACAGTGGTAGAGGTAGTGACAGCAGCTGTACAACTAGTACTAGAAGTAATAGAGGTAGTAATAATTAATAGTAGTAGCCATACAGGCAGTAGTATTAGATAGGTAGTAGTAGTAATTGTAGCAATAGTATCAGCACTAATAATAGTGGTAGAAACAGTAATGGTAGTACAGAAGTTGTAAAGTAAAACTGTTGACTTACAAATAGTTGTAATAGTATTAGCAGTAGATGTACAAGTACTAGTAGATGCAGATTAGTAACAGTATTAATTGTTATAAAGTAGTACCAGGTGGTAGTAATAGAAACACTGGTGGTAGTAGAAAAGTGGTACCACTGTATATCCGTAGCAGTAGTATTGTAGTTGTACTACTAGAAGTACTAGAAGAAGTGGAGGTAACAGCAGGTGGTAGTAGTGGAAGCAGAAGAGTAAAAAAGTAGCAGTAATAGTAGTAACAGTAGTAGTAATAATAGTTGTGGCAGCAACAATACCAATAGTAGAAGTAGTGGTAGCAGGATATTTTGACAGATACCGCTGACACTACTACTAAAATAAACACATTATGATATGAAGTATTGGTTAGAAAAGAGTGAATATCATTTACGTTTTAACTATTTACCTCTATTAGCAGCCAGTAGCGGCTGAAGTGTAGGAGTTACTATAGAAGTACTGTAGTTGTACTAGAAACACTATTAATAGAAGAAGTACAAGGTAGCAGTAGCAAGAAGTACAAGCGGTAGTAGGAGTAGTACAAGAAGTAAAGAAGTCATTTCAGTAATGTTAGCAGTGTCAGTAGTAGTAATATTAGTAGAGGTAGTATAATAAATTAATATATTAATGAAAATATCAAATGTAATTTAATGAACAGAAATAAAGTGAAACCTGTCAGCGTATAGCAGGGTATAATGTCAATGGCAGGAACATTTGCAATAATCAAATTAAGTATACAAGAGGCAGGCAACCGAAGTACTTTCCAGCTGCTGTTACTGTGCAGAACAATTAACCAGGTCCAGTCAAAGGCTGCCGTGAAACCGGATCCCTGCAGATAACCGATACCTGTGCCATCGCTGACACTGTCAGGAGGCAACGACTGAAGAGTCTGCACCTCCAGTCTCTCCAAAAAACTGACACAGCTGTTAAGAAATGCACACAATGTAAACAAATAGTGCCTTTGTGAAGAGAGAAGCAGATATTTGAAGGAATTAATTTCAACTACTATCCTTTTTTATTCATTTAAGCAACAAAGAGGGACACGAAATACAAAATACACTGACAAAGTACATGAAATATTGAGTTTAAAACCTGCTGGTAGGTGGATTCTTGTTAGCTTTGGGCTGAGCTAGGCTAGCTGTTTCCCCCTGTTTCCAGTCTTTGTGCTAAGCTAAGCTAACCGTCTGCCGTTAGACGTGAGAGTGATATCAATATTTTCAAGAAAGCAAAAAAGTTGTTTCCAAAAATGTCAAACTTTTGCTTTAAGTACTAAATTGTCACCAACACAATATTGTAGAAAAAGTAATTTTAATCTTTAAAACCAAATGAGGTAAAAACCTTGTTGTCTCCTGCTACTATATGCATACAGTATTTGTAAATAGTTTCTATATTTATGTATTTTGTATTTTTTAAAGTCTAATGCAACTTTAAAGTTACAGTAAAGTGAAGTGGGTTTAACTACTAAACTGAGCCATAACAGGGGGAAAAAGTGTTTTTAGTGGCGGTGGTAATCAGTTAATCAGTTAATGAGAGTCTTTTCCCCTGAAGGTTAATGTTTTATTTCATGAACGCGTATACATTTTTTATGATGTCAGCAAGGTCTTTGTTGAAGGTGAGGTTATTAAACACAGACGTTCAACAACACACCATGTTCAAGTTAAGCTGTGTTGGCAGATGCATTTATTCTATGGTCGAGAAAACACTGTAATAATAATAAATAGGACAGGATTAGCATTTATTGTCTCTCTTGGGAGAAATTTGTCTTCAAGAGACCACAGAGTGCCATCTGTGCCATACAATCACATGAACACATGAATGACATTAAACAGCTTTTAATATATACGGTCGCACAACACGTAACAGTACAATAACATTTAGCAGTTACCTACACATATTGTCACAGTACAATAACATTTAACACTTTGGTTACTTCATAATAAATAAATATTATATGTTACAGGATTCCCCACAATAAGAAAACTGATAGATATTGTTTTTTATTATTGCACATTCTGTACAAATATATTTTACAATTTGCACATTCCCTAAAAAAAGTTACACGCTACGAATTCCCTACAGTAATAAGTTGCAAGTAAAGGTATCTAGTAGAATTAAAACATCACCAGTGAAACCAGTACTTCAACTGATACTTTTTATAACCACACCGCAGCAAAAAAGGACTATTTGTTTGGTTTTGCTTGCAGCCAAACATGCAAGCAACTCACCGAAAGAAAGATGAGAGCACGCTTTTTACCCCTTATGTGGCTGCACCATAAACTGTATAAATAAAAGTCCAGGCAGATTTTAACAGCCGCTCACCTTCAGCTGCATCTCAGGCATGTTCGTCACTGTTGCAAGTTTATCACCACAAGCTTGACTTTCCGATGGTTTCATCTTCTGGTATCATTTAACACTGTACATTTTTATTTGCTGTTCACATCACTTGTCACTGATCAATCGCTGTTCCATCACATCAGTTAAACACTTTACTGATGGAGCCTCAGGCTGCAGCTGCAGCTGCTTCAGGTGCAGTTGGTTTGATCAGCTGGACGTGCAGCCTCTCTTTACTCTGGACTCTTTACTGTAGTTTAGTGACTTGTTTAAACAGACTCCTCACATCTTTCAATTCACTCAAACAGAAATTTCCCCCTTCCTAAAGGTAAAGCTTATCTTAAATATTACACCGAAGTACAGATTTGAGTTACACATACTTTTCATTTTGTGGTTTAACTTTAACTTACTACACTAATTTCCGAGGGAAATACCTTTCACTCCACTACAAGTGGAGACATAAGACATCATAATTGATAACTATGATGCATTTTATAGATTAAAAATTAGTAACTTACACGCTACTCTGCGTTTAGTACTTTTATTTTTGATACTTTAAATATAGTTTGGTAATTATACTGCAAGATAGATTTTTTTTTGTGCATGTCCTAGTTTTGGAGGGGAAACATGAACAGATGTGTTCTCCTGGACTGAAGAAACAGATATTGGGTTGAAGAGCTGCCGTACAAACCACACTCTCTGATTCCTCGATGGATGGAGGTGGATGGATGATGGCGGCGGCGGAGAGTGGTTTATCTCTGCCGGGGATTTGGACAGTATTAGTGTAATCTTTCTCTCTGTGACCAACAGGTCCGCTCATCAGCTATACGTCCACGCTTCATCCTACAGATGAGAGTAAACACTCACATCTGGGCTGCAGCTCGCGTCTGATATCTGTAAGTAGAGATTTACAGCGTTGAAGAACATCATGTTCCACTTACTGTTTTCTTTTTGGCCTAATGAATCCCTTTCTCCTTTTTTATATGTGATACCTTCACATTTATTGAGCTGTTGATGTTGAACCTCAAGACACCAAAGAGCAGCCCCTGAACTTTGACCTCATCTTAAGTCATCCCACTGAGCTACAGGTGTAAAAATTGAAAATGCTGCAGCGTTTTCTTTGTGAGATCAAACTACATGACAGTTTGGATCAAGAAATTTAAGGGATGCTATGAAAGATCAACAGAACAAATGGCGTATTTGGATATTTTGCATTCGGAGCGTTCTGTGATCAGTTTCTGGCCAGACAGGCTGCGGATGTTACCTGTCCTTTCTAATTCTGACTTTTATTAACAGGTCAGATTTTTTTGGTTACAGCTCAGACAGAGCAAGGAGAAAAAGTATTCAGGCTCAAACTCACAGGGTATCCATAAGGGGTGAAATAATAAACAGTTTGATTAAACTGGAAATACAACAAATAATACTGTAAATACTAATAAAATATAACAATAATAAAAAGACCAACAGATACAAAAACAACAACAATATCAAACTATTAACATAAGGAAACTGCATAAACACACAATCACTATCTAATAAATACATTAAAGTCAGTCAGTAATGGTAAATCAGGGAGGAAAACATGTAGTATGACATAAATATATTATACTGTTTTGTATAAAAACACAATAAAGTCACGACAGAACACTTTGATTTTATTGATATGAAGAGAACAAAACATTAAATATTATTGACAGAGTGTGTTTTACTTGGTGCAAATTTCAAGGGGAGTCACTAACTAACAGTATCAGTTTTTTTCTGTTGTGACTGAACAAATAAATCTCTAAATAAACTCAGGAACGACATGGAGATAAACACCCCTCCGTCTGCGATCAATCAAATCCCGCCAGACCTTTTAATTCTCAGCTCTGTGGCCCAGTTTGGCTTCAGTCTCTTAAAGCTCCCCCCCCCCCCCCCCCCCCCCCCCGACCACAGCGCTCGTGGCTGCGTGGTGAATAATTGACACGCTCTCCTCTGCACTCTGTGTCTCTTTCCATCTCTCTGTCTTTGTCTGCTTCTCCTCGCCGTGACGAACCCTCCCTCCCTCCACCATGTCCAGTTTGCACCTGCTGCCGGGCTGCACGCTGACGACCGACAGCAGGTAAAACAGACGCAAACACGGGAGCAACCGCTGGTAAGACAAAACCCTTAAACATTATAACAACAGAGGCAGAGCAGGGACATATCAGACCTTTTTATCCTCACCTTTTAACAGTTCTCTCTGTGTTGTCTACTGATTCACAGCTTTTGTGAAGGAAGTTTTGATTACCTCCACTCTGACGGAGACTCCGTGATGCTGCAACCTGTTTGCTTTTAACACCATTACTCTCAGCAGACTGCCAGACTATAACAAGCTGAAATACCTTTTCTCCGGCTAAGAGTGTCTAAATAAGAACATTTCTTTATCTTCTGGAGGAGCTTAATGTTTCCTAGACTTTTCTGATCATTCTTGAATCTAGAAATGGTTCTTGTATCTTATCAAAACCAATTTTTTTGACATCTGCAGTGGAGAAAATACAAGTTTTAAAGGTTACAACATTGTACTTTTATGCTTCGTAGAGCGTTTTCTCTTATTTACTGCCAGTGTTGGGCAGTAATTTGTCACTCAGTATCACTCAGTAACACAATACTGTCATAGTATTACTTTCTCCAGTAACTAGCAGTGTAAGGGATTCCTATTTCCAAAACAGTAATGATATTACAGTTATTAATCCAAGTAACGAGACAAGTTACTGCATTACCAGAACGCCAAAAACAAAGAATGGAGAATGAGGCTTTCTGACTCCTAACGTTAATTATTGTTCCAGTAAAGTGGATTCAATTCTGAAATGAGCTGCTGAACGTGTTGTGTGTAACGTAACTAATTACTTTTAATACTCAGTAATAGTAAGATTTTATTTATTATTATAATTTCTGAGTAACTTTCCCAACACTGTTTACTGCAATGTGTTTATTTTCCCAGCCATTGGTTTCCACTCATTTCTGTACGAAATGAAAATCTCAAAATGGTCAACAAACTAAAAATGTGGTTGTTTGTGGTTAAAGAGTTACAACAAACCGCTGAGGTAGTACTTTTGTTTTTTTACGCTTAAGACGATGAAGGCGCTTCCTAATTACAAGGTAATCCCAAATGTAAACCATGTTTTGGTGCGACAACTGCGAGCCTGAAACTTTTTACAGACATTTTGTTTGGTCACTAAATAGTAAACTCCTCTCTGCGGCTGTTTTCAGATAGCTGTGGAGCCATGAAGGAGTTCCTGTTCCTCCTCCTGGTGGTCACTGAGGCGTCCTCCAGGTTGAACAGCAGCGGGTGTGAGCTGGCCTGCGAATGTCAAAGGAGTCTGAAGTTCACCATCTGCTCCAAGGCGCTTTTCACCCAGCTGCCCGACAGAGTCCCGCCCGCCACTGAGCTCCTCGACCTGTCCGACAACCGCATCTCTGTCATCCCTGAACGCTCCTTCAGCAAAAACCGCAAGCTGCGAGTCCTGCTGCTGCAGAACAACAACATCAGCGTGGTGGAGGACGGCGGCTTCTCTCAGCTGGAGTTCCTGCACAAACTGGACCTGAGCTGGAACCGGATCTCCACCCTGACTGAAGGCTTCTCCATCGGCCTGGCCTTCCTGCAGGAGCTGCAGCTCGCCCACAACCGCCTTACGAGCCTGGACAGCCGGAGCTTCCTGCACCTGGACAGCCTCCAGAGGTTAAACCTGACCGGCAACAACATCCACACCGTCCAGGTGAGGTCGTTCTCCCCGATGAGCAAACTGCGGCAGCTCCACCTGGAGGACAACCAGCTGACGTCTCTGAGGAGCGGGATCTTCTCCATGCTGCGCTCTCTGGAGGTCCTCAACCTGGCAGGAAACCAGATCAACGAGACAGAGACGGGCGTCTTCAAGCCCCTCGCCAGCATGACGTTCCTCAACCTGGCCAACAACCAGCTGTCCACCATCTACTTCAAGACGTTCCTCGACATCAACGACTACAGCACCCACATCCTGCTGGAGGGGAACCCCTGGAACTGCGACTGCGATCTGCAGAGAGTTTTCCTGAAGCTGCGGAGCATCCAGAGGCTCTTCCTGGACGACTACTACAACCTGACCTGCAAGGCGCCACCGGTCCTCGAGGACTACCGGCTGATGGACGTGGACACGGAGCTGTGCCTCGCCGAGACGGTCACAGTGCTCATCATCACCGTCACTGTGGTGATAACCGTGCTGGCCACAGTGCTGATGGGCGAGAGGCAGAGGAAGAAGAGGAAGATCGGGAAGCACTGGACGCAGCAGGGAGATTTTTCAGACGAGTCGGACTACTGAAACAAATCTTTCTTTCTTCTGCCTCTGTCTGAAATTGATCAGTTTCATTCTGTCGTCTCTTCACGGTCTTTATTTATTTCCTGGCTCAGGAAGCGAAGATTAGATTACAGCTGTTGCCTCAACATCGTTGCTTAAATCCCACATGAACACCTGGGAAGAGGTTTCAGATTCTGCAGTTCATGTTGCCAAGGATTTCCCGTCTGCTTCACACCAAAACGCCTCAACGAGCTTTTAAAATAAACACTTAAACCTGAACTCAGATATTAGTAAAAGTTTCCCATGTCATATGTTTGAATGGTGAATATAACTTTTTTCTGTGAATGGACGTGTGTTAATGCTCCTGATGTGACTGCAAACATTAAATGGGATGTTGTGTCATTTTACTTTGTCTCATGTCTCATTTAAGACCAAATTTTGCCCACATTTTCATGTTTCCAATAAAAAAACACCAGCCGTTTCAGTGTAAAATATAAGTGTACGCTGCCCCCTGCAGGTGGAGCAGATGTACTGCATTAAACATCATTTTTATGACATTTGATGTTCTTGCAGCAGCAGATAGGTGGGGTTTGTTTTTTCCTGCTGGTTTAACTTTACAAGAACATCCGTTGTGCTTCCTTTTGCAAACTCCACCCAGCTGAAACTACACTCATGTTTAAGGTTTCCACAAACCACAATCACAGGAAAGTGTTTTGATCAAGGTTGATGTGTATTCTTTGAATGCTTCTTTGAATACGTTGCCTCTCTAATTTCATATCAAAAGAGATAAAAAAAATATACTTCCTCTGACAAGATGAGTAAGAACCCACTTCTAATATGTAACTTTAGCCTCTTCTTTATAAAATAAAGAGCCACGGTTCCCTAAATGTACAACGATTAAAGTTAAAGGAGACAAATCAAGATTTTAAGAGGTTTAAATAACGTCTTCAAGTGAATAAGCTGTATATTGCTATAAACGGTGATGTTTAAGTAACAGTAATGGTGATTTTATACCGGTTATTATTACAGTTGTGACATCTGTGCTGCTCAGTGGTGAGTTTATTGTGATTTATTGTTTTAATTTTATACTCTGTTGTTCCCATAGAAAGTCCTACAGTCTGTGCCGTGCCACTTTCAAACTAATTAATTAATTATGTTTATCATGTGAACGTTTATTTGTTTTTGTTTTTTTCTTTAAAGTTTCCCCTTTAATTGAGACACCAGAGACCTTCAGGCGGAGTCGCTCTTCTGCGTCAATGTGCGTCTTTTGGTATTTAGCGCTGAAGACGACCGGATATGAACAAAATAAAAGCTTAACATTGACGTCCGTGCACATAAACAGCTACCAACAATAAAAATACTTGTGAAATTGTGCCAATAAGTATTGAATGTGGGGCTGTGTCTATTTTATTATTATTTATTCATGAGATTATTTAATTCATAATTCATTTAATTTAGAAATATAGCAAAAATTCGATCTATGTTAACTTTTAAGGACACCGAGACCATTTTACACGCCTTCATCTCATCACTCCTGGATTATTGCAACAGCCTTTTCAGCTGTTTAACCCAAAAATCTATTGATCGACTCCAGACTGTCCAGAACTCATCTGCCAGGCTTTTAACCAGAACAAGAAATATGACCACATTACTCCTATTTTAGCTTCATTACACTGGCTCCCAGTATGTTTTAGATTGACTTTAAAATTCTATTGATCACTTTTAAAGCTCTTCATGGCCTCTCGCCTTGTTATATTTCTGACCTTTTAGTCCCATACGCACCAGCACGTACCTTGAGATCCTCGGGCAGAGGTCTGCTGTCTGTTCCAGAGTCTCGACTGAAAACTAAAGGGACAGAGCGTTTGCTGTCAGGGCCCGAGGCTCTGGAACAGCCTGCCCGAGGAAATCAGGTCGGCTGAGTCAGTGAACTCTTTTAAGTCCCTTCTTAAAACATGCTTTTATAGGAGAGCCTTTCCCGATCTTATTTGACTTTATTTTATCCCTTTTATTTTATTATATTTTACTTATTTTATATTTATCTGTATTTTTAGTCTTTTCAATGTTTTCATGCTTTTATCTTGTATTGTTTTTGTATTATTGTTTTTGGGGTATTATTGTCTTTACACTTGTTAAAGCACTTTGTAACTTGTTTTTGAAAAGTGCTCTACAAATAAAGATTATTATTATTATTATTGTTATTTTATGATTCATCATTTGGTCTTTAAAAGACCTGAAAATGGTGAAAATAGTTCTCCAGACCACCAATAGACATAATTAGATTTCTGTTCTTTTTTTTAAATCGACCTAAATAATGAAAATCTTAAAAATATTACATTTGAGACGCTGGGATTTTTTGCTTAAAAGATAATTTAAAGTAACAATTAAATATGAAAATTGTTTATTACTCTTTGTACAGAAATGATACTACTGATATGTATAGGAAATACGACACACATATATATATATATAACATCCACAGAGTGTATATGTCATATAGTATTTATTAACTAACTTCATTATATTGTATTGTGGAGGAACTTGACAAATTATCCCATTGTTTGTGGGTTAAAATCGAGTTTTCAAGAAAATAAACATCCCTCCGATAATAACAATATTTTCAAAAACAACGACTTTTACTTTGAAATCAGTGACCGGAAGCCGTAACATCCAACGTGGCGGCTTGACGGTTATGTGTCGCTCGGGGCAGGTGGACGAGCTGCTGTTGTTCTCAATACAAAGAGAGCAGCGCCGGAGAAACACTGAAACAAAAACATGAACACGTCTCTCTAAATTTAAGCAGTATCTGTTATATTAAAAGAAGTAATCATGGCGGGTTTTGTGTAAAAAAAAAGAAATGCCGGGCCGAGTGGAGAGAAATACAACAGAAACTGCGCAGTCATAGTTTAATGGGAGCGGTGACCTGAGCAGGTAAGACCTTCATTTGTCTTTAAATTTAATGTTCATTTCACGGTGAGTTTGTTTAAAATTAGGTTAGAAGCGGCTCCGTGACAGAAGCCACAATAAAGACTCGTTTCCTGCGTGTTTGCTTTGTTTATATTTCATTTTTCAACGCTATTTTTTACGACAATGTGCTTCATTTCCTCCTTGTAAACGTGTTGGATTTGGTTTGTTTTACATCTGAACCAAACAGATGCTTTGTTCAAGAGACCACTTACTTCCGCATAGGAGCGTCAGTGACTGTCACTGACAGACAGACTGTGTTCAAACCCCGGGTCCGAGGACCTCCAGCGGTCGCTCCAGATGTCCTTTCATTGATGTTTAACTGACTGTGAGGTGGTTTTGTTGCAGTGAGAGTCACAAGGAAATTGCAGGCTTCATACTCATATTAAAGAACATTTTGAGCGTTTAACACTTTATTGCCTGCAAACTGGAGATTTTTTCTGCTCCGGTTTCTGTTGAAAACGTCTTTATGTGAAAGGAAAAAACACAAAATTCAGACTACAGGTGACGATTCAAGCTATAAAAGTTAGACTCTCTTTTTTGCTTTTTGATTAGTAGGTAATTTCTCCTGTTGATCAAGTTTTCTGGTGCAACCGGATCCCTGCTGAGTCAACACACATGTAGGCTTAATTAGTTTTCTTCCCTCCTCTTTTGTGTGTTCGTTTGGGGAAGTAACCTCTTCAAGAATGTGCATGTGGCACCTCAGTGATAAATTAATTCAGTTATAAAGTCCTGGACTTTAATAGCTCCTGCGTTGCAGCAGGTTTTCTGCTCAAGTTCAGAACTTTCTCATTCAAAACCCATGCGTCTTCAGTCGATTATTCGGGGTCGGGTCACAGGGGCAGCAGCTCCTGCAGGGTTTCCCAGTCCTCCCTTTCCTGAGCCGCATGAACCAGCTGGAGGAGAGAGGGAAGGAGTGAAAATTGACCGGCAGATGAAGAGCTTTGCCTTTCTGAATGGCTTTCCCACATATCTGTGACATGTCGAAACCCTTACTATTAAGAGAAAAAACTCATAGCCTAGTATTTAAAATGAACCTCCTGCCCTTTTCTCTGCTGTGTACCCTCATGGGTGTCAGACCGGAGTCACATCAGACCAGGTCTAGATCACAAATCAATAAACTTGGTTAAACATGGCCTAGATTAACAGGTAGATTTTATTCTATAACATTTCACTTCCCTTTGCATAAATAAAATAAAGTTTTCACAAAGTGTTGAGATCAAATACTAAATGGAACAATTATTGAATCGATAAGATGTTAAAACACTTGCCTGATTTAAATGCTGTCGTGTGTCTTCATCACACTTCTGATTAATTTTACTACCTAATAAAGCAATTTAACGGCCGCGTCTGCAGGATTTAAAGCTCATCAAATGTTTCTTTAAACAGAACTCTATTTATGTGAGAAGTATTAATGTTTGAGAGAGAAACTGAAATCTGTGGAGGTTTTTACAGAGACAAACACAGAGTTTTAAAAACAGATTTAATTCTCATGTTTGGTTTCCTGCCAAAAATAATTGTGTTTGGCAGAGCAGACCAAGCTGCCAGCTGAAGAAAACCGTCATTTGGTTATTGAACATTGGTGCCGTCACGCCCTGCAGCCGCTCTCACCCTCATTTCCTTATCTTCCAGATATGGCAGCTGACGACAAGGTTGCCATCCTGTCAGAGGACGAGGAGGAGCAGAAGAGGAGGTACGTGTTGGCCGAGCCGTTCAACAGCCTGTCAGTGGAGGGGCAGGCGGGAGTCTCCGAGGCACCAGAGCCCTCCTCGGACTCGCTTTCCGAGCAGCCGCCGGACTCGACGCCAGAATCTATAGACTGCTGCGAGAGGATGTGCCTCCGCGTCAACAGCCGCCTCCTCATCTCAAAAGTCTTCTACTTCTTCTTCTACTCCGCCTACGGCTCGCTGCACCCTCTGCTCGCCGTTTACTACAAGCAGCTCGGCATGTCAGCCAGTCGAAGCGGGCTGCTCGTCGGCATCCGCTACTTCATCGAGTTCTGCAGCGCCCCCTTCTGGGGCGTGGTGGCGGACCGCTTCAAGAAAGGGAAGGCCGTCCTGCTGTTTTCTGTCCTGTGCTGGTTGGTGTTCAACTGCGGCATCGGCTTTGTCAAACCAGCTGAGATGAAGTGTATTGAAAAAGGCAGTACTCCGTTAACGACGGTGGCGCCGGTGATGACTACTCTACCACCCGTTAACTTCACGCAGCTGAGCAACCACACCAGACGTCGCCGGAGCTTTCTAGACCTCCCCGGGCTTCCTGAACTCCTGGACTATGTCACCGTGCTCCACAGGCAAGAGCGAAGCCTAGACGCCAACACCACTTCAGCTCCCTTCAGTCCGGGTAACACCACCCAGCAAACGCCAAACACCACCCTCCATACCACGACCACGACCACAACCACAACCACCGCCTCCACTGCTCCGACAGCAGCCAAGAAGAACCAGATCATCTTCAACAAGGACCAGGTGGAGTCCATCTTCCTGCTCATCCTGCTCGTCATCATTGTGGGCGAGTTCTTCAGCGCTCCCGCCATCACCATCGTGGACACCGTCACCCTGCAGTACCTCGGCAAAGCTCGCGACCGCTACGGCCTGCAGAGGATGTGGGGCTCGCTGGGCTGGGGTCTGGCCATGCTGCTGGTGGGCATCTGGATCGACCACACACACATCACCGTCACGATCGATGGCGTGGGCTGCACCGTGCCCGAGTACCGCCTCCACAACTACCAAATCGCCTTCATTGTGTTTGGTGTGCTGATGGGCGTGGCGTTCATCGTTGCCACTCAGTTTTACTTTGAAAAAGGTGGCAACTACCAGCTTGAGCTTCCAGAGGGGGTGGTGGCGGAGGCAGAGGGTCCGAGAGCGTCGCCCGAGTCCTCGGGCCAGACCACTATCGGCCCTGACCCTGCTCAGGACTTCAGCTACGCCGATCTCCTAAAAGCTCCTCTGCAGCGTGCGCTACAGCTCCGTCCTGTTCGTCGCCTGGTTCATGGGCTTCGGCTACGGCTTCGTCTTCACCTTCCTGTACTGGCACTTGGAGGACCTGAAGGGGACCACCACGCTGTTCGGCGTCTGCTCCATCCTGAGCCACGTCTCAGAGCTCGGCGCCTACTTCACCAGCCACAAGTTGATCGAGCTGGTCGGACACGTCAGGTAAATATGCATGTCAAAAAATATACCAATTTAAAGTCAGTAAGTGTTTTTATACGATTTGTCTTGTGCTACACGTCACCTCTGCCTCAACTCTCGATGATTTACGTGTCGATAAAGTAACCACTAGCTGCTGTTACCTAGTTAGCTGCGCAGCTAGTGGTCATTTTCGCAGACTCTGCCTCGACTGCGAGCTCGGAGCACCGGGGAAGTGTTTTCCACCGGGAGGAGGAGGTTTTCAGGTCAGGCACGGGGCCAACCAGCGCCCTTCTCTCATTGGGAGCTTCAAGTTGGCACTGACTCGCGTAACGCTCATTCAGCGCTATTGGCTACTGTAAACGGCAAGCTCCTCCCTAGCTTTGTGTTTTTTTTTTCTTTACAGGAAACTCATAAATCTGTGGAAGCAAATGGCGTGCCGCTTTCCGTTTCACGCCGACTTTGTGTGCTGCAGTCAAGCGGGAACCTCCGGCTCTGAAAAGCGAAGCCAATGCAGAAGTAACTTAAACCTGCATTCTTTCTAACGGCCAGCAGGGGGCAAAAAGAAGTTTGATAGTATAGAAGTCTGTGAGAAAATGTTTCTACTTCTCAGCAGATTTTATTCCCTCAGTAAACACTTTCCTAATGAGTTTAAGGACTCTTCTTCAACACAGCGTGATGTTCATTTAGTAAATTATGGTCCCACTTAGAGGAATATGCACAAATGGGATGCTTAAGGGCGGGGCTTGTACCCGCGGCAGATCACAAACCAATGGGTGACGGCACGGCGACTGCGTCCGCCTCTTTTATACAGTCTGTGGCTGCAGTTCATGAAAACTTAATGAATGATGAAAAATACATCTTTTCAACTAATTTCACTGTTTAAAGGTGTTTGAAATATCCTGCTCACTAACAAACGGAGCCATAAACACAATAGTTAAAACTAACTTTGCAAAATATAATAATTTTGTTTGCAAGTGCAAAAAATATATTTATAAAGAAACACTAAGATAAAGTGAAAATCAGAACTAAAAATGCTCAGAGATGATTTTAGCATTAAGAAATGAATGTTCAGTCGAGCCTTCATGTCTTTGCCTCCAGGACAGCCTGATCATTCATTACTTGAAGCATCTTTTTGCTTGAAGTGCTTCACACTGAGACGTTAAATCTGTCCCGCACTGTTCGACACAATGCTGTCATTGATGCTCGGCCTGGCGGGGGCGGGCGGGGTGACGACATTTGAGATCGTGGTGTTAGATTTCAGCTGCCAGGCCTCCGAGCTGCAGCTCTGTACCTGCACAGGAAGCGCACAACGTCTCTGCTGTTGACTCTGAAACAACTCCTGAGTCAACATGAGGCAAAGTCAACGGGAAAAAGAGTGTTTTTAAAAGGATTGTAATTAATTACTAACCAAATACACCTGCCCTGCTGCTGTTGTCCGTGATATCTATGAGCCTCACTAACTGAAAGCCTGTGTTGGAGTGTTTTAAAGAAGCTGCTGAGTTAGAGGCCTAAAAAGTTGAAAATAATCGATGTGTTTGTCTGGTTTATATCTCACATTTATTCTGGGGCCACTTGTAGGGACCCAAGTTCATCATTTTTAATTATTTTCTCACACAGTTCCTGGTTTAAATCCCAATTTTGCTCATTTCAGATTGTGTTTTCTTTTCTTTTTTTCTCATCCTTGTACGACATTAGAAAGAAATGCCTCCGGTAAAACCACAAATTTCCCATTTATTTCCCTTGAGTATAGATTCAAACAAACAAGATGTAACATGTTAAATGATGAGCTTTAAAGGAGCTGGTAGGTAGATTTTGGTACCTTCTGGACAGAGCAAGGCTAGCAGTTTCCTCCTGTTTCCACTCTTTATGCTAAGCTAAGCTAACTGGCTGGAGCTTCATGTTCTCATTCATTAGGGTAACTTTCTGGGACCTGAATCAATAAACATTAAATTATACTTAATTATTTTAAGTATTGGTATAATATCTTACTTGGCATGAAGGAACGCAAAGAGCTTCTACTATAACATGTACTAAAGAAGCTATTCCTTTTACTATAACAAAATCCAATCAAAGATATTGATTTTTGAAGTATTAAATTTGATGTCTTAGCTAAAAGCAGAAAATCCTACCTTATTATTTTATCTATGAAATGCTTTTTAATTGAATTTCCAGATAATGACCTGTACAATATATTCTGCTATGTGAATTTAGAAACTGTGATCAGTACAAAGAAGACAAAATGAAAGTAACAACAAACAGTAGCAGCTATCGCACACGCACAGTCAGACATCTGCAGGTTGTGTATTTTCTTCATTTTGTTCGGCGTCCTCGGCGTCGTGAGGAAGTTGACGCTCTGCTGCAAACACAGTTCCTGCTGTACTGGCCTGAGCCGGCTGCAGAGTGTCTGTGTTGACCCTGTCGATGTCAAAATGTTAGCAGTGGAAAGATCATCTGCTGCCGCTTCACAGCTTTTAGCAATTTCACACTTCATCCACCTCTAAAAATAGTCCCTCGACACGTGCACAGTTTCCTCTCGTTTGTTTGTTAAAAGCTACACAGCGAGCTGCTGTTTTAGGATCTTACAGACCTTTTGCTTTTTAAAGCAACAATATATTGTTGAGCTTGTTTTTTGAGATTTACGTCTTCAGTAGGAACCGATGGGCTCGGAGCTGAGAGCCACAGACGTGGCGTCAGACAGTGTTAATGCTTTAAACACAGAAGTTATAAATGGGATAACCTTAACGCAGACGTGTTGTATTAGGCTGCTTTAGGTTTAGCTAGTATCTTCTGGAGCTGACTAATAATATATAAAATAAAACTAGGTTTGTTTCCAGCTTTAACTAAAGGTGGGAGGTATGTGATTGTGAGAAATCCAACACCATGACAAACACCATGCTATAGAGTGAACAACGAAACGGCAAGTAATGTAACTAATGTAATTTTTTACTGCTCGTCAATCAAAATAAGCATTTTTACAACATTACCTTGCAAACCTGTGATTAACTTTTGATGTTTTCTACTCTAAACGGTGAGCAAATAATATTTAAACAAGTACCAAAAGGTCACCAAAACTCTTAATAACTAAGCTACCTGTAAAAAGAAAAACAAAACCAACTGTAGCTGCAAAGCTTTATGGGTAGAAGGAGAGAGAGCTGAACTAACGTCTTATTATCTTGGACAGAAAAGAGCGCAGACAGTTTAAAGCTCATACAACCGGTCAATTAAGCAAGATTGAGTATTGATCAATCAGAAAAGTAATTTTCCGAGTAAAATTTCCCAACGTGTGCTCATAATAGTTTTATTGTAGTAGTAAATTGGAATTTTAAGACATTTTCTTAACAAAAACGTGGTCCAATAAACAAGCTGCTCTTATTTTGATAAACAATTTAACGATTTGAGAATTTTTAAAGCAAAAGTAAAGCAGCTCTGTCTCCGGATCTGATGCTGTGCTTTGTCGTATATGATTGTAATCTCACCCACAGGTCACCTTGGGGATTTTTCACTGTTATGCTGTCACCTGAAGACCAATCAATCAATGCAATATGAGTCTACTAGTTATATATTTACACCCTGCATCTTCTCCCTCTCAGGGTGCTTTACATCGGCCTGGCCTGCAACACAGCTCGCTACCTTTACATCTCCTACCTGGAGAACGCCTGGACCGTCCTGCCCATGGAGGTCCTTCAAGGTAACGTGCACTCACTTGTCTGTCTGCAGGGTCGCTTAGGGACAGGATCCCGGCTGTGTTTGTCTAACAGGAAGCTTATCAGACAGGCTGTTTCCTCCCGACAGCCTGGGTCAGTAAATGCGGTGAAGCAGGGTCTGCTGGTCAGTGGGAGGCTGATGAGCTGACATGCGGGCGAAGCTTAGAAAATACTCACATGCGCTTTGTACATTTACAGGACGCGTGTTAATTGAGTCAAACGGTGCAGTTAAAACACTGCTTCCTTCTCTGAGCCATAACTCAAATCTGAACACACTACGCTTCCCGATATCATTCATTCTTGGTGAATAAGAGGCTCCTTATAACCCCAGAACTTTTCTTCAGGATCAAACTACTCCAGTGATATTTGATATTTGGAATTGTCGAGTGATAATTGCTTGTTTTTTTTTAGGACTTTTTATGATTATTTTCATTTTATGTAACTATTGTAGCTAGGATAATTCATTGCGATGTGCGTTTATTGAACGTCAGTCTGATGCAGTTGTAGCCAACAGCATAAGTTGCTGGATCCATGCCAACATTGCACTTCCTGTTTACATCCCCCAAAGCATTATAGGAACTGTAGTTACAAAACTTAAGTAGTGTGATTATCCCAAAAGTAGACATGAGAGAAAAGAATATCAATAGGAGTAAAAAATTTCACTTTATGTGAAATCACAGGAAACTGTAAAACAAAATGTTTCTGTTTTTTATGAGGAAACGTTTCATGCATTAATTTATTTTATTTAATTTAACCAGTCAGACTGATTGGGAACAGATTCTCGTTTGCAACTGCGACCTGGCCAAGATGAAGCAGCATGTAGTTACACATATAAATATACAAATGCAGTAGAGAGTATATAGACAAATACATTACCTGCATACATTAAAATATCCCAGCATTTAAAGTAGAAAGAAATCCAACTAATGTGAAAACAATGAGGCTGAAAACTTTGATTCTGTAGTTTGATGTTTTTACAGAAGAACGCAGCAGAAGAAAAAGCTTTAGGTCACAAGTGATCAACATTATTAATACCACTACCCTCTTAATCACATGGCTGTTTCTTTTAAACAATGCAAGAAGTAATTTAAACCACAGAAGATGTGACCTGACGCAAGAAAGAAGAGATCAAGAGGGAACTGTGCGGTTTGTTTGAGATGTCCGCCCTGAGGAAACACTGACGCCTCACAGAGTAAACAAGTACAAAGTTGTTAAATGCTTCAGCTTTGAGTTCACTGCCTGTTTTGACCGTGAAATCAACAATTAAAAAGAGTTTAAAGCCGAGTGCATTCAACTTTGTCCAAGAGAACAGCCCGTGGGAGCTGATAACATCACCCCGCAACAGAAAACTTCAGGAAGAGCCGCTCCAACAAGAGATTACATTTCTACTGTTGTTCACCTCGAGCGCACATAATGCTTGATAAGCTGCGATCGGCCCTTTGAGAAGGTGTGGTGACATCAAGGGAGGTCATGTGACATTAAGACTTCAGACAGGAAGCTGAACTGCGAGAAAAATAAGCGTTAGTGCCGGTGTAATTTTCATGTCTGGGGGACGTTTCACCACAGCAGAGCAGTCGTTCATTAATTCAGTCGTTGGATTTTTATGGCACATGCTAAAATCAATATTTGGAACTGTAGATAAGGATCACTTATTATAGTCTGGTGACCAAGACACGTACTGAACGGGACATTTGAGTGCCCTCCGGAGGACAAACTATGTAATGGAGACACAGTTGCTGATATATCTGCAGCTCTAATAAAATCATCAAAGTATAACAGTCAAACAGAAGCAAATTAAGGCAATTTAATGCCACGGTGGTAAAATGTTGAGTTACTTTAAGGACACTAACTGTGGGTAAACAAGTCATTAATGTTTTAAAGTTATTATAATGTATATATATTTCTCTCTTCAGTCACTTTAAGGTGAATATATGCATTTCTTTTTATATTTCTGATTGATGTGGAGACACACAAAATACATAATTGCATTGAATTACTGCAATGACACAAAAGAAGAGCCTTTACTGTAACATCTCTGTTCAAACAATCTCAAAATCTTGTTTGATTTCTCCCAGAAAAGTTGGTGGAATTAAGTTAACCATCTTTTTTTCTTTTACAAAAAGAAATACAAATACGTACAGTTCAAGTGCTTCACAGGTAGACGTGAAACAAAGAAAAGGCATAAATCACCGTAATGTAAAAATAGTTATGAGGTATTTATTATAAGGAAAATGCAACAAGAACAACAAATATAAACATTAAAGCCAAAGTAATGTGCTGTAAAGGAGATTTAAACAAAGCAGTGCTGTGGTGATAATAATGGGCCCACTGTTGAATCATATTTACTTTGTGGTGTGTTGTGATCTCACTTTCAGTAACCCTGATAAATAAACTGTGATTTTTCCCACTGAAATTGCAGCCAAAACACCCAAAGACAAATGTGGAGGCTCAGACACTCAGCTGCTCTCTCAAAGGCGTGAAATCTTTCTCCTGGGCAAATAAAAACACCGTCGAATTTAACTTCGCTTTGTTTGTCAGTAGTTGCTGATGAACAACGTATGCATTTGTTTTTACATTTAGAACTGTTTCCAGGCCACAGCGGTGTGTGTATAAGCTTCTGCTAACAGCTTTATTTTATTTATTACAGCTGCAGATTTGCTGCCTCCCAGATCTGTAAATAACCAGTTTACAAAGATTCAACCAGAGCTCAGCATCAGTCTTGGTTATTAGGATGTACTGTAGCTTAAATGCTGCTTTCTAAATATTCTTTAAGCTTATCTGACTTGAGTTAAATGAACATTAAATGCCTTTTACTGTATCTGTTGTTGGACTATGTTTGTTTATTTCAGGTTTTAAGTTATAGATAAACTCTGTCTCTATTATATTTGTTAACATCAACAAATTGAAGCGATTAAACAAACAATAAATGCATCTTACTCACATGTGTTGTCTCTGTACTCGGCCTACTTTAGCTTATTTATGTTAACGCTGTTATCTGCCTTTTTCTAAGAGCAGCTCCAGATGCCTTTGTCCTCCAGCTGTCACCAATGTCTGTCCCTTGTGTGTCCTCCAGGTGTGACCCACGCCTCAGTTTGGGCAGCCTGTATCTCCTTCCTGAGCGCGGCCGTCCCGCCGGCCCTGAGGACGTCTGCGCAGGGCATCCTGCAGGGCCTTCACCTCGGCCTGGGCCGCGGCTGTGGAGCCATGGTGGGAGGAGTGTTTGTCAACTACTTTGGTACGACCGGTGGGAGCTGGGACTGGAAAATGTTTAAATCAGCCGCATTGTCTATTTTTGGCCGCCTGGGGGCAGAAAACTGTAGGTGATAAATTGGTGTTCTTACAAAAACTTACAGGTGCTGCAGCGACGTTCAGAGGAATCGGCATGGCCTCCCTCGTCATCCTCCTCATCTTCGCCTTCATCCAGTTTCTGACTGGAGAGGCTGAAGGGAAAGGTGGGAAAAACTTCTTCTGTCCAAAGCTTTGCCTTTTCTCCTGCGCACCAGAGCTGATACAGTATTGTGAAACAAACTCGGCCCTTACGACAGCAAACCGTAAATGAAGACTTACAAGATGTTATGTCATTAGAATTGGGGCTTTATAAGATATATAACGCAGTCAAATAAAAGCTAATTCAAAGTTGTATTGGAAACAAAGCCCCAGGTTAGTCCAACATAACAGTAAAATGAAAAGAGCTTTAACTTTCAGTTCAAGTGTGCTCACTATCAATTTGACCAACAAAGAAAGTGGTTTCGATAATCTAGATGAACTGTGTCTGGACCCGTCAGATATTGGATTCATTTAAGTTTTGCTACTAAAAATATATCTGTATTTTTTAACATAGTCCACAGCCAAACGTTAACTAGCGTAAATTAGCCTTTTTTTCATTCAGTAACTGCATAAACTACAAAAATAAAACTCAGGAAGTAATAAAACAGAATTTAATTTACAAGGTGCGGCACGTAAAAATATGATTTAAGTGAGGACTGAATCCAAGCAGGACGGAGTCATTTGGAGATACAACTAAGGATTCCCAATGGTTTGTCTCTCTTATGATTATTTTAAACGTGTGCGATAATAACGACGGAGATAAGGAGCATTGAAATGGAAGAAATTGAACTAAAAACTGTCCAAAACATAGAGTGAAAGCCATGAACTTCAATCCTCTTGAAGAGGTTTTAGTGCAGACCTGCAGCTCTACTGAAGTCCACAGTTCTCCCGTCACATCTCATCCAGAGTTTGCATTTTGCCATTTCTTTTTCTTTCCTTGCAGATTTCAGAGTAATTAATTTATTCTCTGGGTGAATGTCCGTTTGTGTTCTCATAACGTCTACCTATCACACTTTGTGTTGTCTCTGTTTTCTTTTCTGGCTCACAAAACTAACAAAAATAAGTGTGACTGTTGGTGGAAACAATCCTTTTGTTTGTCCGGTCTGTGTAGGTTTCAGCTGGTCTGTCCCCTGCTTGAACATGTTTGTATTTTGTGATCACAACAGGTTTTTACTTTCCTGTGTCATTATGTTATGTGAAAATACTACCTGACCTTTTGAAACCTGCCTCTAAACCTGAAACAGACGACAGTAACAACAGCTTTGTTTTGTAACGTTTGCTCTTGGCTCATCCTCCCTCAGAGGACAAAATGCTGGCTGAAAACATCCCGGTCCCCTTCAGCCCGGTTCCCATCGCCACCATCGACCTGGTGCAGGGCCAGAACGACGCCGGTAGCCCCGCCCCGGCCCGCAACGCTCCTCCGTTGCCCATCAAGAAGACCAAACACCAGGAGGAGCAGGAGGACTTGAACAGGCCGGCCTGGGTGCTCTCTGGCGCCCCCTGGGTCACCATCGCCTTCTCCATCGTCCAGATCAAAGAGATGATGACGATGTTGAAGGCTGCTGGACCGCCGCCGGAGACTCAACCACTGCAGGTGAACAAAATCACAATTCAAAACAAGTAACTAAATCTGTCAGATAAATGAAGTGAAGTTAAAACTGCAAATTCCCTCTGACATGTTTTGGAGTTGAAGTACATTTCATTTGTACTAAAGTACAGCACTTGAGTAAATGTACTTAGTTATCCACCACTGGATCATTTGAACGGTTTATATTTGGACTTTTTAAGGTGTATTCATGTGTACCAGCTGGAATAAAAACATGCTGGTGTCATATAATAATAACAACAACAAACTCTTTTCCGCCTGTTGTGTCTGAGAGTTGAACGACTGTGTTGGAAATGTTTCCCTAACCTGAACTTTCTGTCGCTTCCTCCACTAACTGCTGCCCACGCGTGCACGCACACACAGAAGAAAGGTGAGACGTGTCTGCGTGCAAAGGTCGATGGAAAACTACCGTCTTGCGGTGGGGGTGGGGGGGTGTGTGTCCGGGGTTTCCTCTCCGTGCGTGTGTGTGTGTTGCGTTTGGTGATAACAGTGACTCATCCATACCTGTGTGTTCTGCTTGTGTGTAGTATGTGGGCGTGTACATGCATGCGCACTTGTGTCTGTGTGTTTTGTGAGCCTCCCACACCCGTTTCTTGACGCCATGTGTGAAGTGCATGCATGCCTGAAATACTCCGGGTGATGTCACACCCCCGCCCGCCGACCCCTCTCTCTGGCAGCCATGTTGGACAGCTCTGTGAAACAGCTTGTTAGCTGCTAGCTGGATGCACAAAGACAAAGACTCGTTTACAGTGGTGGAAAGTGCATTTACTGTACTTCAGTACAACTTTGAGGTACTTTTGGGTATTTTCTTCTACTTTATACTTGCACTCCACTATGTTTCACTTGTTACACTACAGTCAGGTTATAAAATACAACACATTATTAAAGGTTGTCTAGTCGAGGATCCTCGTCACGGTTCAGGTGTATAATAATTCAGGTGTTGCAGCAGCAGTCCAGAACAATAAAAACAAGTAGAAACAAACTATACAAGAGCAATTCAACTCAAAATTACAAAGCAAGCAGGACACAGAGTACAGCAATATAGCATAGATATAAAATACAGCGTGAGTATCATAAATATTATAATATTATATTATAATAATTATATATAAAGTATAATTTATAGCAGCATCTCAACTGTCAAAGGTGTAGAAATAATCCTGCAACAGTTTAAAAAAAAGAAAAACGCTGGACATGTGATTGTTGCTCCAACACGGATTATTGATCTACTGCGGTGTCGAGGCATCACAGGATGAAACTTAAATACACCGATTAAAACTTTTAATTTATTACTGAACGAGCAGATCAGACACAGGCAGGCGATAGAATCAGCTATAAATGACGTTTAAGTCAAATCTGACGCCTCGTTAGTTTGCGAAAGACGACAGCTTCAGTACGTCTGGCGTCCTTTTCATGTATATTTGTTCCTGATATATGAAAGAAGAAGGTCAAAATGCCGACGGATCAGTGCCTCTGATGAAGAAAGAATCTAAGTCACAGCCAGACAGTTTGTCTTTGTGCAGCCAGTTAGCAGCTTAGATTAAAAAAAGATAACACGTTAGCATTAACATCATTGTATTAATGGTTCGATTGGCTAGTAGCAACTCATGCAAGCTTTTTCAGCCAGCTCTTTTGCCTGTTTGTGGATATTTAATTAAATAAAAGATCAAATGATCCTGGTGCCAGATGAATATATTTCTGTACACGTACATAGAATGCTGTACATATTTCCACACTCATATGTGTGTTTTCTATTTTCTTCTTACCAACTCTAATGAGCAACTATAACACAACAATTTCCCCTCAAGAGAGATGTATAGAGTGTAGATCAATTAAAGTATAGATGTGTGATGCAACTGCAGAACTGGCTGCCTGTCAGTCGCGATCACTGTTTGTTCCTCTCGTTGCCAGGTACCTAATGAGCAGGCGTCGGCCGAGTACAGGGCGGTGGCGACATCGCACAGAAACTCGAGTGATGACGGCACAGAAACACCCGCACAAATAAACGCCACCCACCCGGCACCCTTTGACTCTAACAAGGACAAAGACCAAACGCACCCATGCTCAGACAGAGGAGAGGCTGCAGAAAACCCTTTCACATCAGGAAACCCAAAGTGACGGTTCATTTAGAAACTATTTAATTTAAACACACACTGACCTACAAAAATATCAATCTAAACAAGTCTGTTTGTCTTGAATTCAGCCTAAAACCTGAGTCTTCCTAGAAATCTGTCGGTATCATGACAAAACTATTATTTATGTACAATTATTGTTAAAAAATTAACTATTATTAAAAATATCTTATAACAAGTTGGAAAGGCTAACTTGAAGATGTTTTTAAGACTCACAACTTGTTTTAATTGATTGTTTTTTTGAACGAGGAGTTTCAGGTTAAATGTTTGGATGAACCTGGAGGTGCGTTTGTTGGCGTTTGCCCGTCAGAGGTGGACGAATCCAGCTCACCTCGGAGTGCTGTGCGCTATATTTAATACCTTTCACTGCCTGAGTGTGAAGGAAAAAACCCTTCAAATGTAAAAAACAAAGATGATGTGCCTCTTGATGAGTTTTATTTATTTCATTTGCTTAAAAAGTGAAGAAATCTGACAAAATGGTTTGGTTCCACAATAACCGAGAGAGCGAACAGTGAAGTGAGGCGGATATCAATGAGATTAAATTAAATCGCCACTAACGATGAAAACTAAAGAGTTAATTACAGAATGAATGGCTGTTGCAGACGTCTTAAATCCTGTCTCTTGCCTGCTGTAGGCAGTGATGTTGGATATAAAATGTTTCTGTATGTGATTACAGGCTGTCGGGAGACGTTGCACACCTCTAAATCAAAAGTGTGGTTGTTGTGATGGGGCTGCAGGAGGCTGTTTAAACACTGCAGCAGCAGCGGGACGCACATACTGTTGGTTTCAACTCAAATTAATTGTTTATTTTTGATTGGTTAAGGTATCCATCAATTTTACGTTGCTATTAGGAATTATTGTTACATACCTCTGAGAAATATATTGGTTTTGCGTCATACTTTGGCCGTATGATCATAAATTTTTAATATTAAATTGGATTTTCTTTGTATTAAAATGTCTTAAATTTAGCTTGTTAAACCCGACAGGGACCTGTTACGATATCAGATCCAGACGGATCCAAAACTGTCACTTCCTTGACCTACAAAAGTATTAAATTTAAAATGAGTAAGGCAGAGAGTTTAGGTACTCAACGGTTGAAAGCTCCATAAGGAGCTAGTAAGTGGACCTTGAGTTCAGATGCTTTTGTCAAACTGAAGAGATTTGAAACCTTTAAAATTGTTGCTGCTCTCGACCACACAATCTCACCAGAGGATCCGGTTACTAGCCGTTCTGGAGCTTTCAGTCATGTCACATGATCTTCCTCAGCAGATGGATCTGATTCAAGACGATTGTGGGATTCGATCGAAGCTCCAGAACAGAAAAAAACCCCACACAAATACTAACTTAAGGGCCACTTACTTTTTTTTTTTTATGACTGTTTACGACCATATCTGAAAGTCTTTCTAATAGTATGGAGTTTGCTCAGTGATTAAGGCAGTAAGGGAGCCAGTGAGTGAGCTCCACCCGCTGAGGCAGACAATGACATGCAGTTGAAAGCTACAGGGAATAAATTTGTAAGCAGGCCTTGAGTTAAGTTTTTTGTTGTTGAGTTGTTTTTTGTCAAACTGCTGCAAAACTTCAGACAACTTTGCAATTTCTTGACCAACTTCAACTGCTATTAATAAAGTAAGTAAAGTAACTCAGAGGGATACGTGGTTAAAAGCTCTGGAAGGAACTAGTAAGTGGACCTTGAGTGACTAAGAGATTGAAAGGATTCAACCTTAAAAATTGTTCCACAAAACAGTTTCTCCATAATGCCAATTTACACAATTTCACAAAATCTTTTAGTAGCTGTTCTGGAGCTTTCAGTCATGTCACTTGATCTTCCTCAGCTGATGGAAATGAGATTGTGTGAAGCTCCAGAACGGCTACAATGGTAACTCAAAGGCCACTTACTAACTGACCACATCCAACAGTCTTCCTGAATGGATGGCATTTCAGTAATTAAGATTTATAAACGTATTTAATTGTTATTGAGCTTCTTTCGCTGCTCCGTGAGGTTGGGAACCGGTCTAATACTTGTAAATAATTGAATCACTTAATCTCGTTTCCAGTGCAGGTTCACACGTCGGGAACCTTCTTGTTTCAGATTTCGTCACTTCTTTCAAAACAAAAATCCAATTTTGTAACTCCTAAAGAAGTGCCTCATTTAAACATAATGTTATTGTTCTAACTTATTACTATGAGATGTCGAGCAAGGAGCCCTTTAGTGCCCTACACTCCTACAGTAATATCTGCCTTCTTCAACACATGAGGGTTTTTTCAAAGCTCGATTCCAATATTTTTGTATTGAAGCTGCCAAAAGCCGACACACATTATATTTACTTTCATGCCAAACAATTCCCAAAGTATTTAGTGTTTCTGTGTCGTCTGCGTGGAAAAAACCCTCAGAAACAGAATTAGATGAATGAAATTCTGTTTCACAGGAAGTTTAATTATTGAATTAAAGGATGATTTGGAAAAAGTGTGAAGAAAAATGTAATGTTTTCCAGCCTGTTCTGTTGTATGTCATGAAGGACAATCTCAGCCCTTTTAACACGGTATCATTAAAAAGATCTAAAATTAAACCCCAGATCGACCTTAACGACTCTTTGTTTGTTTAACTATCCTCGTGAGGACCAGTTTGAGCTTTCACCTGGTAAATGTGATCTACTTCCTGCTAAAACTAGGCCTGAATTATTTCCATCACTGAAATATTATTTAATAACACATTTATTATTGTGTTTAAGGTCAAATTCAACAGTCAAATTACACTTTTCTTTCTACAGAGTAAGGCAGTGAGTGAGTTAGTGATGTGGTTGAAAGCTCCAGAAGCTAGTAAGTGGGCCTTGAGTGACTTTAAGAGTTGTTCCACAAAATCTGTTTCTATGTGTTCCAGAGCTTTCACATGATATTCTTCAGCAGATGGATTTGATACATGAAGATTGTGCGATTCGATTGAAGCTCCAGAACGGCTACAAAAAAAAAACACTCTTCAAATTGTTTGTTGTTTGACCAACAGTAAAAAAATAAAAATAAAAAAAGGGCCACTTACTATTTTTTTTATTAATGGCTGTTGACCAAATCTGACAGTCTTTCCAGTGGGATGGAGAGTTTGCTCAGTGATTAAGGCAGTAAGAGAGTTGAAAGCTCCAGGGGGGGAAAAAATGAGTAAGGAGCCCTTGAGTCAAGGTTAGTATTTTTTAGCAAAATTCTAATTTCCAAGCTCAAGAATGAGGAGATCTAATCTGAAAAAATGGTACAGGCGAAACAGTTTCTCCATGAGTTCAATTTAGTGGCTGTTCAGGAGCTTTCAGTCATTTAACATGATCTTCCTCGACAGCTTTCACCGGATTGTCGGGAGATTGTGAATGTTAAAATTTCCTTTTATTTATTAAGTCATAATTAATAATAAAAGTTAAAGGGGCCATTTGTCTGCAGAACAAATACTTTTACAATTAATTATAATTAATGATACTTATAAATATATATGTGTACGTACAGTATTTACTGTATATATTAACACTGATGGAGTGCGTTGAGTGCTTTCATACTTTTATGTACATTTTACTGATAATACATTTTAAATGCAAGACTTGTACTGTAATGGAGTACTTCTACACTGTGGTATCACTAATTTAAGTAAATACAACTTACACCACTTAGTAAAGTAACATCAGCTAAATGCCGTGGAGTAAAAATTATTATTATTATATTTTGCTCGTGATGTTGTGAGTAGAAGTAGCAAAAGATGGATATACTTAAGTACCTGTTAAATTGTACTTACAGTTAGTACAGCAGAGTGTTCTGCAGGATGCTCTCCAGGCAGACGTTGTGTGTAAACTCAGCCACTTGATGGCAGTAGCGCTCTGAGCGTGTTGGCGGATCTGTGGAGTCTTGGATGGACTGAAGCTGTCTCTGTTTGTGTGTGGAGGGTTATTGAGGTTGTGGTGCGCCTGCTACTGATGGGTGTGTGTGGGAGGACAGTAATAGGCTTCCTTAAAAACTAGACTATGTGCTGTTGTAAAAAAAATAAATAAATAAAACAACATAATAATAATAATAAAATCAAAAAGCCTCTTGGCACGCTCAGCCTGTCTGATATCCGTATAGAAATTTCACCAGTCCCTTGTGCTGCTGATGCACCGTGGCTGTTTTGTCTTGCCTTTTAATAATGAGCTGTATAATAGTGTTGTTTTCTTCGAGGGTGTCATGACCACGAAACCGCCGAACAACGCTACACATTTCAACTTAAATGACACAAAAGGGGTCGAGGACGAGACGGGGCTTTTTATTGTCTCGACACGTCTCGGAAATTGCAGCGCTGACCTACAGACGCTCCCAATTACTGGAGCAAGGAGTAGTGTACATGTTAATCATGTTAGTGCCATGCTCGTGGACACTGGCAGGACAGTGACAGTCAGTTATCTGGCTGATTGTAGACTCATTAGTTGTGAGTTTTATCTTTAATACCACTGATTTCTGTGCTTTAAGATCACTGTTTGCACTTACCTATTAAGGCCGTTGCTCCTTAATGTGTCATGTTCCACCATCTCAGCCTCTTGTTTAATTGTCTAAACTTCCTTTTTTTTTTCTTTTGTGGCTCATAAATGTCACAATCACATCCTGAAAACGCCAATATAGCTTCACCCAGAGCCAGTTTTGTTATCTGAGCCCCTAATTATTATCACTGTTAAACAATCTCTCAACCAACCGCTGCCCAGATACAACCTGAAGCAGCTATTTTTAGCTTCTTTTTCCTCAGCGTGCCGTGATGGAGAGGCGAGCCAGACGGCCTGAGGAGGCGACTTGGCAGGATCTGTTGAGTCCAGGTGATGACGTGTTCTCCAGGGAACCTTTCTGAGCCGGACTCGGTGTTCACGTTACTCCAAAAGCACCTTGGGAAGCACAGCAAGGCGAGGTGGACTCTTTGGGCAGGCAACCAAAGGGTCATAATTAACATCACAGGAGTTTTCTAGAAAACTTGTACCATGTTACCACAGAAAGATAACACTGTTGTGGGTCGTTCAAAATCACTAAAAGGTTAAATTCAACCTTTTAGAACTGTCATTTTAAACATTTGTGAGTCATGTTTCTTCAGCTGCAGTGGGAAAACAAACACAAACAAGCTCAAGCAAGCTTTGTAATCCCCTAGCAGTTCACATTTTGTGTTACACCGCTAATGTTCCTCCCTGCTTTTGTGGTTCATGCAAGGCGTTGCATCTGCTGACAGAGTCCTCATATCAGGGTCCAGAGAAATCCCCCAGCTTGTGATGCAGCCAGAGCCTCAATTAGGAGAATAAAGTTTTGTTTTCTTGGTTGCACAGCCTTTATGTCTTTATGAATTGTGATCGAGCTGATTTTTGTTAGTATAAGAGCAGAAATTAGTTCATCTTGTTCTCTCTAGCCTAGTAAATGTAGCATTTTGGGGGTCCTATAGAGCCTTTCTGCTTAAATACAGACAAAATTGACGATCACTGTAACCAGGATTTTAGAAATGCTGAGGCTGCGAGTTCAAATTTATCCCAGCACAACCAGAACCAAAATTTGGCAAAATAAGACAAAAATGTCACCAGCCACCAAAGAAAGTTTGTAAAATCGTCCACATATATATATTTAATTGTGCAGCTTTTCTTTCTAGCTATTTTTGACAAATTTCTCTGAAGAGATTAAAATTTCCCACAAGAAAAAAGCAGAAGTTTGAGAAAAAAAAAACAAGATTTATTTATTTTTACATTCCCAAGATCCCAATAGTTATTTAGGCAAAAAAGTCCCTTTATTAAAATATTTTTTTGGGTGTAAAACATTCAGATATCAAGTACAAAAGACATCAGACTGAGTCTGTAAAAACACACCATGAGTAATACCTGTGTGACTGTAGAATATAAACTTCTCATCACGTCATCAATACCTCTTAAACTCTTCAGAAACAAAACCTAAGCCACAGACTACCACCTTGTTTTGTTTTGTCTGTCTGGGGCTGTCTTGTAGAGCAGCTTCCGTGTGTGCTGGTAACAGAAACCTGCAGAGTCTTTGCCCTGCGAGGCGAACTGCTGGAGACCACCACGCTAAATGACTAACCTGTGAACTGAGCAGACAACAGAGCGGGGTCGTGGGTTAAACATGAACCTGGTTTCAGGAAAAAAAAAACATACGACCGGTTACATCTCCTGCAGCGCTGCGATCAGGACCACCTGAGTCAAGCCTGAGTCAGACTAAAGACCACAGCGAGTCATGTTATTGGCAGCAGGCTGCAGACTAAACATCACATGGCTTCATGCCTCTTACTCTCTTTTTGGATTGAAAAATGTGTTTCTATTTTTATAAACACATGCCGATTTTAAGCATGACACTAAAAACATCCTGCAGGGTTACCACGTGCGGTGCTTTTTATTTCAATGCTTTACAGTATCGTCAACACAAGAAACTACCTGTTGTGTCTGAATGCATCACTTTACGGGTTTCCCCATAAGGTGCTGAGCCACCCAGATCAATGAATCATCTTGTCTCGTGATCAGTTTAAATAGGAACCACACTCTTAAATGAATGGCATTTTGTGTGTGAAGTAGCACCTTATACACCACATACATTTTCTATGAAGTTGGCACGGCCTAAAACAATATAAAGAAATCAATGAATAATAACTGACACAATGAGCCTTAGAAAACCCGCCACGTGTAATTTGTACAACGTCAACTCCCTCTAAAAACACCGAAAGCCATAAATTACCAGAAACATTAGCTGAGGACACGGAGGTGCTGTGCACTACTTTTAGTAAACAATGCAACACTTTTGTTGCTGTACACGTGTAAATAATTGCCATGCAAAACAACTCCTTTCATCCTTTTCATTTGTAGGAATATTAAACGTTTTATTTGTAGTCAGAGGCTAATATGAACTTATTTGCTGTATGGAAAAGGACGGCCTGCTTTGATTCTTGCTAGCTTGCTAGCAGTTTGCACAGGTGAGCTGATTTTGTCAAGCTTTTGGGAGTGTAATTACATTAATTACTTGCTTTTGTATGATTCAGTTTAGATTTTAGGTTAAATATATTCAGTATTAAACTGTTGTTTGGGCAAAACACACATTTAAAGATGTCCAGTTGGTCTCTGGGAACCAGACATTGTTGTGACATTTTACAGTATAAATTTAAAGAACTGCTGGATGAATTGATCACGTAAATATGTATTTGCGGTGCCTTAGAGATGAACCAGATCAATAGACACACCACAAAAAGCTTTCAAAGGCAACATTATGTTTGTAGCTGGTAGGGTTTTTGACTTCCTTCAGTAATAAATCATTGTGAAGTTTAAGTCCATGAAGGAAGCAGTTTATTGTAAATAAATTGGCCTGCAAAGCCTCTTTTGATCTGGGATTCATCCTTTTTGTTTTTACAGTAACATTAACAGTATCTGTGTGCAGAGCAGAATGAGCGCTGCAGTGTGAACCGGGTGCAGCAGAGTTAAGATATATAAGAGCAGACAGCTGTCACGGTCGGTCTGGCATCACCCCGCTGGCTGTGCTCATGCAGCCTCGCCTCTGTTTACACAGGAAAGTGAGGAAGCTGCAATGTTACCTGTCTGCGTACCTCAT